GACAGCAGCTGTCCTCATAACAGCGACATTATGCATGTAGGGATATACATTCTGCCACTCAGTCCACAGTGCACTCATCTGATAAAGTCATCAAAGCAAGAGTTTAAGTCTCCAAGGGTTTGACCCTTGCCATGAAAATGTTGATTATCTTAGCCTGGTTCGACTAAACACGCCGTCACGGATTGCTGAATTTACAACGACAGGTCGGGAAGTAGCGACAGGTGGAGGGGTCTGTTTTAATGTGGCTCCCTATAGGGTTTGAAATACAAGGTTAACTGGTGGGTGACAAGGTGTTGAAGCAAGCTGGGAGAGAGCAAAGTACAGTGTTGCGATTTGACCCCGTGAGAAAACAGGGGGGAAAAAGGAGCACAGCACGTGTCAAAGGACGTGTGGATAAAAACCCTTGTTTGCTCTGTGGATCTGTTGTTTACAACTTCACCACATTCCTGCAAGGGTAAGTGCTGCATAATGAGGGGAGTGAGACATTTGCCATGTTGACACTGGACATGTCTTTGAAGAGTCAGGCCAACAAGTCGGTTAAACAGATTTGAATATCTTCCTCTTATACTGTTCAGTTTATGTTTAGTTAAAATCCCTGATATGTTGGACTTTAAACCTTTTCCTTCCAGTCTCAGTATTTTCTATTCATGAATACTTTCATTTTTTCAAGGAAGTGTGAAAATCTAATAGGTATCAGCGATCACATTAGGCAATTTGAACACTTGACACTCAGGAAATGTGATCCCCAGTGTCCTGTTCAGTGTTTGGGGAAAACAGCATAACCCCTCTAGCTGTATGAACTCATGCTACCCTTGTGACAAAAGCCAAAAGCAAGATGGGATGGTTTCCGGAGGTGAATATTGGCATTCACATTCCCCAGTCGGCTAGTATAACGGAGAAGTGTCTACATTACCCGGTCCATATCCTCAACGGGAATGTCACAGGTCACATGGCCTCCACTGACATGCAAGGTGATATATATATTACTGACAGGGAAGGCTTCTGAGATCTAACATCTCCCCCCTTTCCCAGTTCGCCAGCTGTCTCCCGTCTGATTGAACAAGCACGCACACGCAATGAGCTGATTGTCTTCAACTTGGCTTTGAAAATTAAACTTGGGGTGGAAATTAACAAAGACTGATCCATACATTTCAGCATATTTAACAGATAAAGTTGAACATTACTTAAAAAAAGAGCCCTGATAATGCAGCACGCTGTATAGTATTGCTGCAAATGACATCTGGTTCCTCATCGGTTTCACTGTTGGGATAAATTAGGGTGACCATATGTCCTCTTTTACCCGGACATGTCCTCTTTTTTGGGGGCCTGTTCGGGCTTTTTTTAGCTTTGTCCGAGGAAGTTTATAAAATCTGTCAAATATCAGCGGTGTTGTACAAGAGTTTTGATTTTGTGTTAAGTGGACTTTCTAAGTTAGAAGCACGTCAAAGACACTCTATCCGACCCGGAAAACTCTCAAAATTAACTTTGTGTGACTCTATGACTCGGCCCCCGCACAGTCGTGTCGTCTTTTTGGGAAGTCAGAATATGGTCACCGTTTGGCCACTCGAACCCTTTTGAATTTCTGATTATAGACTGATAAATCATGGTTGTAGCCTTTGTGATATCACGTGTTTGTTTCCAGAGATGTTTCAAATGCTAACTCAAACTTATGTTTAATCAAAGGGGCGGAGCTTATAGGAAGATAAAATAAAAAATAAAGCTATAAAGATGGAATGCAGCTAGCATTAGCATTCAGCCACTCCCAGATGAATATTTCAGAAGCCCAAATTTTGTTTTATTTTAGCTTGTTTTACGCCACATTAGCATGCTGTCAATTAAGGCTGGGACGATATGCTTTTCTCCCGATCTGATTCATCTGAGATATTTTGGATGGTGATTTGATTTAAATTGCAATTCTACTATATTTTTGATTTTCTCGATTTTTAGTCTACATTTTTAACACCAGTGAAACAGTTGAATGATTATGATTGTCTACTGACTATTCCAGGAACCATATTTCCCCCAAAAAATACACATCATATGTAAGTTAGTTTTATTCTTAAATTTGAAAAAAAAAAAAAGAAAAACAATCTTTGAACATAAAAATCGATATTTAAAAATTGTACAAAAAAAATTGCGATATTTATGTGAATCGATTTTTTTCTCCCACCCCTACTGTCAATGTCACATTAGGAATAATATACAGGAATATTACTTTTGTTGTCAGGGATATTAGTTGATTAGTCAATGTTGCTTTTTTCAACCCTTTTTTCCTGAATCCAGGAAAATCAATTTTTAAAACATTATTGCCAACTTAAATGCTAACTTGGACGTGGACCGATGTTCACTGACAGGCTGTTGATTTTTTAAATTTTTTTTATTTTTTATTTTTTTTACTCAAAATTTGGCCCCTTATCTTATGGCCTAATTAATCAATAAGGTGGCCCTGAAATTACCACAATTTGCCAATATGCAATACTGCCAAATTTTACCCTTTCTAACCTTCGACCTGGTGTGACAGAGGAATAAAAACTTGACGCCTAAGTTGGTAAACGCTGAACAAACCTACTCTTAGATTTGCTTAAACTGCATAATGAATCATAAAGTCTAAACTTTAAACTACCACAGTAAATATTTACATGTTGTGTTTTCTTGAATCTAAAAAATCAAACAGGGATTTCATTTCTACACAAGTTTCTGCTTCGTACACTAATCTATTTAAACTGTTGGTGAATATCCTCGTCTCGCCTGTACTCTGGCTCTTTCCTGTTAGGAAACAAACACTGATAAATCTACCTTTGGTGCCAAAACATATTATTTACCTGACTGACACAGCGGACGAGGCAACAACCTTTTTTTGGAGGACCCTTTTGAGTCTGGCAGACTTTCAATTGAGGCACTAAGCTTTTTTAAAAAGGGACACTTGATGGCTTCAGCAGTAACGGCGTGATGTAATGCAATCAGGAAATGTTCCCCATAAGCGAAGCAGAAACACATCCAGTCTCAGGATGTGTATTTTAAGGTTGGCTCACGGTTGAGGGCAGCGGGGCCCAGGGCTTCCAGATCGGGGGATTTGAAATGGGATTATGAAGGGGGAAACAAACTTGGATGGCAGTATGAAGGATGAAGGAGGAAGGTGTAGGGTACAGGTTGCTTTGTGGTTTGAATTGCACAGGCAATTATGTAAATGTTGTTAAATCTGTCATAAGACAAAGGTAATACCTATCTTTAATGAAGAAGCAAAACACTGTAAATCGTCAGTGTGATTAATATAGAATTGAGCCTTGATGAGTGGCAGGTTGAAGTTGAAATGTTTGAAGTCTGCGTTGTATGAAAGAGGGATTTAGAGCCTCCAGTGTCATGTAGCAGAGCAGTTGGGGAGATGTAAAGTGCGGGTAAGGGTGTGGAGTCGGAAGCTTAGTGTGTTTGGGGCCCCCATGTAAAATAGGAGGTAGTAAAGAGAGGAGTCAGCCTGGTAAGATAAGTTGGCATGCTGTCCTGTTTATCGGAGGGATGTGAGGCGCAGAGCGAAAGCTCAGCCAGGAAGGAATGAGCAGAGTCATCGGGCCTCTGTAACACGACGCTCCGTCTTGATTGCCTGTAGCAGCTGGGCAGCCACCGTATCTGTGAGTGCGAGCGCGCCTCTATCTGTGTATCTGAACGTATATTTTTTTGGTCAAGTGAGGTGGTTTGAGGGGGTCACTATTGTATGTGACCAATGTATCTACAGCTCAGATTGATTTCTGTCTTATTGTGTATGAACACTTTTGCACAAACTGGCTTCTTTGTCTGCGTTGTGGTAATATCATTTATTCCTTGTGTGGTTTGTTGCTGTTGTTAGTCCAAACACACTATCAGACATAAGCTTTAGACTTATGACATATCTACATGGAATAAGACGATGAAGATTTTGGGCATTTCTGACTTAAGTGGGTTTCTGAGCAGTTTTAATTTACAACTGTGAGGCGAAACCACATTTTTAAATAAAATAATAAAATCTCACCTACACCAATATAGTTATTTTATTCTCATATATCCTCCGTCAATCTCGTGTGCATCTTACTCAAGTAGAATTATGATATGTTGGGAAAAAAAAATCTCGGTACATGTACATATCAAAGTTTGTAATACTATTTGATGAGTTGTACAAATAATTAAATCCAAACCAGTTCACATTTAGGCAAGCATTTGTTTTATTCAGAAGATCCATCAGCGCTAATAATTCAACTATTCAGAAGCATTCGTAGATTCAGCCAAAAGTTCGGAAAAAGCTCTACTTCATTATGTCAGTGATGGATTAGCCTAACCTTAGCTGCTCCAGACGAAAGCAAACAGGTTGCTGAGCACATCAAAGGATGTAAGCAAATGCCACTTGGACCTGATTTGGAGCGTCTGCTAAGCTAATAAGTAATCTGATGTAGCTGCATAAGTAATGTCATGGTCTCTTTAGAACGGTGGGAAAGTCCAAGCTCCTGTCCTGAGAGTGTCTTGTCTTTTTGTTGCCATATTGACACTTTTGGGCGCTCATGGTGATGTGAGAGGTGCAGGGTCAGAGATTCAGGGGGGGGCAGGAAGAAGGAAAGGTGAGGGGTTTGACACACTTCCAAACAACTTAGACAACTGATACTCACTAACAGTCAAGACCCAAGCCTGGCCCAAGCATTAGCTTTTTATCCAGTGGTTTGACAACCTTTTGACTCGACTGGAGCTCCTTAAAACTTTGTCTACATCAAATCTCCTATCCCAAATTTTAGAAATTGATTTGAAAACGTTTCATCAGTCAATGTTTCCCGACTTTAACTTGTCTGTTTGTATGAAAAGTAACTGTCACAAGAAGATTAGAGACCAGTACAAAAATTACCCAAGTGTTTGACATCTCAGAGGAAAACAACTGTCTTGTTTTGTCTTGTCATGTCTTACATACCTTGTCCGCTAACTACCCTTTTAACAGTTCCTTGTAGGGAAACCCCGTTGAGGTGGTAACCCTTCGCAATGCGAAGATGGCGACCCTGCTCCCTCCCCCAGGCACCGCTGTGTTCCGCCGCTTCACCCCGGAGTCGTTGGTGGAGATCGAGAGGCTCAAGGAGGAAGGAAAAAAGGCCGAAAAAGTAGAGAGCCATGAGGAGGAAGAGTCGGTGGGCCCTCATGCCGATTTGGAGGCAGGGAAGAGTTTGCCCTTAATATATGGAGACCCTCCGCCAGAGCTGCTCAACACACCTCTGGAGGACCTGGACCCCTTCTACAAAGCACAGAGCGTCAGTCTCAGCAAATACAGGCCAATACAGAAAAGTTTGATCAGGCTTTGTACAATATTACATTTACTAATCAATAGATTTCAGTTGTAATGGCTGCATACTCTTTCTGCTATGTGTCAGATTAAATTTTGGTGTGCAAATTTCTGGATTGCATTGATGGAGTTCATCTATCTTTTTCAGACATTTGTTGTGATCAGCAAAGGAAACACAATCTACAGGTTCAACGCTGAGCCCGCTTGCTACATTCTGAGCCCCTTTAGTTTGATTAGAAGAGGAGCCATTAAAATTCTCATACATTCATATCCTTTGAATGAGACGGACTGGATGTGTAGTGATTCATGATGATGAGAACTAAGTATAACCCCGCCTCAAAACAGTCCAGACATTATGTAAGGTGTTGAGAAAAACAGATTTTAATGGTTTGAAAATCATTCAAACTGAGTATTTGGTTGTAAATAGTGCAAAGAAAACATATCAAATGTTGAATCTTGAGGTCTTCATTTCAAAGGATTGATGGCAGGGACAACAAAACACTAGAAAAGTTGTTTGATGATTGAAAAGGAAAATGAAAACTGAAAAAAGTGAAAAACTGCAAAGAATATAGGAATTTCATCATCTACAGTACATAATATTAATAACCTCAAAAATAAAGAAACAAGGCCAAGAACCAATTCTGGAGATGGTCCAGGTCTTTGAGCCCTCAGGCAGCAGTGTGTTCAAAATAGACAACTTACATGAGTTCAAGTTTATTTCCAAAAACCATTGTCTGTGAACTCAAATAGGACCTTTGCCCACTGAAAATAGACTGAGGGAGGACCTCTCATATTTCCAAAAGAAAATGCCAAACCACATTCTGTAAAGCATCGCTCTGTAGGAGTTCAGTCCAGGTGCTAAACAGGCCTACCTACTAACCTCTTATTGTCCATTTAAAATATTCGGCATATTAAGAAACAGAAAATGTGACGATGAAGACCCCAAACTGTTGTGCAGCTGAAACCCCATCAGGCAAGAATGGGACATCATTTCACCTTCACGGCTCCAGGAACTGATCCCTCTGCTTTCCAAACATTTACAATGTTGTTAGAAGAAGTAATGCAACACACTTGTAAACATACCCCAACACAAACTTTTTTAAACATGTTGCCAGCCTCAAATCCAAATTAGGAATATATTTTTCATAAAATACTTCAGTCTCAGCTTTTGAAATGTTGTCTTTGCACCATTTTCAATGAAATACGCAGTTCAAATGGGATTAGACGTCTTGATAAGAAGATGTCAAATCCCAATCCCTGTTACCAACTGTTTTTGTCGCCGGGGTTATTGATAGAGAAGATGTCTACTCATACATAATGTCAATGTTTGTTTCCTTAACCCTAAATTAAATTATTTAGCATGTTCATCATGATAACAATTCTATCGAATTGCGTATTCATGACGATGAGCAATCCACCAGCATGGAGTAAAACTGTAGAGTAAGTACTCGATCATTGTGAACGTCTTTTAAGTCATTCCTGCATAATTTAAAGATAACCTAAACTAATGTGTGTCAAACAATCTGTTTCTAGGTATGTTTTCACTGGTATCTATACCTTTGAGGCAACAGTCAAAGTGTTGTCTCGAGGTTTCTGTGTTGGGTCTTTTACATTCCTTCGAGATCCATGGAATTGGCTGGATTTCATGGTGATTAGCATGGCGTAAGTATCTGAATGTGCATTTTCATAAATGTGTTGTTGAAGTCAGTTACCGATTACGACATTTTTACATCAAACTTAAACTTTTGCACAGTCTCATTGGTAAACACATTTCTTACACGATGTTTGGACTACTAAGAGCGCTATTACTGATGCCAGTTACAAGAAAACGAAAAGAGATATTTGAGTCTCATCTTGCAGTTTCTCTGATCGGATGTTTTTACGTCTTTCCGCAGATATGTCACTGAGTTTGTTGACCTCGGAAATGTGTCAGCACTCAGGACATTTCGTGTACTTCGAGCTCTTAAAACAATTACTGTGATTCCTGGTAAGGTGATAGTACTCAGTCACATATCAAGTAATCTTGTTTAATCTAGCTTGCTGTTTGTTTCCCAACACTAACATTATCATCTGTATTTTGTCAGGTTTGAAAACCATTGTAGGCGCTCTGATCCAGTCAGTGAAGAAAATGGTGGACGTCATGATTCTGACCGTCTTTGCACTCGCTGTGTTTGCCCTCGTTGGCCTTCAACTTTTTATGGGAAATCTTCGACAGAAATGCATACGATGGCCACTCGATTTCTTCAACGCCACCTCATTCAACGACACCGTGTTCTTCAACGACACCATGGGTTTCAACGATACATTTTATTCCAACAGTACCTTCAATTTCATGGAATATATTGAAAACCCAGGTATGATTGACACCTCACAAATGTATTTTTTCTCAATTTAAGCTGCTATTGTGACATAAAGGTGTCTCTGCTTCTTTTCTTGCTCGATTTAGATAATCAGTATTTCTTGGAAGGCAGCCCAGATGCTCTACTTTGTGGAAACAGTTCTGACGCTGGGTATGTAGAGTTCCCACTGGAAAATTTTACATGATTATCCTTCACTGTTGCGATTGAGTTGATGTATAAGAGGACAATCACAGCATACTAACTCTTTGTTGATAGAAAGTGCCCAGAGGGGTACACGTGCATGAAGGCTGGAAGGAACCCCAACTTCGGCTACACCAGTTTCGACTCTTTTGGCTGGGCCTTTCTGGCACTCTTCAGACTCATGACCCAAGACTACTGGGAGAACCTTTTCCAGCTGGTTGGCACTTTTTCCATTTGTTGCATACATTTCTGACCTCTTACTTGTACGTTTTATTCCTCGACTTGGGAGTTAGAAATTTGTCCTTAGTTCTCGTAGCTTCTTTGTTGCTCCGAACACAGATTCTGCGGGCGGCTGGCAAGACATACATGCTGTTCTTTGTCGTGATTATCTTTCTGGGCTCCTTCTACCTCATCAACCTCATCCTGGCTGTGGTAGCCATGGCTTATGATGAGCAGAATCAGGCAACTCAGCGAGAGGCCATCGAGAAAGAAGAGGAGTTCCAGAGACTCCTAGAGCAACTCAAGAATCAAGAACAGGTAACTTTTACGAGGACTATGGTGACAGTTTTCAATCAAACTTTATGTTTAAGGAAGACTTCTATAGAGGTGTTGTATTCTTTTTAATCCAGCAGGCTCAAATGCTTGGGAGTCGAGCCACTCTAACCAGTAAGAAGTCACTCAGTCATCACACCATATCTGAGATGGCAGATGATGAACGAAGCCTCGATCATGATGAAGCTGTCAAAGATTGTAATGGGAGAATCGTACCACGTCTGCTTGTCAGAGCACCCACCATGATCAAGGTTGGTTTGATTACAGTTAATCTCACTGGGCATTTACATGAACTTTTGTATCAGTATCCTGTTTCTTTTTAGAGTTCTTGTAGTAGTCAGACAGGTTTTTCGAAACCCAGACAAGGATGCACCCCTATTTCTAAAATCGGCCCAAGTTTACAAGCAGAACCACAAACACCTACAAATCCTAATCAACACTGTTTGGTTTGGTTTGGGTTTTTGATTTCAATGGGTCTGTTGTAAATTTCCCAACTAAGATTGTTTTTCATCTTTCACAGCCTGCTCCAGAATACGAACAGAAAGAAAAGTCTATAGGCTCTGTGCACAGTATGCTCCATCTGGAAGAACCGGGCCTTACGCAGAGGACTGCCAGTGCTCTGACTGTGCTTACTGCAGCTGCAATGGAAGGTACGGCAAAAACTGAACAGAAACCCTTCATTCATAAAGGTTTTTTGAGGTTTAGACAAGTAGAATTAAGGGACGGTATAAAACCAGTGGAACATTTTAGGGCACTGTTTGAAGCAGCATGGTTTACCCACACAGAGGTGTTAAGTTCCTTCAGAAAATGAAGAAATACACATGGCTTAGCCATAGATTTTACAGAAGATCCTCTAATTAGAGATGTAATTGCTTTGATTATCAAAAAGTTGTTAAGATTTTACTCCACTTTATCCACGGCCAGTACAGTAGCATTGTCTTGAGCTCATTATAGTCGAGCTAATCAACGTAATCAAATTTTGTGCAGGAGAAATTCCTGCCACCATCAAGTGTCAAGCCCTTAAGGTGTTAAGCTCTGGCTATTTCAGCTCAACAGCAGCTTGGCACAGAGGAGACACTCTGCTCTCTCGCTCTCTGTTAGCATATCATTTAAAGGTAGCTGATATACTTTCATAAAGGACAGTAGACTACCAAAATTTTTGGCCTGTCTGTTTGTCTAGAGTTGGAGGAGGCTCAGAGGCCTTGCCCACCCGGTTGGTACAAGTTTGCCGACACGTTCCTGAAGTGGGACTGCTGCCCACAGTGGGTAACGTTTAAAAAGTGGGTGTACTTCGTGGTGATGGATCCTTTTGTTGATTTGGCCATTACCATCTGCATCGTGCTCAACACCCTCTTCATGGCCATGGAGCACTACCCCATGACTCCAGAGTTTGACTACATGCTCTCAGTTGGGAATTTAGTGAGTACGCTTCACATTTCACTTTAGTGTGACTCCCACAAATGTTCCAACTGGGCTGATTTTTTCAAGTTTGTTTTAACAGAAATGGATACCTCCCTCTCCATCTTTAGGTTTTCACGGGGATCTTCACAGCAGAAATGTTCTTCAAGCTTATCGCCATGGACCCCTACTACTACTTTCAAGTCGGTTGGAACATTTTCGACAGCATTATCGTCACTCTCAGTCTGGTGGAGTTGGGGCTGGCTAATGTCCAGGGCCTGTCAGTCCTCAGGTCTTTCCGTCTGGTGAGGAACAACGGGTGATAATTATCCATGTCCATTTGCCAATACAATCATTTCTAATCGATTTCTCTCTATGGTCTGTTGGAGATAGCTTAGAGTCTTCAAACTAGCCAAGTCCTGGCCAACACTCAACATGTTGATCAAAATTATTGGCAACTCAGTTGGCGCTCTAGGAAATCTGACTTTGGTGCTGGCCATCATCGTCTTCATCTTCGCTGTGGTGGGTATGCAGCTCTTTGGCAAGAACTACAAGGACTGCGTGTGCAAGATTTCCACCGAATGCGAGCTGCCACGGTGGCACATGAACGACTTCTTCCACTCCTTCCTCATCGTCTTCCGTATCCTGTGCGGGGAATGGATCGAGACCATGTGGGACTGCATGGAGGTGGCCGGAGCTGGGATGTGTTTAGTTGTCTTCATGATGGTCATGGTTATCGGAAATCTGGTGGTGAGTGCAACACCCGTTCCTGATGCCTTTCTTGTATCTGTGGCTCAAAAATATGGCATTCCAGGCATTTAGACCACAACGAGAATAATCCAAAGGGTTCTCTGATGGAGACGGCAAGGGCAAGAAGGGGTATGAAAAAAGTAAAGGTACTAAATGACCAGTAACACCCTAGAGGGGCCAGTCGAGAGGGGTCTGGCTGCAGACCTCCACTGTCAGGACGTGAGGACCCAAGGTGATGTCTTTTCTCACATACTCTAGTTTGTTTTAATTGGTCATCCTGTTTTGTATTTTGTCTTTGTTGAACACATGAATACACAAAAAAATCCTATTGACATTACATACATAAAATAAAGCCTTGAAAAATAAAAAACATTCACACAAGACAAAAAATATGTACTTCCAGGTCTAATTGCTTTTATTTTGAAAGGATTCAGATCAACTTAAGGTCTGCACAGTGGAGATTGGTCCTCACAGTGAGGGTCCTGACAGTGGAGGTCTGCAGCCAGACTGTCTTGGACCAGTCAGGTCTAATTTATACTTTTGCTTGGATTCTACACCACAGCATACGCCAAAAATCCTGTGGTCGGTCCACTGGGTAGTTTCCAGCTTTCGCAACACTTCCAGTTTCCTCACCTCTGCCAACACTGATTCAGTGGCCGCACATTCAGTTTCCTCTTCCTCTCTTTTCTTCTTTGCAACATATACGCTCTGACTTAGTGCCTGTACTTTCCTGTGCACGGGCAAGCAGATAACATCGAACTGTAGTACTGGAAATTGGTGATATGACCTGCTTAGAAATTAAACTGCCAAGTAGCATGTTGGCGGAGTTTGCAGATTCATAGTGGGAAGATTTTCACTGTTACTTTTTCCAACAATATATAGTGACAGGCAAGTTTGGTGCGAATTAGAAAGCCTAAGTTTCATTGTTGTTGCTTGCCTCAGCGTACAGCACATCTTAAGAAGATGCTAATTCCTTGTAGATGCTGCCACTCAACATATGCTTTATCCAAACTCTATACAACTGTCACTGCTGTGAAGCTGTAAAGCTGACTAATGGTTCTGAAAAATCTCTCCAAATCTAACAGTTGGATTAATATAATGCCATGATATTTGTGGTGTGCATATCCCATCGGGCTATTGTTAACCTCGCAGCTTAGGGATGCCAAGGATAGACATACATAACTAAGGGAGAGAGTTGTATCCACCAGGGGGCAACGCAACAATCACTTGTTACTAATAGTTCAGATGTTAACTTGTAAATTGGTTCAGCGGCGCTTACCTTTTAGGCCTCGGTGAATACAGAGGCAGGAAAGGTTGAGATGCTCAGGGAAGAATCCTGAGTGTGTAGAGAATGGAAATACTGCCCCTGACATTTTCCCTTGGCCTCATGGACGTACAGATGATACAGATGATCACTCGCAGACATCATTTCAGCATCGTATTTAATGACTAAAGCCAAAATCATTTCCTGTTTGGTTATTTTTAGGAATGGATAGGATATGGATCATTGTCAAGCTAACTCAAATATTTCATCGGCTGCACTTTGCCAAAATGTCACGGCTTATTTTACATCATGTGTTAACCCCCTAACCATCCACCCCTTAGCTCATATATAAATTCGCACTATTTGCTGTGACATAAAAACAAACAATACACACACACACACTTCAAAGGAGGGGGTTTCTATTTAAATCAAATGACTTGAGCTACCAAACAGTGGTTTTGACCTTGAGTATGTGCTAAGATCCGGCTCAAGCAAGCACGCTGCCACGGGGGGAACAAACGCAGACAGCTGAGAGGGCAGAGCTCAGATAGCAGAGAGACCCGGTGCTAAGGAAGAGTCATTTGATAGCATATTTGGCTGCAATTAATGAAAGGGGTTATCATATCGGGCCATCTGTGTCACTGTTTTTTGAGCAGAGAGGATACAGTACAATTGTCTAAGAATGTATGCTCATACATTTGTGCCTGTTTTTCCCCTATGGGCCAAAATTGGTGCTTAGGGTGACCATATTCTGAATCCCCAAAAAGAGGGCACAACTACGCAGGAGCGGAGTCACGGAGTCACGCGTAGTTAGTTTTGAGAGTTTTTCGATTTGGATAGAGTGATTTTTACGCACTTCTAATTCAGTAAGTCCACGCGACACAAACTCAAAACTTCCATACAAAACCCCGGACATTTTTAAGGATTCTTCCCTGGACAGCCACCAAAAAAGAGGACATGTCTGGGTAAAAGAAGACATAAAGTCACCCTATAGTGCTAATATTCCTCTTTTTTGTTTGTCTTTTTTTTGCATTGGTTTGCCTTCCCGTGTCCCTATAAGGCAGCTTCTCAAAAAAGAAAACCATTACAATCGCATTAAAAGTTGGGGTAATTTTAAGGTCCATTTAATAATCTTAACTAAAATGCAATTCTCTGACAAAAAAATTGTTAAAGGCTGCCTTAAACACAGAAAATCAAAGTAACTGGCCAACACTAAGCCACCACTTCTGAAAGAGCCAGAGAAGCTCCTGGTTCTTGGCTTTGTATGCAACCATCAAAGCTAATGCTGATGGCTTGGCTTGGCTTGGGGTGTGTAATAGGGCGATATCAGGTCATTAAGGGTTGGGACATGCTCATGATCTTCAAATCCACAGGCAGCGTTGTTTAGTATAGTTGTAACTCATGTAAACGTTGATGATGCACAGGCTCAACAAAAACACTCCCTTCATTTAGAGATTGCTGTATTTTACTAAACTCACTGAGTATGAAAACACGACATTATAAAAGTTTACCAAGTTTGAAAAAGAAAGGTAGTAAAATCTTGATCATGTCTCTGCCATATAAAAGTTGTATCCCATTTTTGCCCCTGAGACTGTCCCTTAAACAGATAGATAGATATGTTGCTACAATGGCCGGTCCAAACGTCTAAACTTTTCTTTTAAGATAAGGATCAGACATCTCACATCATCACGCAGCTGCTTTGACAACTGGGGAATCACACGGGTGATAATTCTGAGCTTCTGGAAGCATTATTTTGAGCATCACAAACCCTTAAATCATGATATCAGTTTCTAATCCTCCTGTGTGGAGCTTCGTACTTGTCCAAGTCATCTTTTACCCTTAGACCTCTTCACTGATTCACAGCTCCTCCGCTGGATCTGCCTGACCCTGGGCTGTGTAACCATGATCTCCCGCTAAACCTAGGAAATAGGAACCGGGAAATTGACTCACAGGTTCAGAAACTAAAGATAGCTGCATGTGCAACAGGACGCAGATAATATTCATTAATGGGCCATCATAGGACCAATTTTATATGTGATGTGTAAGTGAGAGTCTAGACTTTTTAGCTTGGCAGTGTCACTTGTTTGAAACGGCCATAAGCAACTAAAATTTATGATTGTTTCCCCCTTTGTGTCTTATCAAGAATTCCCCAAAACAAACTTTAACTTTATTCTTATACAACGTAGCAGCCAATGAAAAAAGGATTGTGGTCAACTCTTCATTTACTTCTTTGTTTCTTAGGTGTTGAACCTCTTCCTGGCTTTGCTGCTCAGCTCCTTCAGCGGGGACAACCTCGCGCCAGGAGATGACGACGGAGAGATGAACAATCTCCAAATCGCCATAGGCAGGATCACACGCGGCATCGACTGGTTCAAAGCTTTCATCGTTCAAACTATCCTGCGGGTTCTTGGCAGAAAGCCTCAGGAGTCTGAAGGGCCAGGGGAAGGCCCGGCGGACGACAAGGACGAGGACTCTAAAATAGAACAAATCGAAATGAACCACCTGGACACGGGTCAGGATATCAAAATGGCAGATGGGATACTTAACTGTATGGTTGAAGGCCGGGCTTCTGGATTTATTGCGGATGGGGAGGTGAATCTCTCTGTGCCAATCGCTATGGTGGAGTCTGACTTTGAAAACCTTGACGATGACGATGATGAAGATGAAGACGACGAAGATGACGCTGATGAATCCGAGAAGACAGATGACGAATGTAATGAACATGATGATGTAAGTACCATACCTAGAAACTGTTTTTGACTGGCAAAGCCGGTACTTCCTGTTCAGGTGTTTTCAGACGTCGAATTGATCGTGACTCGGCTCTACCTGACTGAAACTCAACCGTCTGTGCATGCTGTTTTTTCTCAGTGACACTGTGAGTCTGAAATATTTTCCTGTTGAGTTTTTGGTTGCCGATTCCACATTTGAGCCTGGCGCTATATGATTATATGTCAACAGAGATTATTTTAGGAGCCTGCACGATGATATCCAGCATGTACACCTCTATATGTTCTACAGCTGTGCAGTACCGTCAATGCTTGATTCAAGGAAAAACTCAATTTGTTTAGTTTTTATTTAAGTAAAAATCTATTTATTAAAAAAGGGTCATTAAAAACTAGCTTAAACGGCTACCTTCTTGAGCAGTTTCCATTAGATATATTTTAAAATGTCCTTAATACTACCTATAGAAATCATGCTGTGAAATTTGTAGCAGCTCAATATCTGGAAGTCCAAGCGGTCTGAGCGGTCTATGCCAACATGGCGTATTATGGCCTTTTATTACAGCTAACTCATGTAACAATATCACATTGTTGTGTTCAACTCAAACTGTGGCTAAGTCTTGATGAACCTAATAGCTTGAAAATACAAGATGAGTCTTTACTGAAATAATTTCATTTGTAAACATTGGCTGAATTGTCCAAAACGATGATAAAACTGATTTAACTAAGACCTGCTTTCTATTCCTTTGTTTCCAGGATGATGGAGATGACGCAAAAAGTGCACTGAGAGATGTCAAAGTGAGTAATTTCTGCAGACCCACATCAATGTTGATGATATTAACTATAAGCTCAATCCATTATTTTGGGCTTTCTAAAAATAATTGCTGGTAAAGTTGTGATTGTGTTTGTAACAGCCCCAATTGTGATTTTTGACTAGCTTCTTGGTGCCTTAAATGATGGGGATTCATCAGTGTGTAGCACAGTGGACTATCAACCACCTGAGCCTGAACCAGAAGAAGAGGAGGAGGAAGAGGAAGAGCCGGTGGAGCCCGAGAACTGCTTTACTGACGGTACAGATCATACTTCATTTAAACAGTCCATATATATTTACATTATATAACTGTTAGCTGGTATTCTTCCAGACTTCAATTCTTGGTATCCGTGTTGATCCCAATGTCTTTTATTCAACTCATCAAGCAACCTTTGACTATCTCCTGTTCTCAGACTGCGTGAGGCGGTGGCCATGCCTGACTGTGGACATCACCCAAGGTAGAGGCAAGAAATGGTGGAACCTGCGCAGGACTTGCTTCACGATTGTGGAGCATGACTGGTTTGAAACCTTTATAATCTTCATGATCCTCCTCAGCAGTGGCGCTCTGGTGAGCGCTGCTTCTGTCATCAGCACAACAAATTTAGAAGTATTAACCGTTAATGATGGTCTCAAGAAACCATGAAAGTAATCTGGCTATTTTAAATCTTCTTTTGGCAGGCTTTTGAGGATATACACATAGAAAGACGCCGAACCATCAAAATTATTCTGGAGTATGCTGACAAAGTGTTTACCTACATCTTCATCATTGAGATGCTCCTTAAATGGGTCGCGTACGGTTTCAAGACGTATTTCACCAATGCTTGGTGCTGGTTGGACTTCTTCATTGTAGATGTAAGTTTAGACGTCTTCATACAGAACATTCATGTTTTATGTCGGTAAAAGTCTGTTGTAACACTTGAATAGGGAGCATTTTGATTCTGCCACAGATTTCCCTGATTAGTTTAGCTGCCAACTGGATGGGCTACTCTGACCTTGGACCAATCAAATCCCTCAGAACTCTCAGGGCACTGAGACCTCTTCGAGCGCTGTCAAGATTTGAGGGGATGAGGGTACGTTTTGGGGGGCCTCTAGAGACATGTTTGATCAAAGTGCATGGCTTGTGGTGATTTGAGGCGAATGGTTCATGCATCATCATTTTAGAAAGGAAATAAGAAATAGGTCTAAGATGTTATCATCACGATATAGCACCGTGTGGCAGACTTGGGGCTTCAGGACCCCTTAACTCTGAAATTCGCTTGTTTCAGTTTAGTGTATTGTGTCATAGCGGGGAATCAAGGCCACATCTGGGACTGCTCACAATCTCCTGACATGAAGTCCTGCATGTTTGAGTTTTCTTTCTGCTCTGTGTCCCATCAATAACACCAACCAATGAGAATACAGAGCACCCTGCACGTGCAAAAGTTACATGCACAAATGTTTATACTGTCTTTGAGATCCAAGGAAGCGTCCACAGTCGTTTTCGTCATCCTTACTTTTGGTTTCTCTGAACACATCACAGCAAGTATCATAAATTCTGCTTTGGACACCTTCGTTTGTTTATAGTGTTCCTCCCAGGTGTTGTCTAGCCAAGCCACTGCCCCCTAACATTATGACATTGGTTGTGATGTTTGGTTTGGTCATTTGTGTTGGTTACATTACAAATTTGTGGCTCTAATCGACACAGTGACCTTCCAAAATGTCAAAACGATTGTGTAGCCTGACCTCTGCATAAGACAGCAACCCTCAAATGCAAAACTAAAGGCTTTCTAATAACATGCCATGAAAAAGTGGTGATGTTTTCAATCTAATTTGACTGGCTTTCCTCTTTGTGTTAAACGCATGCTCACACTGTTGCCACTGTAACAGAGCCAGCTAAGGTAAGAAAGGGTAAAACTCAATCAGACTACTGTGTTTCAATAAATCTCCAGCCATTCCTTGATTCTCACTGAGTTCTTCATTTTGGGCAGGTGGTGGTGAACGCTCTTGTTGGGGCAATTCCCTCCATCTTCAATGTGTTGCTGGTTTGTCTTATATTCTGGCTCATCTTCAGCATCATGGGAGTTAACCTGTTCGCTGGGAAGTTCTACCGTTGTATCAACACCACCTCAGAGGAGCTTTTCCCAATAACTGAGGTCAACAACAAGAGCGATTGCCTAGCTATGATGGAAGCAACACACGAAGCCCGCTGGGTCAATGTCAAAGTCAACTATGACAATGTGGGAAAAGGCTACCTGTCTCTGCTGCAAATAGTAAGAAGTGCTGCTTCTATAGTTCAATCTTGAAGATATTGAAGTTGTATGTAGATGACGCTGATCTTGAAACATTGTCCTATATTTCAGGCAACTTTTAAAGGCTGGATGGACATCATGTATGCTGCTGTTGACTCAAGAGAGGTAATTTCTAGACATGTTGATGGAAATGTTTTGGTATCCTTCCGATGGAACTATGTACCACAACTGAACGCAAGAGGATCCTAACTAGGAAATGAAGATAACCCTACAAGACCCTTAAATTAGGATCTCAATATGGACCTATTATTCTACATTAGTATATTAATACAATCATTAAGCAGTGAATTTTAAATTATACTATGATTGGAACAGTGGTTGGGAAATTTGATTTTGATGGCTGCACATCAGAAATATCAAATAAATTGATTTTCTCTTGGATTGTTGCTAATTCATTAGCAAAGGTCAGCACAAGCCAACCCCTCAGATGTGAGATTCATAACTTAATATCACTTTATCTCATAGATGCGGACAGAATATACAACATTCACGTTGTAATGTGTGAAGTGTTTTCTCCCTTTAAGGTACTGGAGCAACCTTCCTACGAGATCAACCTCTACATGTACATGTACTTTGTCATCTTCATCATCTTTGGCTCGTTCTTCACACTCAACCTCTTCATTGGTGTCATTATTGACAATTTCAACCAACAGAAGAAAAAGATAAGTACCACACTATGAAAAAGAAGCGCCCCCCCCCAACACAGTTGTCGAAGTTGTTGAATTAAAAATACTTACAATAATTCCTGTGTTGTATTTTTTCTGCACTTTGGAGATAAAGATATTTTCATGACTGAGGAACAAAAGAAGTACTACGATGCCATGAAGAAACTCGGTTCCAAGAAGCCCCAGAAGCCAATTCCACGTCCAACTGTATGTCATATATAAAACACTGCAGGATAAATTAGGTCTACTTGAGTCAAGCACTCAATATGTGTCATAGTTGTATTTGTAATTACTGACATGAAAAATGATAAGACTTGCTAAGACCATGTAATGAGACATCAGCAGGGCATTCTTGGCATGACTCTCTCATTAGTGACCCCTGTGTTGACCCTTTCTTTAACACTGCTGGTGTGAAGCTTGACCCTACATCTCTCTTTGACCTGCAGAATCCAATCCAGGGAATGGTGTTTGACTTCATCAGTCAGCAGTTCTTTGACATCTTCATCATGGTGCTCATTTGCCTGAATATGGTCACCATGATGGTGGAGACGGATAACCAAAGTGCTGAGAAGGAGGACTTCCTCTTCAAAGTGAACGTGGCTTTCATCATTGTTTTCACCGGAGAGTGTATGCTGAAGCTCATTGCCTTGCGACAATACTTCTTCACCAATGGATGGAACATTTTTGATTTCGTTGTGGTCATTTTGTCCATAGCTGGTAGGTACCTGACATATATCTTTCGCTGAACTGTATGATTTGTCCATCTTGGTTCTGATTGTCTGTTTTTGATTTCAGGTACGATGCTCTCAGATCTGATTGAGAAGTACTTTGTGTCGCCAACTCTGTTCAGAGTCATCAGACTGGCCAGAATAGGCAGGATTCTTCGACTAATTAAAGGAGCCAAGGGTATTCGGACGCTTCTCTTTGCTCTCATGATGTCACTTCCTGCCTTATTCAACATAGGCCTCCTTCTTTTTCTCATCATGTTCATCTTCTCCATATTTGGGATGTCTAACTTTGCTTATGTCAAAAAGGAGGCTGGAATCGATGATATATTTAACTTTGAGACATTCGGTGGTAGTATCATCTGCTTGTTCGAGATCACAACATCAGCCGGTTGGGATGGCCTCTTGCTTCCGATGTTGAATAAGGAGTATCCAGACTGTGATCCAGACTTTGAGAACCCCGGCACAGATGTTAAGGGTAACTGTGGAAACCCTGGCATGAGCATGATGTTCTTCTGCAGTTACATCATCATCTCTTTCTTGGTGGTGGTCAACATGTACATCGCCATTATCCTGGAAAACTTTAATGTGGCGCAGGAGGAGAGTGGGGATGCTCTCTGTGAGGAAGACTTTGAAATGTTCAATGAGACTTGGGAGAAGTTTGACGTAGACGGAACTCAGTTCATTGAGTATAGTCGACTCTCGGATTTCTGTGATGCCTTGCAGGAGCCTCTGAGGGTAGCAAAACCCAACCGACTTCGGCTGATTGAAATGGATCTGCCCTTGGTGATCGGAGATAGGATCCACTGCCTGGATGTCTTGCTGGCGGTCACACAGATGGTCTTGGGAGACACGGTGGAGATGGCAGCAATGCGGGAGAGCATTGAGGCGAAGTTCATCTTGAACAACCCCACCTCGGACTCCTTTGCGCCAATTACCACAACGGTGCGCCACAAGGAAGAGCAGAACGCTGCTGTGGTCATCCAGAGGGCTTACCGTGTCCATCTCCTGAGACGCTGTGTTCGCCATGCTGCATTTATGCACCGCTGTAAGAGGCTGGGTAGAAATAACGAGGATGACGAAGCACCGGAAAAGGTGGGAATGCTGGCACGAAGGATGGGAGTGCTCTATGGCAGCAATGTGGACCTTGCAGAGGAGATGGAGCAGGCTGCCTTGGACGCTCTCGCTAACCAGCAGCCGCCTCCTGATCCTGAGACATTATCACAGTACTCAGATGTCGGGTGTGCTTCTGATTCCCCAGAGCCAAACATCATGGTTGTACCTGTAGAAATTACTAATGAGGTTTTACTACATTCTGCCCCAAGCCAACACTTGTTGACTCTACCGGCAAACCTAAAAGAGTCAATTGTATAGCAAAAAGCGAAAGACTATCTATGTCTTCCTGTTGTTTTCACTTGCCAGGTAAGTAGTTTTAGCCATTGAGACAAAGTCCCACTAATGAAGCTGAATCCCCCACATTGGATGAAGAGGTTAGTGAATGTTTCAGATGTGTTTTCATTAGCTGACTAATTCCTGATTATTTAATGAGATGATCACTTCCCATAAATCCTTAAATATAAACCAGGTCTTTTATTTGCTTTTACTGCTGAAGGTAGGTGTTTATGAGAGTTAAGACACAGAAGGGGTTAAATGAGCCACAACCCAGAAAATTGTGTCTGGTGTTATTTGCATATATTTGGTGCCATTATGTATTAATTTGGAATAAAATATGCCTCTTTATATGCAAACAACTATCGCAAAAGTCACCTCACTGGTTAACAAAGGTGCTCAAAGTAATGCAGAGGAATGGGTAGTCTATGGCTCAATCCCTGCACATACAGTATTTACTATTTACAGTTTTTCCCCTCTAAATAAGAGACTTTTAATGGGCTAAAATGAATATTAACTGTGAAATCTGTGTCACGTCTGTCATGAATCCACTCCACAATAAAATGTAAGAGCGTTCCCTCTTCATCAAGCTCATTTTAAATGTGAAAAGAGACTAGCACTGTTAGGATGAGAGTGCACAGCACAGCTCTGAGCAGCAGAGAGTAGAGACGCTGACGGCTCATCTCTGTCCAGTAAAATGTGAAACGCTGCTGTAATTGTACAGAATGACAGATTGGCTGGTGCGTGATCAGTGTGAACTTTAATATTTCTCCATGACAGAATTATAAAAGTGCCCTTAACAACAATTTATCTAAACAGTTGTTATTTTAAGAATTATAGTAACTGTCTTTAGTCTTACATTTAAAAGCCTGAACATATCCTAAGTCTTCCAATGTCACACAAATGCAGTTTTGCTGGCTATCCAGCTCCTCAGAGTAACATTTAAAGAATAAATCAGCATGTACACGACATGACTTCCAACATATCTAGAACAAGATTTACACCTTGATGATTTAATATTCATCCCTTATCGAACAATAACACAGGCCTGCTAATGTCTATGAGTGTCTATGAGAGGCTCAGTTTGGCCCAGTTTATATTGCACTATTTATATCCCATCCTTCAGGTCAGGTTAGAGCAGTTCAAGACTTTGAGATTCTCCTGTTTCGTAAGATAACTTCATCCACATGTCTTATCATTTTTTTCCACATTCTAGTCCTCTCAGGGGGATCCAGAAGGTTAAAAAAAAGAGCCATTTAATGACTTATTTTCAAATTTTATATTTCGGTTCAAATGCTAACCTATGGCTGTTAGCTTAAAATGTAATGCTGACATTCAAACCTGTTCATTTTAATCACTACCTACACTTGTTTGAAGGTTCGGCTCCAGCCTACAGTTTACTGCCACATGTCATATCCTGCTCTCTTCCCAGTTTCCTGTTTTATCGACTCTCCTACTCTCTCAATAAAAGCATAAAAGCTTAAAAAAGTAATCTAAGATTCAAAGTTGAGGATCAGTTTGGTAAAATCAAGAAAGCCCACAGAGATGCAACACCACTTGAGACAGTTACACATCGAATCACTGAAGAAAGCCTGACCTCTGCTTCATTTGCTGCTGTGTAAGTCTTAATGAATTTAAATGTCTTACTCTGACTATATAAACATGAACAACATAAGCACTTTTACAGTTTTCTAGTTTTTTTTCTTTTCTTTTTTTTTATAATAGACCATAGAGGGTTGTGTCTTCTCTTGTTTATGTGTCCAGCATTGCTTTAAAACCAACCTTAGGGGATTTTTAAAAGTCACCAATGTTTCCTCTACAAAGGTTCTTCTTGTCTTATCGCGCTGCCACAGCATGGCAGTTATTCCTGTCGAAAAAAGTCTGTAACGTGACCTGCAGCGATTGAAACACTGCCGGGCCGCTTCACTCAAGTGTCCTTTGTTGCTACAGTGAAATTTCAAAGACAGTGTCCTCCTTTTGTTTACATTTCTAATGGAGGGAGAGCCTTAAAGTGAGGCTTGACCGGTACATGCAATGTCAGTGTCGCCTGTATATACTTTTATTTTTCTGTATTGTACATTTTTATGATTTTGCTAAAAACTGTAAAACTGTAAGTATATTGTGAGAATAAAACACTTCTTGTAGGGAAAGCAGTGTGTGAGTTTATGTTGACGTTGACACTGGGGCCCTCTGGTGGTCCTAAGGTGAACTGCAAGTAAACTTCAGAAAATAGAGGAACAAAAAGTCTAATTGAATGATACAACAAACCTTAAAGTGTAAAGCAACATAGAACTACAACAGATGATCAAAAGCAAATTCAAATAAATGAGTGAATAAAGTGCAGACACGGTACTATTTATTGATATCTAGCAGTCAGATTCCAGATTGAAACGCTCTCCTGCAGCGACCCCTTAAGGACAAAAACCTGTGATGCATGACGAGCATGATCCCCTACTTGTCAAGATTTTATCATCCAAAACATCTGTCAATGCAAATTCTTCAGCACACAACAACCACAACCCCTCTCCTCCTCTTCTTCTTCTTCTTTTTCTTTTTTTTCAGTGAACCTCTAAATCCAGAAACATGAACAAGACAGTGGACACCACGGGAGGGAACCCACTCCTTATGTAGATGTAAAAGACTCATAAATGTTTTTTATATTCAGTTGAACATAATTCAAAATATTCATTATAGTCTGTTTCTACCAAGTCTGTTCTGTGGGATGCTGCTCAACGCCACACACTGCACCTTTAAGCGTCTTTTCAACAAACATCTTTTTAATTTCCAGTATTTTTTTGTGCAGTGCTAAAATTAATCAAAATGCATTTAAAACATAAAAACTAAATCCAAATCCTGTATGCAAAAATTTTAGAGCACAGCTCTCTTGACTAGTCATGAATTTTGAAGTCTGAGCATCATCAAACCCAAATGAGAGCACGCTCTTACAAGAAATAAAAGGTTGGGTGGAGATATTTTCATATGTCTGCGGTTGCATGCATGCCCACTGCTCAGTCAAGTTGAGTAACACGGATGTTGGCTCAGCTGGTAAAGAGCTTCAGCCCACAGTCATTTTAATACTTCTAATCTACCCCAGAGTTGGTCTAAAATGTGTATCAAAAGAAAACGGCTAAAATGTTTTTACATATTCTGTGCAACTCCAATGTGACCTCTTTAATTTTTTTTTTTCCATCCTGCAGCCCAGAGCCCAAACTTATTAAGAATTATGTATTTAATGTAGGAAAAGTATTGAATCCTCCCATTTAGGACCAATAATCCAAATATTTACTCATTAGTTTTCACTGTCATCCTAGAATGACTTTTTCTCGCTACAATGTATAATTTCACTCATTTTTGTAGTCCTTATAAAATATAACTATACAAGGAAAAGAAAAAAACTGGTCTTTTTTTCATTAAACTGATCTATGTCTCATTCAAAGAGGAGGTTGAGTGTTTCCTGTCAGTGCTCTTAAGTTTTTCATGGCGGCTTCATATCTTCTGCTCACACACTGTGAAAACCGACCTAACTCTATATATTTATTTTAGGGAAACATGATCTGATGAGATGATAGGAATTTGTTTTAACATTATTTATTACCCTCAGCTTCTTGTTTCACTTCTGTGCTTCTTATTCATGAGTTTTTATGGGCCCTCACTTCATCGTGATCCGGAGTGTTCAGGAGTTAAAGCTGAATATATCCTTTCAAATTGTTTATTCACAAAGCTGAACTTTAAGTGTTTTTATTTACCTCTGGCTGCTTTAGTGCAAATCTTCATTAGTTCATTTTGGAACTGAAAGACAATTTTAGAAGAAAGGACTTTAGCAAACAGCAGAGTAGGCTGGGTCCTGGAGAAGTGCAGTCACCATCTTTTCTTAATATGTATCTGGACACCCAAAAATCTCTTTTTCACCTGGAAGAAAAATAGAATATATATATTTGCTGTTAATAACCATTTCTTTGCCTTCAGAAATTTGACATCTAACTGTAAACTTATCACGACAACATCCATCATTTTAGAGGATGCTGAAACACTTTCATGACCTCCTCTCCCTCCATCCAGTTACTGTTTAGTATAACTTGTCCATGATTCAACAAAAACCACATCAGTCAAAGGGTCTTCTGTAGCATCCATGATCAGACTACACTGAACAGTTTCAGACATCACATCCATCTCAAAAAGAGTTCATGGCATTTCTGGATCCTGTCAATACAGTTTTACCATGTATTAGTGGATGTAGCGCCAAACTGAGTTCACACATAATGGTTTTTGGAGGTGATATTGAGCCCATGCAGAGGTTTCTACTACAGAGAAATGTCGGTTTATAACGATGCAGTGCAGCCTAAGGACAAGAAGATCGTGAAGATCGAGTGTTTGTTTTCAGCCTTGTTCTTTTGTACAGATATTTCTCCAAAATTTTTACTTTTTTCCTTTATATTTTCTACTGTGGATGATAAAATTATATCATCTAGGCTTTTCATAAATTGTTGGACTGTTTGCTTACACAGTCTCTCTGCCCGTTTTGACTTCTGAAACACTTGGCAAAGCTCTTTTCAGACCAAATTATGTTATTAATCCGTCCTTTTTTTGCCATAATACAAAATTTTCATAGTTTTTTGTTTGTGTGCCAAAGTTTTTTAAACATGTTGACAGAGTAAATATAAAATGTGCATATATTCTCTGTAGCAGCAATCTTTTTCAGTTTCTTTACTTTATTCTTAATCTTTGCACCTTTTTAAATAAATACAGACTTTCAATGATAAACCATGAATATCTTTTTTTCTATTAAGATATATCAGAGCGTCTGAAGCCTTTTTAGAGTTATGGTTATGATTTTCTTTAGACGACTTTACTCGGCTTTATCAAGGTAAAATTCTGAACAGGCTGCTCTTGGTTGAGTTTTACTGAAAAGTGAAAAGAAACTATTGTTGTGGTATCAGTATAGAAACTATATTGGAAGTATTGTTGACATGTATGAAACAATGCAGAAACTTTAATTACTTAATATCACAACAGATCTTTTTTTACCATACAAAGCTGTGCAAAATTAGAAAGCACCCCGAGTCCAGGTGTGTGACCAGGTTACTTAAACATTTCCTTAAATATGGAACATACATGAATGAAATTGAAAGGCTTTCTTTTGTTAAACCTGTGGGTGGATTATTCTGGGTTATTTTTGTTCTCTCCCCCTCATTTGCCTGACAGAAAAACACGAGTGACAGACGACGCACCCAGTGGCAGACGCTTCTCCTCCACGCTCACAACAACTCCATGACTCTGGAGCAGTTCGATGCAAGTTTGGACGTCGAAATTCCAGATATTTCTTCTCTGTCGTCGACATGCACTGGCTGTTGCTGGCTGGATTCTGCGGGCTCGCTTTGCTGAATAGCTCAGGTAAATACAAATTCTTAAAATATGATTAATTAAAATGGAACAAAAAGTGAAAATGAGGCAAAGAAATGCATTATGGGTTGTATATTTAATATTGGAAAAGACAGTACAGGAGTGACCTCAGCACATGAAGCTTGATTTGTTGTAATTCTCGATGCAGTCATTTAATTGTTAATGTTATGTCTGTTAGACAAGCTGCGAAGCATGCAAATGCTTTGCATGATATTTTTGAAACCACCATGACTTCCTGACCATCTGGGGAAAAGAGGAAGTTGCTCTCTGAGACAAAGGCCAATGTGTTTTGATGATGTTACTGTGACTGATGTTAAATTTAATATAGTGATTATGTAGTTAAACTCTCCAATGCTATCATCTGACCATTTGATTTGGCACCTGCAATACAGGTACTTAGAGGTTAGTTAATAGTTGGCAATTCATTCAATGGGTGAATGCTTATCGATCAAATTGTTTGATTAGGTATAAAACTAAAGAAAAACGAATGTTCACTTGGTAAGGTTGGTAAAAGTTAATATGCAATAAGTTAAATCAGAGCTTATAAAGTTGTGCTGTTTTTACATCACAGCTGATCATATGAAATTGGACCATGAAGACCTTTGTTTCAGTTATTTGCTTCAATAAAAACCAAGAGAAATATCTTTAGGACAGCTGGTGATGAAGAAGAAGAAGAACTTTTTTGATCCCCGAAGGGAAATTCAATAAATTCAAAATTCAAAAAAAGAAAAAAGAAAAAAAAATTCTGAGGCTCATAGAAACGCAGTCTTATTCCCAAAAAAAAAAGAGCAAATTCAATCAGAGCGCTCAACAAACTTTCCTCAGAAGTTCCAGAAGTTAAACTGACGTTAAAATTTGTACTTTGCTGTAAAATTTTGGAACCGCCTTTGCCCCGATTTTCAAAAATACTTCAAGTCACTTAATTCAAATAAACTCACACTAAATCCAAACAAAATTAAATTCACAATATTTGGAAATAGGACAAATAACTCACCAAAGAAACTCGTGATAAATAACATAACAAATAAAATTTCTTGGAGTCATTATTGACAGCAAATTATCCTGGAAGCCTCATATACAGTACATTACAGCAAAAATAGCAAAGTCAATTGCAATACTACATAAAGTCAGATATATTCTTTACACCTTGTGCTGTTCATTCATTCTCCCATACATCACCTACTGTGTTGAAGTATGGGGGAACACATACAAAACAAACACAGAAACAGTATACAAACTCCAAAAAAGAGCAATAAAAACAGTAAATAAAGGTACCTACAGAGAACCATCAAACCCACTCTTCATCAAACTGAAGGAACTTAAGTTCAAGGATTTGGTGGACCTCAAATCAGGTACCACAGGGCATCTAAAAGTTGTTTCAAATAAGAGAAAACCAACATAATCTCAGGGGAATATGCATTTATTTTAAAAACAACATGTATGTACCAACACAAAAATCAATGTATATCAGTCAAAGGAGTTAATCCGTGGAACAGTCGCAACTCATTGAGATCCTTTTGTGTAATTTTTTTACTAAAGACTCTGGCCATTTTTAAAGAGTTAAATGCAAAAATTCCTAAATTTGCCCTATCTCACAATGATAAAGAATCCTTCAAAAAATTCCTGGATCCAGAAGGCGATCTGGATCACCACCAAAATGTAATGGGATCCTTCTGGGGCTGAGACGCACCTATGGTGAAAATTTCAGGTCAATCCGTCTGTAACTTTCTCCGTAAAGTTGTTCACAAACAAACAAACAAACAAACTAACAAACAAACGCTACCAAAAACATAACCTCCTTGGCAGAGGTAACAATAAAGGGGTAGGACTAGATAAGCACATTGTATATTGCATTTATTTTGTTTTTCTTTTAACCTGTTCGAAAAAACAAATGAATTACAAACTATGATTTTCTTGAAGAGCAACGCCGCAAGAGTCAAGTCTTCACATTGTCATTTCTCCAGCTGTTGGATCTGAGTCTCCATGTGTCGTTTAATCCACCTTATCTTTTCTGCTAAATGGCTGCAGGCGATGCAACAAGGATCACCCAGAAGCCCCGCTTCTACGGCTTAAAAACTGGCACCACTGCGAAAATTTTCTGTCTGCCCTCCTGGGACGCAACGAATGATACACTGGAGTGGTACTGGGCTGCCAAGTACGATGGACCTACAACAAAACTGCAAGCACACACGGGTAGTATATTGGGCACAAGCACATTTCTCCACTTGGTGAAGCTACGCGTGGAAGACAGCGGAGTGTACTTCTGTAAGATCAATGGTGTATGGGGGCCAGGGACTGGGCTCCACGTTGCTAGTAAGTGATTAAATAATAGTTGAATACCTTATGATTGCCATTTAGAGTTATTATTTCTTGTTACTGATCAAGATTTCTGCATGTTGAAAAAAAACAACAACAACACTGATAAAACACATGGTTTCCCCTCGCAGGAAACATCAGTGTAACAGAGGCGTTGTACAGAACCAAGGTGAAAGATGGTCTTATGATCTTCCAAGGCCTCCTGCTGGCTGTGTGCATCGCTGCTATACTGCTGCGCAGCAATCAAGATCTGGTGAGCTGAAAGACGAGTGAATATTTAGGACCAGAGCCTCATAAGTTTGTAAAATAGTTAACCACCTGACTTATAATCAGTGAGGAAACTATGAATAAAAACATAACTAAGAAAATGAGAATTACACAAAGTTAGATGAAGATTGAAAGTTACTACCAAACTGAATGTCTATACTGGCTTATTCCTGTTTTATTGGCCAAAATATTTCACAATTTATTGTAAAATAACTGAATAAAAATTCAATATTTGATCATCTCTCTCTCTCTCAGATGTGCCCACCTTTAAAAATGTTAATGCTCACAACCAAAGCCACCAAATAGGATAAAAAAATTATGATAATGATAATGATAAAGGGGGAAGTGTTCAGATTGATGTATAAAGATTAGGTAATGAATGTTTGATTGCAGATCTTTTTGTTCTGATTTAAACATCATTTAATGCTCTGAAAACCAGGCATCTCTGTTTTTTCTGCCCTTTCATTTTGTCTGTATTTTTCTTTTTTACAGCTACTGAGGAGAGACAGCGAATATGAAGAGCCTGAAACAGATCACATCTATGAGGTACGTCTCTATTTTACATTCAGACTTATAAAGACAGGGTGAGTGGTATTTGCCACATAGATAGTCATTATTTGCACACACGTTTTGTTAGCATAGCTTTAATCTGCAATTTAATCTTCTTTTGTCTTTCTAAGTATTTCTATGTGCTTCCTGCTCCTCTCAAGGCAAAATAGGAGTGTCTTCACATGAGCTGTTTTTTTTTTTGAACAATTCATTTATTAACATTTTTTCATAAACACTATACAACTTCAGTAACAACAATAGAACTACAAATTTCACCCAAACCCGCCCCCCTCCCTGAACAAACCCCATAGGGCAACTCTTGCCTACATCCCTAAAAAAAAATAATAATAATAATATAAAAGAAAATATAAATGTAAATAAAATAAAAGATAAAATAAAAGATAAAATAATAATAATATGTTTATATGTGAATATATATATATATATATATATATATATATATTTATATATAAGAAAATATAAATGTAAATAAATAAAAGGATAAAATAAAAAAAATACTACTACTACTAATTATAATAATAATGATAATAATAATAATAATAATAATAATAATAATAATAATAATAATAATAATAATAATTAATAATAATAATAATAATAATAAAAACAGTAATAGTAATATTAATGATAATATGTATACAATAATAATAATAATAAAAACAACAACAATAATAATAATAATAAACAAATCTGTTACATAATTAAATAAATAAAACTTCAAAAAAAATATTACAGCAAAATTACATGCAGCAAAGGTCAAGACATTGACAATGGAAAAGCACAGACACTCTTGCAGATGTGCTACAACCAACAACCACCACACTATTGACACATAAGCTCGTTTTGATTAACCCGGTAAAGCTTTGGGTCCAAAAGTTTCTGTCTCATGTTCTGATCTGCACAACCCTGATTCATAAAGTTTGCAGCTTTTAGATGCCTCACAAATATACACATACAAAAATATAAAGTAGAGCTGGGAATCTTTACGGCAAAATACTCTTAAACACTTTTTTAATGACACTACAAAGTTGGAGCCAAAAATTCAGGATGTCATTTAGTCTGAGATGCATTTTTCAGTGCTTTCAATGCAACATTTTGCCAATCATACAAAAAAAAAAAGTTACATGCGGCTTTTATTTATTTACATGTTGGTTTCTGTCCTGTGACAAGTCGCAGCTGCTTATCTTTATCTCTGACTCGTGTCTGGATCAATGACTTTGCAAATTAAAGAAAAACCAATCAAGACTAAACACAAAAAGTGTGTTTTACATGTGCTCATTGGATCACACGCTCCCTGTCTGCTCAAATCTGACCCTTTCGCTGGGTGTCCTTCCCTATCCTTTCTTCTGTGTTTCCTCTCTTTCTTTTTCGCTGTTATATTGCATAAAGGCAAAACCAGTTTCTGTGGTCTGTTTGAGTGAAACTGACTTCTTTCTCTTCTTCAGGGTCTGGCGATTGATTCATGCGGTGGGGGTCTATATGAGGAACTGACTGTGTACGACCAGGCTGATGGAGCCGAGGCCCCATGGGAGTGAGATCAACACAGCACCTCCAAACCTCCACAATCTCTCAAAAACTCACTTTCTACGGGTTCTTGACTGGTAGAGTCGAACTAACTTGATACAGACAGTCCTGAGTGGACTTTATATCTGCACGGGTGTGGACATTTGATAGTTTCGCCTTGTAAATAGTATTTGTATGTGTGCAAGAGTGTGCTTTTTCTAAAATACTTGCTTTGCAGTACATTATGTATTTTTTATGCAATGGTAGTGTTATTTTCACTGATTTCCTGAAAAGAGATTTGAAATTCAGGTTGGTGTAAACTAAGGGTGGACTGATATTGGCTTTTCAGGGCCAATACTGACAACCAATAAGAAACCAATAGACCGATAAGTGAGATCTGGGACCGATAAATTCCAACACAAAGCTTTGCTAAAATGTCTACAGCTTACATTTAATTTAAAATAGAAGACTCAGCATCGTATAGAGGAGTTAACAGTTAACTAGATACACCTTGTCTGCGGAAAGTGTGTGTAAAAAGGCTGTTCCCGCAGCTGCTCGGCTGACACCTACCCCCTTGCACCTGTTTCAGGCATTCAAAACTAGGATATGAAATCCTTGATCATGTTGGTGATGGTCTTGTTTGCCTTAATATATCACGAAAGGGCATCACTTGAAATTTCAGTCTATTTTTATAACCTGAGAAAACCCTTGAAGGAGCTTTAATTAAATCAATTTAAAAGGCCAATACCATAGACTGTAGATAGAACGGAAGCCATCTGCCTCCTTGCTGTGTGAAGCCACCCCGGGAACAGCACCCTCTGGTGACAGGCTGCAGTATAGGTCATAAATCTTGCCTCTGCCAGCAAAGCTTATTGAGCTGTGGACAAACTTTAGAAATTTATCACACAGAATATAATTTTTTCTCCCCCCTGCTTGCGATGTTGACATGTAGTTATTGTAAGACTGGTTTGTGCCCAAGTCCTCTTTTGTCTGTACAGCTCTATTTTTAAAAGTTATTAGGAGGTTCATGTTTTCTATGATTGACGCTTGATCGAGCGTCATCACAGCGACTCTCGGCGACTCAGATTAATCGATCAAATACCAAATATCGGCCCCAATGATCAGTCCAGACTGATGATCTGTCCACCCCGAGTTTAACAACTTGTTTCACAATGCAGGTTTGACTGTTTTATTTTGGTGCTTTCAGATGTTCATATTTCTATTTTGACATTTAATTGTTAAAGGCGGTGCTTCTCACTTCTCTTTTTGAGGGAAAGAATTGCTGGAAAATTGTGTGTTAAAGTCCTTTTTTTCTTGTGGGTTGAAAGTACCTGTAAGCGGACTGATTCATCAATGAACTTCAAGAAAGTAAATCCCCAGCTATGTTTATAACCAGTTAGTCATTTTTTAGACATAGATGTAATGCTTGAGGGTTAAGTTTTGAGTCTTTTCTTGTCTTATGTGACATTAAAAGCAGAGTTTTTGGACTGTATGCTGTTGATGAAGTGAGTGAATTTAAAGACGTTGTTTTTACTTTGTGCCTTGACTAAATAGACAATGAAAAAAAACCTTTGATTTCAGCTCAGTGCCTCTTGAATATACAGGAAGAATACACTTAAAACTCCTTCACTTGCAATAGAATTTTTTTTTATTGTATTTTGCAAAAGAAAGAGGAAGAACATGTTACTTAAAAAAAGCAATAAATAACAAATAAATAGATAGATCAATAAATATGGGTTTGAGAATCAACACATCCATTATCTGGTTTACAAAAATACTGATTGTATTACATTATCACCAATAACTAAATAAATAAATACATGAAAATAGAAAAGGTTTCAGAGAGTTAATAAATAGATAGATAGATAAATAAATAATAAAGCTAAGTTGGGAGGTTTCAGTTGGCGTTGAGCAGAGATGAGATCAGCTGGTCGGCCGTCATCAGATGAGCTTTGATTTCCTTCCTGATCAACTCCCAGACTTCAGCACCATGACCCTACAGACACAAGATCAGTGTTACTAAACATCATAGATAGATAGATAGATAGATAGATAGATAGATAGATAGATAGATAGATAGATAGATAGATAGATAGGTTTACCTTTTGTTCGAGGACTTGTGTCAGTCTCTTGAAACTCATGTGCAGCTTCTTGTTCTGCTTCTTGTGGCCATGATTCTTGATCTAAAGGAGGAATAACAGAGACAGATTTTAAAATACACTTCTTATGTTTCACACTTGAATGAAAAGCTTTTCTTATTCATCAGGACTTTAGAGTCACAGAAATATATCGAATCAGTTTATTCTGACTTACACAGGAGCGAAGGCCGTCAGCCTGCCGGCTCACAACGCCCAGAAAGTTGTCGGCTGTCCTCTCCTCCCATGATGCAGCGCTGTGATTCTTGCTGAACAGGGTCATGGTCTCATCCAGAACCTGGACTGTCAAAATCACTTTGTCCTCAGCCTGAAAAAGACAAAAAGAAGCAAAAATCAGATAAAAGTCAAAGAAAAATAGGAAAAAGTGGAAGAAACAGACAGAAACACAACAAAGAATGATAGTTTGACACAGATGAAGTCAAATTCCTCCACACTAGAGTCTGACTTACTGCTGCTTTGGACGCCTGGGTGTACAGATCATGAGGAAAGCCCACAGAGTGCCTCAATGCAGTATCCTCAGTGCTGTTAGTGGAGTTACTAGCCTGAAACACACACACAGAAACAAACACACACTGAGTTAAATTCACAAAGTTGTCATTAAGTGAAGATAACTGTTTAAAAAAATCCTGTGAAGGTCTCTTCTCACCATCGTTTCCAGCAGATCCAAAGAGCTTCTACTGAACTCTCTGAATTTATGATCCATCCATCTGCAGTTCAGTGAGCAGCCTGCACTGAACACACTCAGAAACACACACACACTCAAAATTCTGCTGAGCATCTTGAACAAGTTGATGAGTTTTCTTCGTCAGTTTATCAGGTTAGGATGTCTCCTGTAGTTGTGTTGTATTTGAGCAGACCTGCACAGCCTCTTTTATACTCGGACTTGTTTCATTTTCCATATCCACCTGTGGCTTTCACGCACTTCTTACCGACCTCAGCATGCACACAGGTTTATTGTCACATATTTCGGGTTAGAATTAGCGATAATTTCCCACATAGCTAAAAGCTGAATCAAGTTAAACGCTATTACGTAATTACGGTCGACGTGATGTTATATTATAATGAGAAAAACCGTGTCCGGTATAAATAATAATAATAATAAATATATATCTATGAATTTATGAATACCATAATGACAGCATATATTAGCCCTAATAGCCACTCTGATAATGTTGCATCGAAATTTAGTATGAAACGACCTTACATTATTTGAACAATACGGGTGATTAGTTTAATAGAGAGCTCAATAATCCCAAAATTAGACCAAAATTATAACAAGTTTCATAAATAATATTTTTTTTCGATTAAAAAGATTTAAAAAACGAGCACTAAAATATCTTTTAAGCAGAATTTGCCTTGACAATACTCCAAATCAAACCCTTTTTGTCTGAAATTTATGCTTTTAATTTATTTTTATTTTTATTTATTTATTTTTTTCTACATTTATATGAATTATTGCAAAGTTTTGCTCTACGTATTTTGAGATTTTGGGCTATTTTTTATTTTTATTTTATTTATTTTATCGCCTTTAAATGCTTCTAGACGAACAGTACCAAGGAAACACGTTTAAAATAATTATTTTCTACTAATTAGAATTATTATTTTTATTATAATTATTATTGTAATAGCCGTCATGACTGTGCAATTTCACAACACATTGCATACATTCATAAAACCATGAATCTGCATCCAAAGTTCACACGCGACAGGACGAAAGTGATTCCCCTGTGTGAAAGTGAACCAAACTGCGGCCTGTGCAACGTGACTGACGTTTCCACACAGCAATGTGAAAATCGTCACGACGTCATGACGCTTCTCCTGAATAACCGCGGCAGTATAGGTCACAATCACAGCAGTAGAGTGTGCAGAGGAGAGGAGCTGATAAACTTTTATCAGAGGGGAATATCAGCTGTTCTCCTGTGCTGTGTTGTAGACACTTTATGGTTTTATATTGGCTTTTATTTTCTATGTGTGCTTTCTAAAATAGATGTAGATCTGGATTTTTTATCTGTTGAGTGAAAAATTTGTCACACAGAAAAACAAACCTATACTTACAATACATTTTTTCCCCCATTATTTACAATTCACCTAATTCTGTTTACATAATCGGAAAGTTCATTGACATTCCTGAGGATTTTTCCTGTAAAACAAGATAGAAAGTGGGATCAAGATATCGTAAAAGTGAAGATGAAGAGGAGAGGGTGATAGAAACTGACAAAGAAAAATGATGTAATTTTTAGGCAGGCTAATAATCTTGGTTAATGGATGAGAAAAGTACATAAAAGTACATAAAAGTAGGGGAGACCAGGGCCGTTATAACATCATGTTGGGGCGGCAGTAGCTCAGGAGGTAGAGCGGTCGTCCAATAACTGGAAGGTTGGCGATTTGATTGTTCAATTCCCCCCTATCCTGAGTCTGTCCGTTGTGTCTTTGGGCAAGATACTTAACCCACCTTGCACCCAGTGTGTGCCTTCCACTGGTGTATGATTGTGAGTGTTGTGTGGTGGTGGTCAGAAACTGGTAGTCACATTTCCATCAGTCTGTCCCAGGGCAGCTGTGTCTACTAAGGTAGTTTACCACCAAAGCGTGACTGTGTGAGCGAATGAATGACGTATCCAATGTAAAGCGCTTTAAGGGTCATCATTATTACTTTCATTAACCTTCATGAATCACAGGTTTGAAATGCATTTGTTATTGTTTTTGTATAAGAAGCATTTATATGTGTACTAATTAGTAAAGCCACATATAAACTTAGAATTCACATACAAGACACACAAGACAATCCTGAACTTTAGTCCAGAACTATTTTGCAGGATTGGTGCACTTTGAGGGTGATACAGCTGCCCCCAGTGTTGCCAGATTGGGCGGTTTTCCACTTTTGTCCACATTTGGCGAGTTTTTCATTCTCAATATTGTTCAAGTTAATGGAAAGACACTGATTCTGTGTTAAAGGTAAGATGATTTTTTATGTCACCTTAACTTGTTGCACTGTGACTGATTTTTGTGGTTGTGTGTTTGAAATCTCAATCAGATGCTGTACAGCCAGGTCATGTGCGTCTTTCAGCAACACAGGTGTGCAAAGCAGGGAGGAGAAAAAGAGGGAGGGGAAAAGAGAGGCAGTAAGATCCGCTCTGTGCATTTTTATGTGTTTTAAATAGTTTTGCAAGTAGTCCTTGTAGGAGCCAAAATATATTTATTGAAAGTTTTATTTTTGTAGGCACGTCACTTCTGGGATCGTCACCAAGAGGTGTGGGTTTGGGATGTTTGGAGGGTTATTTAAAAACTCACAGGCGTAGTCAGACAATGGGTTTGGTAAGCACTGATAATTTTCACCGATTCATTCATTCATCCTGTTTTAACCTCATTTCACCTTTACTGTTGAAGGCAAAAGTATTGGACTCGTAGCAGTGTGTTTTTTTTTCCTTTTTTTTGAACAATAAATCATTCTTTCTAACACTCAAATCGGACTGATCATTCAAGCGAGTCACAGATGCAAGTGAGCCTAAACCCCAGCGGCCTTTTTTATTGAAGGAAAGCAGTCGCTACAGTCCTCATACGGGTCATTTGTGATGTAAATAATTAAATTCATTAGGCCTACATGGTTAAAAGTCTACCTTACTAGGATGCGCTTGGATGCCAGAGGTTCATCTTGCAATTTGTGTGGCTTATGGTTGATTTGCTTCGCTCTCATTGGTTGCAATTAAACCCATTTATCATTTATGTGTGGTTATTTGATGCTATATGAAGCTCTGGATACTTACAAACGTTTTCTATTGCATGTGTTATGATCTTATGGGTTTACATGGATGTCTGGCAACTTGGTGGTTTGGTTTTTATTGGATTGGGCGGGTTCTAAAATGTGATTGGGCTGGAAACTGTCAATCTGATCTGGCAACACTGGCTGCCCCTGGTCTCCCACACTGCACAGACACTCTACTTACTTTACTTTACTTTACTAACAGTTACTTTATGGTTGTACCCAAAGTTTGATATTTTGTTCCACTTTAAACCCAGGCCACCCAACATCCTCTTATGGAGCAGAAGTTGCAAAAAACAAACAAACATGAGTTATATTCACTTTTAAGCTGTGAGACCGGTTGTGTAGCGTTAGCAGACTGTTAAAAATCTGTAGGGTGTTATTTCAACTTATTTGAACTGTGTTTTCAGTGCAACAGGAACTCTTTAGGACTGGGACTGGGAACATGAAGTCCTCACGTGTCAGCGGACTGAACATCAACATCAGCACGCCTGGAAAGATGTGTGTCCTTTAAGAAGAGCTCGTAAACAACATGGAAATACTGTTTCTGTCACTTCAATTCGTTTTAATACATGCTTTGTTGATGTGACATACACAAAATTTATTCATCTTTTTAACGTTTATCATTGTGACTCTAACGCATCAAAATCTTTGCCTTATGGTGCGCAACGAAAGGACGCCATTTAGTTGTAACTTTTATCGTTTAATTTGATAATATTCCAGTTTATATGCTAAACTGAAAAAAATAAAGCATTTAGAATACAAGAAGGGAAATAAGTTAAAAAATCACAATGTTAAGCCGGTTTTAAATGTCTCCAAATATCGATTTTGCAAGTTTTTTTCTCGGGTGTCAAAGTGGTACAGTTTTATTACAGCCCGTGAACGCAGCATTTTTCGGCCGATCTCCCATGATGCATCTGTTCTCCGCTGGATACTACTGACAAGAGAGAGCGTCTCACCTCCCAAGGAATCTGTCGTTTCTAACGCTGATTTATTTGCTTTTATTGGACATTTTAACCGCAGAGATGGAGAGCGACTGTACGGATTAACATCCTTTTAACGTACAGACACTAACTTTACAGAAACGTACGGAGGTAACGCGGTCTTTCGGATCGTAATGGGAAGATAACCGTCCTGTTTCGGTAAGGAAGCTAACTGTGCGGCTAATGAAGCTGCTGGTGACACCTAGAAGCTTGCAGCACATTCAGGAGGAATGTTTGACTCATGTTTTTACTATTTTACATGAATGTCGTATTTAAGACATGATTACTGACGCTTGTTTTGATTTTACATGCTCATGTATGCGCTGTCAGTCGATTTTGAAAGCTCAAAACGCCCAAATTTGAGGCTAATATCAGATTTCTTAGGTCGCATAGTTGAGGTTGAAACATGCAGTTTAATGGTCTAAATCTCCACAAAGGGAAGTAAATTGTGTTGAAATGCACAGGCCGATAAAAAAATCTGAAAAATAAGCATTGTGCAATTACAACGGTCTTCATTTATGATTCATATTTTACACAACAGCAGAGTTGCCGATACCGATGCCGATTATTAGGGGGGGGGGGTCCGATTACCGATCAATCGACCGATTTAAAAAAAAAATTCTGAAGTTTTGAAATTTTGTTCATCTAAGTAATACATTTTCACTTATTATTTTAACAGATGGCTGCTTTTGAGCCTTTCAAACACTTCTTAAAAGAATTAAAGGCAGAAAACTAATTTCAAATCCTTTTTATTGCTAAAACAACTAAAAAAGAATGAGGTATTTTGTGTGAAGTGTAAACAGTTAACTTCTAACTCAAAATGAGGAATACTCGATAAACTGTAGGCTACTGCTCTTCACGCCGACAGGAAGACTGACTGATCATCTCAGTAATATTCCACGTATTTATCATGAATCAAACTCGATCACATACATGGTTACATGGTGCTTCACTAGTAACTCGGTGTGACTGAGACCAGCACATATTATTATATATATTTAATGTATGCAGTTGAAAATTTGGTGGCAAACCTGTTGGTGTGACCTCAGAATGAGTCTGCAGGCTGCTCTGAAGGACATGTTAAAAAGTCACATGAGACTTGTGTCGAAGCCAAATCTGATTTGTTCAGGTCATGACACCATAAATTAGTGAATCTCCTAAAAACCCAATAGTGACATGATAATTGTTACCAAACAGAACCATCCAGCTTGATTATTGTTTGTGGGGTTACATTCCAGGTCAGTCTGAGGTTCAAAACACGCAGCTTTATTTCATTATTTACCATTTTAACAGAGAGATATGACTTCATCTCATGGCAACAGTGGAGGAGGCTCCTGGAGTCGTGCGGTTTCAAAGACAACTAAGAGCTTTTAAGTATGTAAATCTACCACAAAGCTATCAGGAATAGGATATAAAGCCAGATAATAAACATAATACAGCCTTTTTAAAGGGATAGTTCGCATTTTGTCTTTTTAAAAGGATACTTGTTAATTTGGCGGCTAGCCATAGTATTTTGCTGCACTTGAAAGCTATTTGGGGATATGCATCGTCAGTGGAGAGAAACTAAAACTAGAAGCTCAGTGTAAGTTGATTTTCGGAATGGAAGAGGATTTGAGAAGCCTATAGTTTCAGTATTGTGCATTTGTACTGTAATAAGTACACCTATTTCTGTCAGAAGCTCAACATTAGAGGTATATCTACCTAATCTAGGTGTGATAAAGTCAGTGGAATGTGGACTGGCATTTTTGAGTCCTGGTTTGCTCTCTGTGCTCATGATTGGGGAAGTCAGGCACTGGAGCTACTTCCCTGCAGACGCGCTCTTTAATCAGCGCTTCACATGACTCCGCTACAAAGTGGTTACTCAGGGAAACCATGACATTGTAGATATGTCACACAATACTGTCTTGTGATGGAAAATGTAATGATAGTTCTGCAGCAAATATGAACATCTAAAGAAAACGGGAAGGGGGGAAAAAGTTGTTTCCTTTATCATCACATGCCTTGCATGTCTGTTAAGGGCACAAGCTTGCAAAACTGTTGTCAAAAGTCATCTCAACAGGAAAACAGGGACAGTGTACGTTACATTAGACCCATTTAAGGGTTTGGTTGCAGTTTTATATATCAGTGTATTTTTCTTCCAGTGTGCCATGTGGGAGTAAACCTTCCCAGGAGGTGCCATGTTAGCCACACAGATGCCAGACACGCCACCAGAGGCTAAAGATGTCAAACAGGTAAAACAACAAGCCTTTTCCTCGGAGCAATGATCAGGTCACCACATTGTCTTCTCTTCTGCCTGCTTGTTTTCTGTCTTGCTGTTTCTGTGCTTCCTCTACAAAGAGTGTCCGATTAACTGTTGGCTCTTTTAACGCGGTCAGGTTGTGCCATTTCAGAAGGATATGTTGCAAATGTACTGTTGTAAGTGTACCGAACAACGTTCATAATGTCACTTCTTTTAGAGACCTGTTTTCTGCCTTATAGTCCGGTGTTTGTCAGATTTGTATCATGCACATGAAACGTTAACCCTATTAGTTGACAAGATAATATCAAATGACAAAGTGACTATTTTTAAAGCCTTGAATTAACAAGAATATGTTGCACCCTCTGAACCTCCACCACATTAGAAAACTCAATTACTTTGTCATGACAAAAGTGCTTTAACTTCACTTTGGGGAGTTTGATCAGCTCTAAAATTACAGTTTTATCCTGCACATTCATGTCGGACAAACTAAATTCTAAGTTATTCAAACTTAAGATAAGACGAGCTATTCCTTTATTCGTCCCACAAGGGGAAATTCAAAATTGACAGCAGTGATGAATACAAAAGAGAAATTAAAGAATGCAGAAACTTAGGAGTTAAAAAGATGTAAAAAGGACATATACCAGGCCTTGACACTAACTTTAGGGACACAATGAAAATTGATCAAATAATGTTTGTCTTCTTGGTCGACATAAGTCCTATTATTTGAAATCAGTTTTAGGTCAATTAGTCACATGACGTGGAAACTATTGAAGGAAAACAGCCTTTTCTGAGAATATCAACTAAACAACAGTAATTAATTGACTGTCTCTTATTCAACACCTGACGTTGACAGTGAGGATGCTGAGTAGATTTAACTGCGCTGCTGTCGCTATTCCCAGTTATGGAGAGTGAGAAGACACCAGTAGATCTGCAGTGAATGTCCGTCGAATATCCAACCTAAAACTAACTTCACCGTGGTATTCACGTGAAAAAACATCTGTTGCCTCAGCTAATTTTTTTTATGCGCACATGTGCCCCTAAATACATTTTACAATTTACACACATCTATTTTTAGACGCAAATGCGAGTGAAACGGTCGCACTGTCGAGCCCTGTATAGACACAAACACAGTTGTCATTAAGCAGATACACTGCTAATCATAAAACAATGAGAAACCTGTCTGTGGGGTTCATAGTGATTAAAGGGCGTGTTTGTCCACAGAGGAATTGTTCTCTGTTATTGACTTGCTGCTCTGCACTGTTAATTATGAGATAATTAATGCATGATTTTGATTTGTTGCACATTTCAACTCTTCCCCTCCAACACGAGAAACCCTTGTGTTCTTTATCTGGTGATGCTGTAAAGTAACAAATTCTCAAATGGATCAAACAAAACAAGGATAAGTGTCATCAGAAGAGTCTCGTGCTCCTGAAGTCACAAGATCAGACGCAGAATCAATGGCGGAGCAGTCGCTGGTCATCTTATCAGTTTGAAGAGAAGGTCCGAGAGCAGAATGAGCGCAGACGTTTGTAGTTAATCGTTAGCAGGACGTACTGTACATACGACCACTTAGAGGACTTGGCAGACTTTATACAGTGTGCTGATGACTTGCTGAATAAATGTTTGTGACTCAGACTCAAGCACTTCAAGTCCTGCTAAGTCAAGCACAGAAGGAGAAGAGTGCTTCAGGAACACTTAGACGGTGGCCTCTCTTAAGTGTGCAGCAACCTGTTGCGTAATAAAGGCTCGCTTGTTAAAGGTTTATGTGCTCTGTCTCTCTGTGTCAGCAGCCAGCAGGTGTCATGTGACTGTAGGTAATCTACAGGCCATTTCATAACAACATGACCGCTGACCTCCTTCTATGTATTCCTCCTCTCACTGAAGATAGGAATGCAGAAAATGTGCCTCCCAAGCTCCACGCTGTCAATAAAAACAAGATCGTGCCTCCTGCAGAGCTGTTATCAGTTTGCTTAAGCCTCACACCTTCAATGATTGCTGTTCAAATAAAACATGGCGGCTGATCGTGTTTGTCTTTTATCGGCTGCCACACAGATCAAAGAGAAGTTGGCGCAGTCGCTCAAAGCCCTGCAGAAGCGATATGTGACATCCGACGCGGTCGTCACCAGCGAGGATAGTGATGCCAACCTCCTCTGCTGCGCCCTGGAGGCCATCTTCATCCACGGGATCAAGACCAAGTACATCCGCTCGGAGGTTGGGAGCCGGGGAAGGAAGGGAAACCGAGGATCCCTCCCTCAGCCTTTCTTCTGGAGCCTGTTGAAGACCGTCACCCACCGGTAAAGGGCTCAGTTAGACCAGAATGACATAATAAAAATCATTATTAGTTAAAGGGATATTCCCGCGCAAAATTATTTTAGGGTCAAACACACCATAACACCAGGCTAGACATCCCGTCGAGAGCTGAATGTTGCTGACCGCTTGCTTCTCTAGTTATACCAACTTTAGGAACGACCACACAATAGCAATACAGAGAGCCACGCACTCGACCACAATGCCGCTCTATAACCACAAATAATGCTCAGAACAGCACCTAACTTCATCAACAGTACATATAGGGTCCCAGCCATAGTGCTAGACACCAAACATCTTTTTAACTTTGCCTAATTTCTTTAAGAAAGAGACAAAACACAACTCATTGACTCTCTTCCAGCAGCTGCTTGTTTCTAGCAAGATGTCAGGCCAGTCCATTACAGACTGCAGTGGAGTTTCGCAGCTTAAGGAAGAACATTTATGATCATTTCTTCATGGAAATGCAATCAGACCGAGACGCTTAGGCAGAAGAACTAATACGATGATTATTACTTCAAGGAAACAGTAAAAAAATGACCATAAATGTTCTTCCTTGAGCTGCGAAACTCCACTGCAGTCTGTAATGGACTGGTCTGAGGTCTTGCTACAAACAAGCGGCTGCTGGAAGAGACACGGTGAGTTGTTTTTAGTCTTTTTGCTAAAGAAATTAGGCAAAGTTAAAAGATGTTTGGTGGCTAGTGCTGTGGCTGGGACCCTATATGTATTGTTGATGAAGTTAGGTGCTGTTCTGAGCATTTTTTGTTAGTATAGAGTGGCGTTTTGGTCGAGGTTTGTTTGTGGCTCCTCATGCCGCTGTGTATTGCTATCCTGAGAACTAAAGAAGCAAGCCGTCTGCAACAATTATCTCTTGAGGGGGTGTCTAACTTGGTGTTACGGTGTGTTTGACCTTAACTTTATTTTACGCCAGAATATCCCTGTAAGAGTTCCAGCCGATGAATCTGACCTAACCGTTTTTGTTTAACCTACAGTGATGTGATCACAGAGCTGGAGAAGATCAGCTTCGTCAGCTCCGACGTGGGTCGCTGTAGAGCGTGGCTGCGACTCGCCCTCAACCACGGCCTGCTGGAGTGCTACCTCGCCTCCCTGTTCCGGGAGGACTCCAAGCTGCGGGCCCACTACCAGCCCAGTGCCTTGCTCCTGAACGCCGAGGAGCGGGAGGTTCTGCTCAGCTACCTCCAGGGTTTAGCATCACTCACGTTCAACCTTTCATACAAATCAGCTGTTCTCAACGAATGGACTACCACGCCTCTGGGTCTGGCAGGACTCTGCCCCTTATCCCAGGCGGACTCTCTTGATCTGCATCTTAACGGTGGAGACCTTCCCACCTCTAGGCCTGCGTTTAAAGAATCATGGGACACTGTGTCTCAGTCTTCAGGCTCTTCAGATGCTCAGGATCTGCTGAGGGGTCCAGCTCTGCTGTCAGGAAGAGGGTCAGGTGGATCTCAAAGCGGGAGGACTGGACTAAACTCTTCCAATTTAAGCCTGGACACCACAGGCTCCTCTCAGCTCTCCTCCAGTTTGAGCTCTGACAGCCTCCTGCAGGGACAGGACCCCCGCAGCCCCACAGGAGAACAGTGGTCCTCATGTGACCTGGACATGCCTGGTAATGTCAACATCAGCAGTAAGAGGACACAGAAAGAGTAAGTGTATCTTTGAGCATCTACTGATTATTTCGGGTACTGTTGTTTCTTTTGAGTTATCCCATAATCTAGGGCTGGGCGATATGGCATCAAATCAATATCACGATATATTGAGCAGTTCACCTCGATAACGATAAGTAGATGATAACTACTGCACAAGCTGCTCACCCCCTCCCACATTAACTTCATTTACTTCAGCCGCTTTTTGTTACTGACTGGATGGGATGGAGTTATGTCTTTGACGTAGGACAGTGTCTTAAAGGGACATGAGACCATAGCCTACCTACACACATCCAAAACCAACGTCTATCATTATTTTTTGACACTGAATATATTGACTTGGGCAAAATGACGTTGGTTATTGTCGTAAATTTCAGTATCGGTAAATTTTCGGTTTATCGCCCAGCCCTACTTACATGTTTTCCTCTTCACGTTGTTGCATTTTGGATTCAGGAACAAACTGAGTTCACTGACAGAGGTTTTATAAATGGGATTTTAAGTCCATGCAGCAATATCCACTACAGAGACATAACCAGTCATGTTACCTACCTGTTGCAAATTAACTTAGTAGTGAGGAGATTTTTTTTCAGATAATTTTTAAACCTCATTCGACTTTTTCCAGTCTGGTTTCCCCCCCTGTCTTAACTGTTTTAAATTATTAATGATGTGGTGCTTATATAGATTTATATTTACATATTTTAACTAGAATATACTAAAACTATTTTAAATACGTAACAAAGAACATAAACTCCTCTTTTAGTTTTGTTTTGCTCTAAAATATTCACTTCTTGTCCTTCTTTCTGTAGCTCTCTAACTGAGTTTCGGGAGAGCGAACACTGCAGTCAGGACTCCATGCGCGAAGACTCGTTCGTCTCCAGCTCAGGTCCAGATCAGTACTCTGAGACCGCCATCTTTAGCGGCTCTGACAGCGAGACCCCCGGTCCCACTACGCCACCCAAAGACCAAACTCCACCCCCTGAGCTACCAGATCCAACAGATCCCGAACCAGCAGAGCTTGAACTGCCCTCCTCTGATGTTAACTCTCCTTTTGAAGCGTGTACCTCTACGCCTTCTGACTTAAACGCAGACAGAGACGTGGTCTCAACAATGAGCGAGCCTGCAGAGGAGGTTTGTACGAAAAGAGCTCAGGAGAGTCCAGAACCTAACCAAGAAGTGAAAGAAGTGGAAACCTCAGAGAAGAAGATATCTGAGACCTCTGTTCATCAAGGAACACGGCGTTCGACCAGCATTTTGAGCAGGAAGTTATCCTCAGACTCCATATCAGTAAGTGCAGCTCTTATGGTGACTCTTCCAATATGGTGGCCCAGAAGGTCTAACCAAACAGTTCAAAAACTGAAATCCAGCACTATTAGACTTAAACACGTGCTTTTATACTTTCAGTTTGTGCTCTGTCATTTTTGGTCAAGAAGTCAGTGATACTAAACTGAACTTCACTCGAGAAAACAAACTCAGTATTTTCACAGAATCCTGAAGTTTGAGTGAAAAGTTTTTATGCTGTTGACCTTAATGAAAGCTGTACTTTTAGATAACGCGACAAAAAGACATTGAATTTACGTATTCGAATGTGTTTTATCATGACGTCCAGTTCGATTATCTTACATTGAACAGACCTGGTGGATATGGCAAGCAATCAAGAGTTGCAGTTGATGTATTTGAGGCCAGTCACATACACTTAAATCCAGGGGAGGTTTATTTAAAAACATAAAAGGATAAATAAAGCCACAGCATTACCGAGTTCACACCTTATATTCCTCCTGTTTTTCATCAGAGCTTAAATTAAGTGTCTGAGGATTTTCCAGTTTGGGGAACAAGGGAAAAACCCTCAATCCTGAGTCATAATCCAGGTTTTTCCATGAATGAAATAACATAAAGATGTCTGTGACTTAAGCTATATTAGTGTACATGGAAAATTGTAGGTTCTTTTTTTATTTTATGACTCAGGGAGACCTTTGACACCCACAAAGAAACACAGGAAACTCAAGCGAATAGCATTAAAACCTCTCAAATATGCAAGATGATGTCAAGCTTTGTGAAGTCGTGTTGCAGGATTGTTTGGAAATAAATCAATCAAGTGCAGAGAGTTAATTTATTCCACCCTCTTCAAACTCAAACTTTTACTCTCTGCTATAATTTTCAAGCAGGAACCGCTTCAGGATGTGTCTCAATATTTTCCCCGCGCAGATGGTGTTTCTGCTGTTTGTTACAGCTCTCACATTACTAACCCCCAAAGTCACATGACACTGAGGAGTACACTTTAACATGCTTTACTCTCGGCACAGAGTGTTCCCTGCAGCTCTCTGACAGTAAATCTAATGTTAGTGGAAATCAATAAAAAAGAGCTGCAGCTCAGTAATAATTCAAAAACCTTCAAATATTAAACCACTAAGTTGTTTAACCTCTAATCTGACTGGCCCTGAGTCAATGTTTTGATATTTTGATATTTTGTTTTGATCGGTTCAGTCTTAATCTGTAAGCTTGTCCCTGTTATGAGTTATTGTTTAGTTTGCTGCAGATGTTTGTCGACGTTTTTAGACCAAACAAGTCATGATTGGTCAAGAAAATGATCCATCGACAGATTCATAAGCAGTAGTATAAACAGTTACCCTGGCTGTAAATCATGAAGTTATGAAAAGCAGCAGAATCTTACATTTGCTCAGGAAATGTTTGTCATTTTCAATATGAAGTATCAGCTACTTTTTTTGTCGTTTTTCGGGGTCTACTTGATCGAGGAACAAAGGTGAATTCTCATATTGTTGCCTCTTTTAGGCTCACTTTAGTTGAGTCTCGAAACTTCTGTCCCTTTTTGTTGTGGCGAAGACTTCAAATCAAACTTCCTGATGTCCACTTTGCAGCACTCCCGCTCCTGGATCTCTGAGGACGACATCTACAAACCCCATCTGGAGGAAGAGTCGGACCACGAGGAGGTGCCTCCCTCTGCTCCCGCCGATGAACCGAAGGTGTCCCAGTCAGCTCCCAGTGTGGTCCACCGCAGGCAGATAGGTACTCTCTCTCTCTCTCTCTCCCTGAAGTCAAAACAAAAAACCTCTTATCGTCATTTTCAGCTGAATATCACTGAGCTTCTGTCTTGTAGTCAAACGACAAAAGACATTCTGCAGTTTTACGTCCAAATTTGAATTCGAATCAGCAGACTTTTTAATTGACTGTTTGTTTTTTCCGGAAAATCAACAGTACTGGAATTTCCTGCAGAACTGGAAACTTAGGAATCAAAACACCGCAGCTTTAACCGCACCTCTTACTGTAACTAAACAACACTTTCTTGTCATTACATCATCCTTTGGAAAACGATCTTTAACCGGAGTGTCATAAAAAGTTCTCTTTCTTGCAAGACATCACCTCCGGAGAGAGTGACAGCTTCTTTACAAGTACAACAAGAAACTTTTGGTGACGTCGCACCATAACAGGGAAATACCAGGACTGGGAAACATTTGTTATTATATCCATCAGGTCAACGAATACCTGTCTGATCACTACCCCAAGAAGAAGAATACAGTAACAAGAAACACTGCTTTTTATACAGAAACATCTGATTATGATTGATCAACTGTTTCAGTCAAATTTAAATGTATGATTCTCATCAGCTTCTTTTGCATGATTGATCGTCATGCTTTTATTTTGAAATTTTCCATCTTGCTTGAAGGTTGCTTGAAATCCTGCTTTGTCAAACTGCTCTCTGATTTCGTAGAACGCTGGTTAGAGAGTATAAATGTCCATTTGATTAGTGATCGGCAGAGGCTCAAACACTGTTTTTGGATTTACAGTAAATCTTTAACTTCAGTTTTAAAGGGATATTCTGGGGTTAAAATAAAGTTAGAGCCAAACACACCGTAAGATTGAGTTAGACACCCCCTCGAGAGATTAATGTTGCCAACTGCTTGCTTCTATAGGTATATCAACTTTAGTAACGACCGCACGATAGCAATACACAGCGGTCTGAGGAGCCACGCGCTCAATCAAAATGCCACTCTATAGCCAAAAATAATGCTCAGAACAGCACCTAACTTCATCAACAGTACATATAGGGTCCCAGCCATAGCACGAGTCACTAAACATCTTTTTAACTTTGCCTAATTTCTTTAGCAAAGAGACTAAACACAACTCATCTACTCTCTATCAGCAGCCACTTATTTATAGCGAGACCTCGACCAGTACATTACTGCAGCGGGGTGTCGCAGCTCAAGGAGGAACATTTATGATCATTTCTCTATCATTTCCTTGAAGTAATGATCATAAATGTTCTTCCTTGAGCTGTGTCACCCCGCTGCGGTAATGGACTCACCAGGGGTCTCCGTACAAACAAGCGGCTGCTGGAAGAGAGTAGGTGATATGTACTGTTGATGAAGTTAGGTGCTGTTCTGAGCATTATTTGTGGTTATAGAGTGGTGTTTTGGTCGAGGTTTGTTTATGGCTCCTCAAACCGCTGTGTATTGCTCTCGTGCGGTCATTACTAAAGCAAGCGGTCGGCAACATTCATCTCTCAAGGGGGTGTCCAACTAGGTGTTACAGTGTGTTTGTCCCTAAACTAATTTTACGGCGGAATATCCCTTTAAAAGAGTCATATCATCTCGTAGAGGACTGCTTCAGTGAGCTCGCTTTCAGTCTGCTACTTCTTCTTCGCCCAAAAGGAGTTTTGACTAAATAAAAAGGTTAACTAGCTGTTAGAGGATAAACACTGATTTTATTTTGTGTCTTTTTCCGTCAGGTCTGGCCAACCCGTTCCGTGGATTGTTGAAGCTTGGTCACCTGGAGCGGCGAGGCGCCATGGGGATGTGGCGGGACTACTACTGCGAGCTCTCACCCTTTGAGTTCCGCCTCTACTTTAACGCAGAGGAGCGGGCGTGCTGCGACAACTGCTCCCTGCTGAGATGTGAGGACGCTCGCATCACCTCACCCGAGGGCCGTTTCGAGCTGGCCTTTCCTGGGAAGCGACTTTACCTCCGGGCGGCGAACCACGATGAAGCCGAGGACTGGGTGGACCGGATTGTGGAGGCTGTTAACAAATGTCGGCCCGCTTCTCGTGCAGATGATACTTGGGAGGTGTTGCAACCCTACCAGGAGAACGGCGTTGATGTGTCCTCTCAGTCCTCCACCCCCTCCAGCCCCGACCGAGGTTTAACCTCCTCTGACACAAGGACAGGTGGGACTCAGGAGGTGCCTCCTCCTCCTCCTCCTCAGCAGGACTTCGACTGGACTAGGACTACTGATCTGGAAACAGATGCCATCAAAGAAGCTGTTTTGTACTTCTCAGTAGATCCCGAAGCTCGCACATGGACACCTTTGGTCTTCTCCCTCTCCCTGGAGGCCTTGAAAGGCTTCCTTGTACGAGACGGCAAGAAGTTCCTGCGGCTGACTCACCAAATTGAAGAAATCCGGGACGTGGTGCCTGACGTCTCTATGGGGGGACCAGAATTTTTCAAACTCTTAACCATCAAGGAGACCTTCAAACTCAGGGCTGAGAACCCAGAGGAGGCTCGCTCTTGGAGGGTTTTGATCCGGGGAGCTCTGGACTCGTACCTAGAGAGCGGGGAGGACGGGGTTTCCGCGGAACCAGCTGTAGTGCGACCTGAGGTGAACGGAAATCTGCAAAGGCTGGTGCAGCACAGACTGAAAGAGAACGGAGCTTTACTGGTTCACCTGTGCTCTGTACCGTCAGAAAAAGGGCTGGACACTCAGGGATTCAGGTGTGCAGGTGAGCCGTCAGTTCAGGGCACCAAAAACAGACTCTAAGCTACCCAGAAAACACTCCTAATACACAGAGGAAACAGTCACCATGTCTGAGGTGTCTGGAGTTTGTGATTTTTGAATGTGGATCAGATGTTTCAGAGGTTTGTTTGTTCACTGTATTTTATACCCAGGATGTCCCAGGCAGGTCGGTCCGTCTCTGGGTAGAGCGAGGCTGTGCGAGTTCTCAGGCCAGTACTACTGCGACTCCTGTCACCATGGAGACATCTCAATCATCCCGTCACGAGTGGTGCACAACTGGGACCTCACACAGCGGGAGGTGGGTACTAGAGGATGACATTTTTTATCGCACAGGATGGGAGTCATTTTTTAATAGATACCGCGATCGGGACAGGACGGGAAAAAAAGCAACGGGAGCGGGAACAACATTAATAGATGATCATTTTCAGCCGTGTTAAACAACCAGATGAACAGATGCGTCCATTTTTGTAGTCATCTCTCAGTGAGAGCCAACACTCTTGACCGCGCTAGCAACACAAAAGAACTACAACAGTGGTTTGACTTCCTGTCACCATTGGAAGTGAAAAAAAGAAGAAAAAGAAGTGAAAATTATGTGTGTCGCTGTCGGCGACGAGCGACTACCGCTCCGACTCGGCTGACACTTTTCCCTAAAAATTTTTTATTTTAAAATAATTACAAAAATTTTTCTTTTAAATAATTATTTTAAAATAAAAAAACGTTTTTTCAACACGTTTGGTTTTATTTTGAGTGGGAGTGGAATGGGAGTGGGAGTCATCCTACGGGAGTGGGACAGGACAGGATTGATTTTATTACTCCGGTCCGGGATTGGGATGGGATTTTTTTTCTCTGGGAGTGGGACAGGATAGGAGTGAAAATCCGCTCCCGTGTCATGCTCTAGTGGGTACATGACTAATATCCCTGGATGCTTAGTGAAACTGTCTCACTGCAAGTCTGACAGTTTTATAGAAGTGAAACTCTAATGCGACTTATTTAAAGAGTAAGGTCTGGTGTCACTTCAAAACATTTGTGTGACAAGTTTGAAAACCAGCTCAGTGTTTCTTTCCCCTCAATCACACACCTTTCGTACACCTGTGTGTCCGTCCAGGTGTCTAAGAAGGCGTTGCGGCTGCTCGCTCAGGTGGAGCACGAGCCTCTGCTGAACCTGGAGCAGCTCAACCCCGATCTGGTGCATCACGCTGAGTCCATGGAACAGGTCCATAACCTGCGACAGAGGCTGCGTCTGCTCGGAGACTACCTGGTCGCCTGCCGTAGCAGCGCCTGCAAGAAGATGCAAGCCAGGTGTGTGTGTGTGTTTTTGTGTTTTATATCTTATCATACTCTAATGAAATGCTTACACATCTATGGTTTTGATGTATTTTCTTGCAGAATGATGCAGCGAACCTACATGTTGGAGTCGAGCCACCTGTACAGTGTCATGGACCTTCGACAGGTATTAACTGCGTTAAAGCAGCTCTCACCTGTCACCTTGAATCTACTTAACACGTGCATTCTCGTGATTCCCAGATCGCCGAGGGCCAATATGCAAACTACCTGCTCACGCTGGTGCAGCACGCCTCCAACCACGTGTTCCAATGCGATCTTTGCACGCAGCGCGGGTTCATCTGTCAGACGTGCCACGCCGATGACATCATTTTCCCTTTTCAGTTTGAGTTCACGACAAGGTACGCGATCCTGAAACATCACCGTCTTTTATTTGAATTACCTTTAAACTTGTTTCAAGTTTAAGCGACTTTTTAATCTCCGCTCTTTGACTTTTTGACCATCTGTGATTGCTTTGAGTATCTCAGTTTGTGGAAACGCTACCTCTTTCCTCTTCTTCTTCTGTTGTCATTTTTTCCAGCGTGCCGTTTGGTCACCACTATTTCCTGTCTCTCACAACTAATTTAAACTTCGGACATAAATAACACTCAGACTGGAAAGTATTGCAGTTCCGCTTTAGCTGTATTCAAGTTTTCATTTTGTTCGATATGAGCGTTGACTCAGGATTTAGGATAAGATTGTAGAATTTTATTTATTTATTTCGGTATAATATGACCAAAAGGTGTAGGTAGAAGCAATGCTTATCAAGATCTACCTCTTATACCATACATCAAGTACATTATACATATACACTCTTCATACAAATATCAACACTTCAGTATATATTCACTCTTCAAATCAGATAGAGTATTAAACATGCTTTACACTTGACATTAATAATTTACAATAAATCAACAGACATCATTTTCTCTACAGTATTGAGAAATCACATTATTCTTGTAAAGTCTCTAAAAGGTGAGCTGGCAGGATCTGAGGAGGTGCCAGTTTTTGGGAGAAATCTTGAATGTAAACTCTACCCCTCCAAACCAGTTTTCCCCTCAGCTTCTCCTCTCCCCTCTCTCTCTGCTCCAGCAAGCCCCGCCCACAAACAGACGCTCCAGCTCGCCTCAGATATACCTCAGATAATTACAAATGGGGCCCAGTCAATGTGAAAGTAAAAAGCATTAGTGCTACTGTAGATGCCAACAGACAACCAGCAAACACAATGTTTGCAGGACTTCTACAACTAGGATAAAGTGACATAGTCCAGGACACGAGGTCAACAGTTAAGCAGCGCTACAACACGCAGCAGGTCCCGTTTGACAAGAAACACTTCTGTTACAGACACTTGGCTTACTTTGTTAAAGCGGTTTACCTGTCCAGCAGAAAGTTGACATTTGTTCGCACTTTTGGTTTCTCAAATAATACACAGCCTCTTAGGTTGTAATTAGAGTCCCTCAGTTTAAACAGGTTCTGGACATGTTGCAGTAAGGCTAGGTTTTTGGCGTTGTACATGATTTGTATCGTGATCTAATTTATGCAGATTTGTAGTTTTTAAATGTCTGTTTTTGTTTGTTTTGGACACAGGTGTAAAGATTGTAAAGCCGTTTTCCACCTGACCTGCAAGGCTCCCGACGACCCCTGCCCTCGCTGTCAGCGCATTAAGAAATACCTGGAGAGAGATCTGCAGTACTGATCACAGCCAGAGGAGGGGAGGTACTCACAGACCCTCTTCCACCTCTTTCTCTGCAAATTAAGAAGACGCTTCACGAAGAGAAAAGTCACAGAAACTAAAACTATATCGAGTTTTTTTTACACAAAGTAACCTCAAGTGCAATTACGAGTAACCTGCCTGCTAACTGGAGAGAGAGTGTAGGAGCCGCAGAGCTTCAGTAGCTACAGTCTCTTGCACTAACTCAGAGGAACACTGAGCCTCTGGACGCTGACTAAACGCAGCCAAATGTTACTGACCGCTGACTTTAATACCTCTGTGATTTCCGACTCAGCCACGGCATCAAACGAAGGACTGGACGACAGTGACAGCTGCTGCCAAGAATCTCACTCAACACATTTTCACATTGTGCTCTTTTTCTTTTTTAATTTGATTTTTTATCGTGTCGAAATATATATCTATATATGTGAAAAAAATCATGTTTACCAGGAATTCTCAGCAACACACTCTCGACATGCACAAATAAACAACAACACAAAGTGCAAGATATGGGAGGAAGCAGCACTTGGAATGTCCTAATAAACAGATTGATTGTGCCTTCTATTTAATTTAAGCTTTACACTATTTTTCTCTGTTTTTATGTCTTTTAATTCAGGGTTGAAGCATTACATAGACAGCTGTGTTATATCATACATGCGTAATTTACCATAACCATAAGAGGGAGTTACATAGCTGCGTTAGATGTTATCTTATATTGAGGTGAAATGAAATTTTGGGACATTTTTTCTTCATTGACTAAAATTTAAAAAGTTTACAACTAAGTTTGGGATTAATAAACATACTTGTGTGATGAAATAAAACTTTATTGTTTGAAAGGTTTTTAAGGGTGATTCAAAAATGCATATTATCAGGTTTCCTTATACAGTGAGCCATTTGCATGATAATGTACAGCGAGCAGTTCATTATTCCTAAATAAGGATGTGGTCGCTGTGCATTATCGTGCATATTCTTAAATAACAGAAATTGTGTAGTATACAGTAAAAAAATAGAGTTGAATCAATAGTCAGATTTTAAGAAATAACTGAATGTATTGCGCTGTAATCAGAGTTAAATATTAAGCAAATACAAAGTGACACAAATCGACAGCAGGAATTGGTTTGAATATCACATTGGCCCGGAAACTTACTTTGCATATTTGCACTTTCAGCTACGACTGTTAAATATTTCAATATAAGTTGGAATATCCTCGAGCACACAGATGACCCCCCTCTGCTGACATTTCCTGTTTTACTCTGTTGTAGCATTGCACTCAGAATTAATATATAATTCTACTTAACCACAGAGTCAGCGTGAAAAGAGAAGAAACTGAAGGTTTACTGATGTTTGTCATGATATATGCAGAAAATATCACCTGTACTGGTTTTCCTGTTTTTTTTTTTATGTCATCTCATTCATAATCAGAGGTATGAATAAATAAATAAAAATTCTTCAATAAATCTCTGTGTTGTCTTGTTTTTTGTAGGCACGGTTGTGTGTTATGTAAGGTAATTTATAACCACTTTAGAAACTCAAAACAAGCTACAAGTCATACGCAACAGAGGACAAAAGCAGCACCATTAAACCAGCTGTACAAAGTGTGGTGCACTGAACTGAGTCCTACATCAGTATTTGATGCTTGCTATCCCGTCTTGGCATGTTTCCTGACTTATCATAGGCGAAAAAAACAGATCATTTAATGTAAATTTACATTTTTTGATTCAATTAATTCAATGTTAACAAACCTGGAAAGCTTCACTGAGAGACTGAGAAATCTCCTTTGCAGGAGAGTCCTGGCCAAGACTCTCAGCAGTATGTTTTAACAAACTACAAAAACACATGTTGATATTTTTTTTTGTTTTACAGCAGAAAAAAAACAGCCTGATACATTTTCCTCTAATATCTTCTACCAGAGAAAGATGTAGCAGGCTGTACTTATTTACCAGAACGCAGTGAGTGACCTTTAATGTTATTAAAAGGTGTCATATTTAAAGCTTTGTATTATTATTATTATTTTTATGTTTTTAAGAAGAGGCTTAAGACTCACCTTTTTAACCAGGCTTTTATCTCTGTTAATAGTCTTTTTCTTACTTCCCATCTTAGAGTTTTTTTTACTTCTTTTACCCCTTTTACATGGTAAAGAGCTCTTACTTATCTGTTCATTTAATATTATTTTCTTGTTTTAGTCCATCAGATTTGAGTCTTTCTTTTTACCATTTTATTTTTTATCTTTGATCTAATAATAATAATAATAATAATAATAATAACAACAACAACAATAATAATAATAATAATAATAATAATAATAATAATAATAATAATAATAATAATAATTATTATTATTATTATTATTATTATTATTATTATTATTATTATCATTGTTAATTTATTAATTTATTCATTCATTCATCCATTCATTCATTCATTTATTATTTTATAAACTCAAATAATAAAAATAACAATAAATTATTATTTTTGTGCCCGGATTATTTTTGGCTTTCACCATTCCAGGACTTTTTCTATTCAGACTTGTGAAACTATTTTAATTAATTAATAATCTTTAATCCTCTCTTTTCATTTCCCTAGTGTTGTTGTTATTCTCCGTGCTGATGCAACACCTGAAATCCTCCACAATAAAGTCTCTTATCTAATCTCAGGTAAAGACGCGTGTTTCCCCAAACATTACAGACACGGGAGCTGCAGGCCTGATGTAACACGGTGTGATTTTGTGAATTCACGGTTAGTGGAGGAGAATCCCTTTATTAAGAGCTGCTGTTTAGTTCTCACGATTAGGCCTTTTAATTCTCATTAAAACAACGTGAAATGCCATTGAGCTTTTCTTGTGAATGAGCGTCAGAGCGCAGCCGCAGACACGGACAGAACTTTCATTTTCTCTCCGCGGGAACTTCCCGTTTTATGGCCTTTGATGGACACCGTCCTGGAGCTGAGGGAACGTGAGCCTACGTAAGCACGTAATAATAATAATAATAAATCACAGGTAAACAAAAGTTCTGTTTTGATAAAAGTCGCTTTTAAAAAGGAAAACACAGCCATTATTTTTTTAATAATTAATACTATAGACATATGAAGTTTATGTAAACTTAAATATGATGCTAGAGGGACACATTAATAAAAAAACAACATTAGGCTACGAATTAGGCTAATTAATTTTATCGCTTTTTGTCGATGTTGTAGTATCTTTTTACTTTGCACGGACTATTATTAATATTCTCTTTTTTTTGCTTTAATATGAAACACTGAGCTGGAGCTATAAACATGTGTTCGCTTAATATTATTATTATTATTATTATTATTATTATTATTATTATTATTATCTACCAATTTAGTCATTATTATCTGCCAATTACATGTTTTTATGCTATATGCTATAATCAGGAGCCCAGCCTATCGAACAACTGGAAATAACTCCAACAGCCTACTTTGTATTTTATTATAAACAATTTTAAATTATATTTTATTTATTTATCTATTTTACTTTTGAAGTTATGCTTTGAAAACGTCAATAATTTGAATTTGCTCTTCCCTTTTATTAATCAAGTCTCTGTGTGATTATAACAGACTCTTTTGGCTCCCACTGCATACAGAGTGAAATACCATAGCTGTATTATTATTGTGGTTAAATGTTTTAGTGTATTACACTGATTGTAATCCGAAATATGTGACAATGAACCTGTGTGCATGCTAAGGAGAAAGCCACGCGTGAGTGCGTGAAAACCACAGGTGGATATGGAAAATGAAACAGGTCCAAGTATAAAAGAGGCTGTGCAGGTCTTCTCCAACACAACACAACTACAGGAGACATCCTAACCTGATAAACTGACGAAGAAAACTGATCAACTTTTTCAAGATGCTCGGCAGAATTTTGAGTGTGTGTGTGTTTCTGTGTGTGTTCAGTGCTGGCTGCTCACTGAACTGCAGATGGATGGATCATAAATTCAGAGAGTTCAGTAGAAGCTCTTTGGATCTGCTGGAAACGATGGTGAGAAGAGACCTTCATTGGATTTTTTTAAACAGTTATCTTTACTTAATGACAACTTTGTGAATTTAACTCAGTGTGTGTGTGTTTCTTTGTGTGTGTTTCAGGCTAGTAACTCCACGAACAGCACTGAGGATGCTGCACTGAGGCACTCTGTGGGCTTTCCTCATGATCTGTACACCCAGGCGTCCAAAGCAGCAGTAAGTCAGACTCTAGTGTGGAGGAATTTGACTTCATCTGTGTCAAACTATCATTCTTTGTTGTGTTTCTGTCTGTTTCTTCCACTTATTCCTATTTATCTTATATTTCCCTTTAACTTTTGGCTAATTTTTGCTTCTTTTTGCCTTTTTCAGGCTGAGGACAAAGTGAGTTTGACAGTCCAGGTTCTGGATGAGACCATGACCCTGTTCAGCAAGAATCACAGCGCTGCATCATGGGAGGAGAAGACAGCCGACAACTTTCTGGGCGTTGTGAGCCGGCAGGCTGATGGCCTTCGCTCCTGTGTAAGTCAGAATAAACTGACTTGATATATTTCTGTGACTCTAAAGTCCTGATGAATAAGAAAAGCTTTTAATTCAAGTATGAAACATAAGAAGTGTATTTTAAAATCTGTCTCTGTTATTCCTCTTTTAGATCAGGAATCACGGACACAAGAAGCAGAACAAGAAGCTGCACATGAGTTTCAAGAGACTGACACAAGTCCTCGAACAAAAGGTAAACCTATCTATCTATCTATCTATCTATCTATCTATCTATCTATCTATCTATCTATCTATCTATCTATGATGTTTATTAACACTGATCTTGTGTCTGTAGGGTCATGGTGCTGAAGTCTGGGAGTTGATCAGGAAGGAAATCAAAGCTCATCTGATGACGACCGACCAGCTGATCTCATCTCTGCTCAACGCCAACTGAAACCTCCTTTCCTAGCTTTGTCATTTATTTATTTATCCATTCATTTATCTTTCTATTTATTTATTTTTAATAGTCTGAATGCTGTTTTATTCTTATTTATTTATTTAGCTAAGCTGTCTGCGTCAAACATCATATTTATCCATGTATTTATGAATTTATCTTATTAATATTTATGAACTGTAATCTTTCATACCCATGTATTATTCATTTATTTATTGGTGATAATGAAATACAGTCAGTACTTTTTTATAAATTAGTTCTTTTGACTTAAAGATTATGGATGTATTTATTTATTGGATAAAATGCAGTCTGTTTATTTATTTATCAAGCTATTTATTAACATATCCATTGATCTAATTATCAAATTGTGCAGATTTCTTTTACATAAATAATGGAAAAATTGCCTTTGCATCACAAAAAATGGTTCAATATGTTTTTTTTATGTCAATAAACATATTTTTGCATCCAGCCAAAAGTGTAATGTGCTTGTTTTTAATCTTATTTAATAAAGAGGGGCTGTATTTTATTGTGCATTGACAAAAAGAACAATGACAAACAAACAAAAAAATATATTTATGAATGATTCTAGGATCATAACAACAAAATTCATTTAAAAACAAGTTGATATATATGTATGTTTCCTTTACAGTGGGTTCAGATTATTACAGATAAAGAAAAACATATTAGGTATATCAAACATTATGAACAAAGTTTTGAATAAAGAGTTAAGTGAGGTATATCACATAAAACTCCAAACATGTATTATCCTCAAAAGGGTTGGTCAGTAGGACACACTGGTGTCTTGGTGCCCTCTAGTGGTCTGTTTGAAAAGTGTGAGCAGTGCTGGCAGAGTTTGCTTGAAAGGAGATTTTAAAGGTAAATGACATTTATACTGTATGTGTGTTTGTGGGTTTTCAGACCCTGACCAACCCTTTCAGTACAGCTGCTGGACAATCATTGTGGAGGAAAGTGTAGAGCCGGCCCAAGCCTTAATGCGGCCCTAAGCAAAGTTTCGTTCACGGTCTGACTGATGAATATAGTTCATTTGCTGTGAGTAAATCATGAGACTCTGCCCGCCTGCTCGCTGGTTGTGTGTCGTTTGCCAAAGAGTCAAAAGCGGCAGTTCCACTCCCGACCGGCATGCCAGGTCGGGAGGAATGAATCAGGTCTCGGAGTGATTCGGTTCACGTTGTTCACTCAGCAGTTCCGTTCTTTTGACCGAAACGTTCATGAACGACACAACACTATGTCTTAGGCCATTAGTTTAATAGGGTGACGATTTGTTTTCTAAATATAATGAATATCGAATAATTCTATCCAAAATAAGACATTATCAAATCATGTAAAACTTTTTACTTCAGCACCTGTAACCTGTTCACTCAAAATCAGCTAACAGGTGTTACAACCATCCCTGGTCTCCCCTACAAACAACAAGAAGGCTCCCTGAGTCTCACTCCTAAGTTTAAGTCCTCAGTAAAATGTCAAATTGTTGTTCCTAATGTGCAAACATGTGATATAGATTGAAGGTAGAGCACAGGTGTGGCTCATTAGCCTCTATACCTTATAGCTCCGCCCACTTCAGCAAAACAAAAACCCGGAAGTTGCTCACTTACGAATGGAACGCGTCCCTCATTAAGTTCATTAGTTACACCTGTGCTGTTTAACTCAACTTAAGTTTGTATTATCAGGGTTTTGCTGTTTTAACTGCATAAATGTGTAAAATTGGAGCACAAAAATAAATCATTTCCACAAAAACAGTCTCTTATTGATAAAATACTTTTTTAAGTTACGGTATTCACACTCGCTTCGGTCAGTCGTAAAGGTGTTAAATGAGCTGACGCTGTTGGTGAGGGTGAACTTGCATAACAGAGGATCAGTGTGATGGGAGGAGCAGGCTGAGTGAGGACAGACAGCCTGTAAAACACGCTCAGCAGAGCTTCCACATCCACTCTGCTTCTCTCTGTGCAGCCCGGAGCACCTCTCTGACACACTTCCCTCTCTGCTGGAGCCATTTTTAGTTTGTTTTTATCCCAGCAGGGGAGGAATCACCTGTGTGCGTGGGTGTGTGGGTGTGTGTGACCGGGCATGGATGCTGTTGTAGGCGCCGAGACAAGCGACCCGGTGAGCCGGCTGGAGAGGAGCAGCCACACGGCGTTCATCGACGATAACACGCTGTTCGTGTGGGGAGGGTACCAGGTAAGAGAAAAATGCAGGGCTGTTATTTTATACCCACCTGAACAGGAAAAACTGCAACCTGAAGAGATAAGTAAGCCCATTGTTCGACGCCTGCATCGCCTGATTCACAACACAGACCCTCCAGTCTCTTAAAAAGTCCTTAAACTTTAAAATTGTGCATGAAATGAACATAAAATGCCTTTAAAAAGTAAAAATTAATAGTAGCTGCACGCATTTTAATTTAAATACACCAGTTTTCATTGTGAGATGGAGGCTTTGTACCGTTTTAATGTATTGCAGGTGTTTTTAAAATGATAGTCCCTCTACCGTAACTTTTGTAAAAGGTGGGAACACATTATTGCTGCTCAATTAAACAGCAAACCATACAATACCTTGCATCACCTGTTGCTCTAGTGGTCGCCTCAGGTGTCTTCCAGTCACTCCAAAAGCTGTTCAAAGGTCAAATTCAGGAGAGGATGTTAGTCTGACTGAAATTTAATCCTCTTTAATGCAGTTGGGAGACATTTTTTTTCAGGTTAGTACACCTCAAACAGCCTTTTGTTTAGAGATGGATTCTTTCCTGGTGCTTCAACAATGACAATAGTCAATTGCCTAATTGTGCAATAACCACAGCTCGATTTAGGTGTGCATGCAAATGTACTGACTCGACTTGGGCAGGGGTGGCAGCAAGTTTGACGAGACAAACAGGTGAATAAATTATTAGTTTTCAACTCTGCTGATCATGTCTACTTTACTTTTTTGTAGTGAGGAAGAAAACTAAAGATGACATGCAGCGTGATACTCAAAGAAAGCTACTACACTCAGATTTTAAAGGGAAGCCTTATACCATTTAATCTTCAGTGTTAAAAATGTTGAAGACAAAATATTGTAACCACCTTTGGAAGAAAAGCAACGTGTCACTGCGGCGTTCAAACTCCTACTTTAAACCCCTTCAGTGTGAATGAAATCATCTGTTCTGTTCTTTATTTGTGCAGAGAGAACAAAAACATTTGAGGACAAAAACATCCACAGGTGGAGAGAAAAAAAACCCTAAGGGCTTTGTAAAGAAACCCACCTGACATCGAAATTAAAAGAATCTGCAAATCTCTTCAGAAATGCACAAGCAGAGCGAGCAACACTGAACATAAGTTTCATGAAAGCGTGATTTACAGCGGTACTTAATGACCTAAGGCTTACACATTTAAGAAGCAGCCGGGCGTAAATGTACATGCGGTAAACATTCAGAAAGTTCTCAAAAACATCCTGGAGCCAGGACTCCTCATATGAACTGAACAGGTTTCAACAGGAAAACATATCTGTCTGTATGTTTCTCCATAGACGCAAAATTCAGATACAGGATGTTCTAGATCATAAAAACTCAACCTAAAGTCATAAACACGAGGCGTTTAAGTCCTAATTTGATATTGGTGATGAGCACTTGTCTGGTTTTAAACCTCAAATATCTGCATCCGCATGTTTCTGTGCTCAAATTCATCAAGATAAGATACAAGCGCACATTGTTTGCACGCATGCTTTATATCTTTGTCTCCTCACAGGTTGTTGCAGGAGAAGACGTCATGCTGCCCAGTGATGAGATATGGCTCTGCGATTTGAACAGCGGCACATGGTGAGACAGAAGCGAAACATAAATCAGCTGATATAAACACAGTGTCAACTTGACATTGAGCGTTATAGCTTGTTTTGGTTAAAGTGAAATCTTGAAAAACAAGATGAAGCGACTGAACAAGCTGGATAGAGGCTCTGGTTAAAGTGAGGACTGTTTTTGAGTTTGACAAAGTAGGCCAACCCGAGTTAAAAACATTCTTGTTTTTCAGTCATGTGTTAAGAGAATCTGTTTGTGAAACCAAAGCAAACTCTCACCCCATTCGCGCTGACACTCACATGTGTGTTTAACTTTGGTGTTCAGCCATCTGTATCTTCAGGCTCTTCTCCACCGCCGTGTGTTTTTGTTTGGCAGGGAGCGGAGGGAGATCACCGGAGACACACCTCCAGACTTATCAGGATTCTGCGGCTCTTATGTCAACGGCAAACTCTACATCTTTGCAGGATGTGATCCCAGCGGGTACACAAATCAGGTGAGGCGCTCTAGACCCCTAAAGCGTGGAGATTCAGGTTTGGAGCGAGTCTGTACCTGTGGTGTGCTGAAATTACATCCAGATTAGTGAGCCGAGTGTCTACGTTTCTGGAGAGAAACCTGCTGTAGTCGCCAAAGGGTCTACACGACCTTTTTGTTTTGAAACCACAACCTAAAATTTGATACCCCATGACTGCCCACGCACCTTAGGCTGTGTTTTACGAATTCAGACCAACTGATTAGCGCTGCCATCATCAACTGGTGGCGTATTTTTGCGTCAAGGCATGCTCAGAAATGCACTACTGTTCAAGGACCAGCAAAGAGTCAGTTTAATGCCAAAAGTACGATGACCTTTGCCCTTTTCAACTGGTTGATTTAGGCCTGTTGTGTCATGTACCAAAATAATCGACAAACGCATGTTGATGGGTGCAAACACCAACAACTTAGCAGCTCTGTGACTTTTGTACGTCTAATACAAACGCTTGTTTTTTACTTTTTTAACATTCCCACAATTTGTTTACACCCTGTCGTACAACTTTTTAGTCAAAGCCTGATGTGTAAACTGTGGGGCATTTGTATAAAGCTTGGCCAGTTTGAGTTGTGAAAACGTAAGCGAGTATGTTAGTCAAATGAAGAGAATTTTAGTGTCTTTTCAGTCAGAGTCATGTGTTTATGTGTTTCAAAAGTCCTGTTTCAGCCAAACCAAACCAATTCTCTTTCTCTACCTTTTATAGATGTACAGCGTCGACCTCACAGAGCCGTGCTACTCCTGGAGGAAACTGACCGACACCTTAGGAACGACGCCCTCCCCCAGAAACAAACACTCGTGCTGGGTTTACAAAGACAGGTCAGATGATTTAAAGAACTGCTCTTGGCAACGTTTTCCAGATTTGGGGCTGAAATTTGATGAAGAAGAACTGGTTTGTTTGGCTCAGTAGTTAAATCCTTTACCCATGTATGTAATCTGTAGTCCTCATCACAGATCACGCAATTCTTCACTTCCCACATTTCTTGTTTCCCTTTCTAATTGGGGCAAATCAAATAAATAAATCGCTAAAACGATCAGCAAAAATCCTGCCAAAAATCGTACCCTTAAGTCTTCGAGATGGATCCCTTATTTCTTTATACATGAGATTCACAATTTAACCACCGAGCCAGACCAGCTCCTGTGAGATCAGAACTTTTTATCTGATTTATAACTCGCTCTTTTTCCCTTGTGCAGGGTAATCTACTTTGGAGGATACGGCTGTAAGACCATAGGAGAGGTCCAGAACACATCGTCTCTGAACTTCATCGTGGAGGAGATGTCCTGGGTAAATGATAGTGCTATTTTATCATTTAAAACAAATTTTAAGTCTGCTTTTAACAATTTGAAGAATTTCTTCTAATTGTCTTGATTGCACCGATGCACTGCAGTGTTGACTGACCTGCATTTGATTGCCAACAAACGCTGTAGTTAAAGCTCCAGTGAGGATATTTTAAAATCTTTGTTGGATTGTGTGATTTGGGGATTATGTTTATGCCAAAGATGTTAGCTCAATCTCTGAGGACTGTCAAATGTAATCGTGCTGAGAAACTTCATAAATGAAATCTGTGGATGTCCTGGTGGGTTTGGACCATAATTGTATCGTAATCAGTACCTGCAGCCCTTGTTTTAATGTGATTTTATGGGTTTTTTGTTTGTTTGTTTTTTCACTTTTTGCACTTTTACTGCATGCGAACTGTCGCCTTGTTTATTTAAATGATAATTTTCCTTTTTTTTTTTTTTTCTTTTATTGAAGACAACCATTGGGAACACGTTATTCAGGTGCTGGGGCTGGAACAATGAAGTCAACGTGTTTGATACACATACAGAGACGTGGAGCATGCCACAGACGAAGGTGATTAAAACATACAATAAATAAAGTGAAGTGAAAGGTGCAAAATGATGAGTTTAAGTTTTTGTTTGTGTCGTGTTCAGGGTCCTGTTCCTGTCCCCCGAGGATGCCACGCCAGTGCCTTATTGGGGAGCAAGGGTTACATCTCTGGCGGTGTGGTGAGCAGGCCTGATGTTTCTACGCAGCTTACATCCGGAAATACTCAGCCCAGAATACACAGAAAATTTTTTCCTCTTGTTATATTTCACATTTTGTCCCCCCTGGTTCCCACTGAGAGAACCATTACAGTAGTATATTTGTTTCCCACTTTGCAGTAACAGTTTGGGGAAGGGTTTTCCTGTTTCAACATCCCTTTCCTGTCCTGATGTCACTGTGCCCCTTTGCACAAAGTCGGATCTCTAAAGGGACCTCTGAGTTTTGTTTGGATGAAGCTAATTGACCCGCACAGAGCCCTGACCTCGACTCTAACAAACACGTTGAACCTAAACTTAGACTTGAAGCAGGATCCCGTCACATGATATTATACATACGTTGTGATGGCTGAATGCAAAGCTGCAAGATCTTGTTGTATAAAATATGCATGTGCATCTTTGGTGAGATATTTATCAGTCACATGTGAATTCAACAGTCAAACAAATGTATGTTTGCAGGAAAAGGCAGAGTTGGACATGTTCTGCTTGGACCTCGAGACCTGGACTTGGACCCAGTTGTAAGATTTCTCTTTTACGCATGATAGGTAGAAACAGTCTGTCGGTATTTTCAGCTTTGCTTTGAGATGGTTAACCTGCTTTGTTGCATTGTGTCACTCTTTCAGTGATATACCTCAGTCTTGTTCACCTCTGGGTCGCCTGATGCACACCATGACACCCATTTCAGACAACACACTCTTTGTGTACGGAGGCCTCGGCACAGATGGCAAAACTCTGAGTAAGTTTAGTCACAAAACAAGTGTTTAATTCCAAAATCCCTAACAAATAAAAAAATCTTGTTGAAAATATCTCATTAGACTTAATATTAGCCAAACAAATCCATAAAAAAAGTCAAATTCCAAGATAAAACCAACCAAAAACAAGACCTGATCGCTTTTAATGAGCAGTGAGTTTTTTAAAGAGGAGAGCCAAGTTTGTTAAAATAACAATGTGAGTGATATCTTTGTACCACATTGGCAGATTTGTCTTAATAATTATACAAGTCTACAATAAAGACAAGTCTGTACTATGTTGCACAGATTGGTCGACCTTCTTGTATTTGAAGCTCTGGGGGAAAAAAATGTTTTATGTTACGCAATCCTCAAAACAAAGACATGATCACGCTAAAGTAACACTGTGAGACTGACCTTCCTTTAGTTTTAATCTGTGTTTTATCAATCTCTGTTTTCCACCAGATGACGCCTGGCAGTTTAACACACAGAAAAGAGAGTGGACCAAGTTGACACACCCACACAAGGACAAACCCAGGTTAGTAGATTTCAAGTGTCAGTGTGCTCCGTCTCAGAAAAGTGAATTTGTCATAGTTTTTCTCTTTATATTTGTTGACGTACACCTGCTTTTAAGTGTCAAAAGCAGAAAATAAGATGGAGCAAACATGTCTTCCTCAGGGTTTGTCACACAGCGTGCCTTGGAAGTGACAGCGACGTGGTTTTGTTCGGGGGAAGCAGCAACATGTGCATCCTTGTGGACTCTGTAAGTGTTAAAGAAACACTTGTGAAGTGTTTCCCACGGCAGACTTTCCAAACGGGACTCTTAATGATTTAAAGTTGAGACTGAAACGCTTTATTCTTAGATCCAAAACAAGGTCTTAGTGAGTTAAACATTATGACACTTAATCTTTTCCTTTGGATTGTGCAGACGTCAGCACAACATTGCAGCATAATGCCCTTAATCCCTCTTTCATTCTGTTACTGTTTTAACTAGTTGGCATTTATCCAACAGGCTAATTATAGCAGCGACGTTACGTTAAGTGTTGCATAAAGAAAGCTTAAGTGGTTTAAGGAGTCTTTGTAAAAGTGCGCCTGCAGTATGTGGTCATGGTCCAGCACGAGAGGGACGTGACGTGGACTGAAAGAGTGCTTATGCGAATGCTAATATGCTGACGTTCAGAAATATTAGCTCAGCCTGGCTGAAGAAATAGAAATATGAGGTAAAAGGCATGTATGGCTCTATAATATCTTGCACATTAAAATCCTTTTTTCATGGTTTTAAATGAATTTAGTGACAATACGTTGATATCGACCATTTGAGGGCTGATGCCAGTATGATTTTGGTCCTCTCTACATTATACACCCCATTTTACCAAAACAGATATTGAATAAAAGACTAAATTTAATGTCAAAGAGATACACTTTTTTCCATGTGTTTGTGTGGAAGAGAGCAACTATATAAAAACACAAAACAGAAAAATTTGGGGGGAAAATACAAAAAAACTTCAGATTCTAGATATGATGCTCATGTGATTTTATACATCCATATTTAGGGGGGAATAAATTACATTAAGTAATTGTGTGAAAGTAAAAGCCTCAGGCAATGACTTTACCATCAAACTACATTATTATAAACATTCTAAACATGACAATTTTCTGACTGTGATTGCTTGTTTGATCACCTCTACATGACAGAAAATTATGATTGCGAATGCAAAAAAACAAACTGTCAGGAGGACAATTTTGTGTCCCCACCAGTGTCAAAATCAAACCTACTCCCTTGCACTTTAACCATTTCTAATCCATATAAATGTGATACATCAGTCTCAAAACACACAAATTTGAATGACTTTTGAGTCTAGACATTAGCCACGTTTACATGCAGACTTTTTTCTCATTCGGATTATAATCATTCCGATTGAAGCTCCCAGGCGAACTGTTTACATGGAAGCGATCTATTCTGATCTGGTGTTTACATGTGCCACGGCATTCAATCGGAACAGCTATTTACAGACACGTGATACCTTCAAACATCACGTGATTGATTGATCACGTGATCTCCGACGCAGACCAGTGCATCGTGCTCTGCTTGGAAGCCGCCATCATGTTTCCATGTGAGTCATACGTCACTGCTTGTTTACATCAGGACAGAGCATGCGCAGACAGAACCCAGCCTGACAACTTTCCGATTCACCGTTTACATGACAGGATTTTGCTTTTAATCGGAATGGGAAAAGGAATATTCTACCCCTGTGAATCGGAATGAAATTTCATTCGGAATGGGCCTGTTTATTCCGAATGAGGTGTTTATATGGAGCATTTTCATTCCGATTGGGCTTCTAATCTGATTATATTCGGAATATTTGGCTCCATGTAAACGTAGCTATTGAAAGAAGTACAAAAGAAACCCTGACTGCATTTCTGCAAAGTAATTTGTGCAAAAACTTGATTAATAAGAATCTGTTTTGAATTGAGAGCTTAAAATAACTCGGGACTGGGAGGAGAGTAGGTTATGATGTGACCAATCAGGCTCCTGGTTGGGTTTGAACCGAGGGCTGCCCACTTTGAGTGCTTCTATTTCTGTATACGGTTCATATGATTCGACCACTGAGCTGAACTGGCGCCCCACGCCTGAGCTGATTCAAGTCAAAGACCTTGATCCCATTGGTATCCATTCTCATGCCCAAATATGGTCATTTCAGGCTGCATTTATAAAGAGGTGACTAAAAATGTCAAACTCCGAAATTCTTGACCCGTTTTTTCCAAGCTGGGCAGAGGATTGCTCTCTATCCTCATGTCCTAATTGCTCGTCCTGTTTTCAGGTGGCTGTTCTGAGAGCTCCATCACAAAATCAGTGCAGAGACGTGATCTTCTTCCAGACTCAGCCGTACTCCCTCTTCAGGTAGGTCGGATTTTCACTCTTCATTTCTGAAAGGTTTACCATCTCTTATTTCTGTGTCTCGCCGTGTTGCTGGGACACAGTTGTTGTCGTCATGTTGGCGGTCTGTCTCATGCTTTTGTTGTCACCTTACCAACGCACATCGTGTACATTAGGATTATTTAAGGGCGTGTTTACAAGTCTTTTCCATTCACACGTGATGTAGCAGTTTTAACAAGGTCCACTGAGACTTTTCAGCCCCTGAGCTCTTTTTTACTTTGGCTCTGTTGGACCTGTGCGCCAGTTACCATTCAGTAGAGGACAATCATGTTGTGCGAACAAGATTTACACATGTGGGTGGAGCGTTGCTACGACTGGGACAACACTTCCAACAAAAGTGATGTTCCAGTCTGAGAATCATACGTGTCTGTTTCTTCAGGTGTCAAACAGCTTGTGGAAGTGGCTCCGACTTGAAGTTTAGTAAACAATCAAAACTCAGGGTGTCTGCTGTGGAAAAAGTACAAAATGAAACACTCCTCTTCGTATTTAACACCCAAGTATCACTGGAAAATATTACAAGATTGTATCAGGTTTCTTAAAGAAATTTAATGATCCTTTTTTGAGCACAAAGTAGGCGTGTCTCAGCGCTTTCTCTTGTAACAGATAGCTACCAAACAAACAACACTCTCACTTTAAAGCCCAGTGAGCAAATCTGTGAGTCTCCACCATAGACTGTATATACTATGGAACACATGGTTCCGCCTCCCGCCTGTATACGGATTTGAAGCCAAAAAAGCTCTCGGTATTTCCGGGATTTTTCTTCATTTCCTGAAACCAGCGATGCGCAGTAGCTGTGATGATGCTTGGCTCAAACAGCGTATCCCCCGGGTGAGCTACGCAATCCTTGTACGCCCATAGGCTGTATCAGGTGTCAATCATAGCAAACATGAACCCCCTAATAACTTTAAAAAACGGAGCTTTACAGAAAAATTAGGACTTGAGCACAAACCAGTCTTACTGTAACTACATGTCAACATCGCAAGCAGGGGGGAGAAAAATTTATATTCTGTGTAATTAATTTCTAAAGTTTGTCCACAACTCCATAAGCTTTGCTGGCGGAGGCAGGCGGGATTTATGACCTATACTGCAGCCCGTCAACAGAGGGTGCTGTTCTCGGAGCGAGAAGGCAGACTCTGTCCATTCTATATACAGTCTATAGTCTCCACTGCGAACAGTTTTGAGCTTAACACCAGCAGTAGTATGCTCATACACACTTCACGACAATTGTTTTAGGGGTAACATTAAAGTTAGCCGACTGACCTGCTTTTATTATGTCGCAGAAGCACTGCTGAGACTCATGGCAAGATTGTATTATTTGTATTTGATGTTAAATTAGAATGAAGCTATCAGCTAATTTGATTTTAGAGAAATTTAAGATGATAACAATACGGTGTGTTTTACAGAGAAGTTTAACAGCTTTTAACAGAATTAAAAGGTTTATCCTCTGGGAACATTAATGTCAGATGCATGTTTTGTTTTGTTTAAGTCATAGGGTAAATGATACTATCCCTAATCCCTCTCAAAATGCACAAAAAATGAAAGTAAGTACCTCAAAAGTCTGTTTCCAATCATCAAAACCATTACCTTTCATTGGCATGATGGCAGATTTAACCAGTTGGCCTGTTTTTAAATTTTTTTTTAGCTGAAATACTGTAAAATAACTTGACAGGAGTTGCCATGAATTTTTGTTTTAGCCATTTGTGGAGTACAGAGATGTAAGCCTTGTTTTTTTTTCAAGGGGAGTTTGTAGATTTCTGATTCTTTTTGTTGCATTAAAAAACATTTTTTAAAAATAGAGTTTATGACACATTTTCCACCGGTTTAGTGAATTCTGCTTCTCTATTTCCTCTAGATTGTGTGAAGACTTGATGGGCAGGAACCCCGAGCTGTTTGCGAAGCAGCTGAACTGGCTGCCGACAAAACTACGCAGCCGAATCGACAAGCGAGTTGCCTTTTTCTCATCCACCGCTCCCTTCCTCACAGCCTAGACAGGACGTCTGTCTTCTTTTAGATTCTGAGCCAGATTATTATTATTATTACGAAAGTGTTTTCATTCTCTGTGTTGAAAATATGTTTTTGTCTGTTTGTAATTGTTTAAGAAAGAATTGGTGCTCATGTTAAATTGTTTTAACTTAACAGATAATTTGTAAATAAAGTTTTTTGCCTTATTTTTAACAACTGATTTAGATTAGGTGACATTTTACAGTTTAAGTCGTTTGATAAAGTGCAATCTGTTTTTGAATAAAGGTATTGATATGTTGTATACTACTTTTGTGTTCGTTATTTTCTTCATCAACATGGTTAAACACGACAAACAAGACTCGGAGTTAAATATTCTCCTTTAATGAAATCCGCTTACATGGGTTAAATGGGTCTTAGAAAATGTCAAAGCATGAATTCCTCAGTTCAACTGCCTAAAACTCGACTATTTCAGACCTAAAGCATCTGTTTCTGTAGGAGCTGCCCTCAGCTGCTGCAAGAAATGTACATAAATAGGTAAATGTTACCTGAGAAAGAGGGAGAGGTGTGAGAAGCAGTGTGAAAACTGTAGCTGTATTTATAGTACTTCTGTTTTTTTGTTAAATACCTCTGCTTTTCTCTCCTGCTTCCTGTTTTTTTTGGGGTTTCAGTAACAGACACTTCACCACTTCACGTCATTTTAATCCAAAAGTGAAACCGCACTTTTGTCTTTTTCAATGAAGCCAAAGTGTCCCATCTTCCTCTGAATCGGTCGAAAAAATGCAAACTTGAGGCGGTCTTAGGAAAGGTTAAAAAAAAATAATTGCTATTTTCCACATTTTTAGAAAGCAGCCAGATTTTCTTGTTGCTGACAGCAGATTCACAGAGCGGGTGGATTTGCTTCACACAGGTCGGACGTAGTTAGCGGGCAGCAGGCCTCGCTGTCCGGTGCGCTGGTTGAATCCGAACATCCACCCCTCGTCTATCGGCTCCACGTCTAGGATCACATCGCCTTCCTGGAGAGAAACTTCATCTCCTTCTGCTGCTGCGTAGCTGTAGATGGCCTGGAAACGTTTCTGTGAGCACATACAGGAATTGTCTCACACAGATGCACTGACCATAAAACACAAAGTAGGCAGACTCCAAACTGATTTGCATTCATTTTCCTACTTGGCGAGATTAACGTTGAACAAACAAATGCACAAACAGGAAGCAAACTACACAAATGCAAACTCACAGTAACCACAGGTCAACAGGAAAATGAATGACTAATCAGTCCCATAAGGATGTAACATACAGGTGTCCACATGAGATGTGTGTGTTTATGTAATAGCCTCACCCCTCCAGCAGGTGGTGCTATGGTAGCAGGATGCACTTGTCCCACTGGCTGAGCGACTCTCTCAGGGTTGGCTGGCTGGCCTTCATAGTCTGAAAACACACACACACACACACACACACACACTGTGAATAAAAACACAAACTGTGAAATGACGCTGTTTAGAGTTTCATGTCTCCCACCTTGTCTGTTTTCAGGAGGAGGCGCGTCACTCCGAATTCGGCTCTTCTCAAACTCTTCATGGTACTTTATCTGAAACACACACACACACACACACACACACACACACACACACACACACACACACACACACACACACACACACACACACACATAAAAAAAACACACTTAAAAATCAAACCAGCACTCACACACTCTTCAGCCTGGGTCACCATGTAAGGAGGTGCTGTGAGATGATGAGGGGAGTTATCTCGGCCGCTAAAGCAACAACTCAAAGAGGTGAAGCTGTCCAACACTGAAGCTCTTCTCTGTCCGAACTTTCTTTTATGTCTTTATTTCTCTTTTCTAGCATCAAGTTTCCTCTTTCTATGTCAAGATATTAAGAATTTATCAAGACAAAAGATGAACTGTAGTGATAGAAACATGTTTATCCAAAATGTTTTGATTTTTGACAAATTCAAACAGAGAAAAGTTTGTGCTTTTCAGACCTGATCTTTTCCATCTCTTGAAATTAAATCAAGTTCAGCTCCACTTTTCGCAGACTAGACAAGGAAACTGGATGTTTAATAAGGAGACTGCACCCCCACCTCCCCCTTCACCACCACCCACTGTCCTCAGCAGACCCCAGGGGAGCGAACAGCAGCGAGACATGTTGAGAAAACATGGGAGGAGTGTTAGGGAGAGAAAACAGGCGAGACGGAGGAGAAGAAGAAAACAGGATGGTCAAAGGAAAACAGTCAGAAAAATGACAAATAAAAGCAGGAAGGAAAAAAAAACATATATAAGCAAGAAGGAAAGATGGAGGCAAGGAAGGATAAAGAATGAAAAAAATAAGAGATGAAGAAAAGAAAGAATAAACCAATTTAAAGAAAAAAGAGAGGATAGAATAGGAAAAGGAAAAATGGAAAAGGAGAGCTGAATAAGAAAGAAAGAAAGTAAAGAAAGAAAGTAAAGAAAGTTTGTAAAAAGGAAAGAACGAAAGAAAGAAAGAAAGAAAGAAAGAAAGAAAGAAAGAAAGAAAGAGAGTAAGTAAGTAAAAAAATGAGGAAGGAATAGGAAAGGGAAAATGGAAAAAGAGAGCTAAACAGCCAAGAAGAAAGAAAGAAAGAAAGAAAGAAAGAAAGAAAGCAGAAAAGAAAAAGTGAAGGAAAAGAAACAAAAATTAAGAAAGATAGAAAAAAAACAGGAGAGAGGAGAAAGACAAAAATAAGGAGAAAAGAAATTAAAGAGAGATGGGAAGGAAACTTAAGAGGTAAAATGATGACAAAAAGAGAAAGGAAGATGGAAAACAAAAAGAAAGAAAAACAAAAAGAAGGAAGACAGAAACAGACTAAAAGGAAGTGAGAAAAGTTTGGAAGGAAGCAGAGGAAAAAGTTTTGCTCTTTTGACATGCAGCTTATCACCCATCATTCCTCTCTGACCAGAACGAGGTCTCAGAGGAGAAGAGGGAAAGTTTGTGTGTGTGTGTGCGTGTACATGTGTACGTGTGTGTGTGTGTGTGAGAGTATGTGCGTGCAGCAGTAGAGAACGATCGTTCACTGTGTGTCCACAGCTGAGAGACTTTGACCATATAGGGCAGCTGCTCCTCAGTGGACTGAAAAAAAATGTCTGAAATGTTCCTGTGGGTCTCTGCAGGGTCTGACATTATTCCCTGTTTCTGTGTCCTGGTCCTGTCTCTGCTTCATGGACCATTTCAGCACACTGTTTTCTGGCTGGACTGTTGTGTTTTTTTTATCGCGCCTGAAAGACCTCGCTCGAGCTGTAGCTCATATCTGAGGTTTCTCATCTTCATCTCATTTCCCTCTGATCTCTGGGTTCGTCCCTGTAAAATGTCGCACTCACATTGCTGATCTGGTCTTGCGTCTTCTTCAGCCTCTGCATCTCTGGAGTGTCGGCCACCACGCTGAAACCTTTCCCCTTGCTCTTCTCAAAGTCCTCCTTGTAAAGAGCCTGGAGTTTATGACAACAGATTTAAATGTCAGGAAATAAACATCAACCACATCTAACAGCCAAAGTTTGATGAGTGGAAAATCCCTCCTATGATGAAAGATCGACGCTTTTCCATTTCTGTAAGCAAAACATGAAGCTACAACCAACAGCTAGTTAGCTTAGCATGTTATGAAGACTGAATCCTGGCAAAACTTTGACACAAGTACCTCCAAAGTCAATATTTAGACAGAGACAGGCTTTCTGTCTGGTGTCCCTCTCTTTTTGCTAAGCTAACAAACCATTAGCGGTAGCTTCATATTTACGATATAGATGAGGGTTAGTTTTCCACCTTTTCAATCACCCCCAATAACACAAAGAGTCACACCAAGTTAGAAGATTTCTTGAACATTAAAGACAAGTTTTAGTTACTGTCAATGACACACTTGATGTGAAACACTTGTTAACTCATGCACAGTTTTATCATTCCCCTCAACTGAAGATGCTAATTTACAGTATCTTGGTTGAATTCTGTTAATTTTGCTGCTTAAAGATGCTGAAAAAAAAAACAGGTACAACATTGTGAAAACACAAATGCCCTGTTTGTTTTTAAAGGAAAAACTACTGAAAATTTGGAGCTGAAGTCATTATAAAGTTAGCTACAAGCTAAACAGCCATTAATCAGCGCAAATGCAACAGTGTTGTTGATTACATTAGCTGTCTGTTGCCATGATTTGACATCGTTTTCTTCCGCTTATCAGGGTCTGGGATGCGGGGCAGCAGCTTCAGGAGGGAAGCCCAGACAGATCTCACCCCAGCTACTTCCACCAGCTCCTCTGGGGAATCCCCAGGCCAAGCGAGAGATATAATCCCTCCACCTGGTCCTGGGCCAGCCAAGAGGTCTCCTCTCGGTGGGACATGTCCAGAACACCTCGAACGGGAGGCGTCCAGAAGGCATCCAAACCAGATGCCCAAACCACCTCAGCTGACTCCTCTCAATGTGGAGGAGCAGCGGTTCTACTCTGAGCGCCTCTCGAGTGTCAGAGCTCCTATCGCTAAGGCTGAGCCCGGCCACCCTGCGAAGGAAACCCATTTCGGCCACTTGTATCCGCAATCTTGTTCTTTCGGTCATTACCCAAAGTTCATGATCATAGGTGAGGATTGGCACGTAGATCGACTGGTAAATCGAGAGTCTCGCCTTACGGCTCAGCTCCTTCTTTACCACGACAGATCGGTTAAGCGTCCGCATCACTGCTCACGCCGCTCCGATCCTACCCTAACTCATGAACAAGATCCCAAGATACTTGAACTCCTCCACTTGAGGCAGGACCTCCCCTCCAACCCGGAGAGGGCAATCTACCTTTTTTCCGACTGAGGACCATGGCCTCGGACTTGGAGGTGCTGATTTGCATCCCAGCCGTTTAATACTCAGCCGCGAACCGCCCCAGCAAGAGCTGAAGGTCACTGCTCGACTAAGCTAGAAGAACCGCATCATCAGCAAAAGCAGCGACGTGATCCTCTGCCTGCCGAACTGGACACCCTCCACCCCCCGACTGCGCCTAGAAATTCTGTCCATAAAGGTTATGAACAGAACCGGTGACAAAGGGCAGCCCTGGCGGAGTCCAACTCTCACTGGAAACGATTGAATATTATGTAATTTGTGACTCTGTGTGTCACATACGCGCCCTCTACTGGGTAAGTTGAGTTGTGCGCCTCATATTATGTCATTCGTTCGGCGTTTGCTTAGCTAAAATACATTACATTCTGCATTTTTCTTGGTATTAGTGCTTTTTACCGTATACAGTGTGGCCTTACATGAGATATGTCAAAATTAAAGCAGGATTTAAAAGGATAAAGGTGAACGTTCATATGTTTCATAAACCACACTTGTTTGGTAATCTGAATGCAGCATGGATCAAACCAGTAAGACATGATTTAACAAGCAATTTTTGGGACAAACTTCTAACAAAGTGCAGACAGACATGCAGACAAATACAGTTACACAGATAGAGGTCGACAACTCTAAAACTCCTCTAATGTCTCTAGAACGGTAAAAACAAAAAGTGAGTTGATGAGATTGCAGAGACAAACAAAGACGAAGGTGAGAAACGGTGTTACAAGATTAGGAATCCGCAGTTTTCTCCATGAACCAGACATACGTGACTGATCTGGTCTTGGGTCTTCTTTAGCCTCTGCATCTCTGGAGTGTCGGTCACCACGCTGAAACCTTTCCCCTTGTTCTTTTCAAAATCCTCCTTATAGAGCGCCTGGAAATGTTTCATTTATCAGGACTTTAAGAATCAGTTTCTCAAAATTAGCTCACGGAGGTTTCATTCATTACAAGAGCTGGAAAGATACAAAGCAGGACACACACACACGGACACACACACACACACACACACGCTCTAAATAATGGTATGTTGAGATTCGCCATAAGTTTTAGCCCCGGGGGAAACACTTGCAAAAATAAACAAAATCTGAAATGTTTACTTTAAGTAAATCTGAGATCCGCACATATTTTACATACACACACACTGACACACACACACACACACACACACACACAAGTGAGTCATGTCCTTGCTATGAGGAATATGCTGCCTCAGTGAGAGAGCTGGACTGCCAGGACTTTTATGGTTATAAACAACGAACTGGGCCGGTTGGATGAGACGGGAGGGAAGGATAGAGAGTGGGGGAAACAGCTTTTGGTGTAAATCTGACTGATGTTATCTTAACAACACGCAGCATAAGAATAAAATGAAGTTACACAAAGAGATCATTGAGCGTTTTTACCAGAAATGGACGCACTCACTCTTAGGCCGCGTGGTTGCATCATACACTAGTTCAAGACTATTTCTGTCGTTTGAGCTCTGAGAAAGTTGACCGTGGTTGCAGAGATGGAGAGGTCGATGTGTAAAGGCATAGATGTGTGTCACTCTTGAGGTTCATATCAAACAGCTTCACATATGCTGTTTTTAGCCTGTGCGGTGTGTTCATTAGGGTAATTTTCGGTAACTTCTAAAAACAGATCGATGGTGTTCGACTTCACAAGACGTACATGATAAAGAATAAGACTTGGCTGGTTTACAGTGCGTCTTCGTTCTTTCATCCAACTGGCTGGTTTTGACAATGTAGCTTAGAGATGCTATTTTAAAAAGTGTAAGCGCTCATTCAGGGGTAATTGATCTAATGCTAAAGTGTTTATTTTAGAGGAGTAGGTGTCAGCCAAGCAGATGAAGAAACAGCTCAGTTTTTACAATTTGACTGTCAAAAGTCAGCAGAATGATTTTGTGATCATTGTTTAAGTAAGTAGAGGACAAGTTACACTAAAATTGAAATAGTAAATAGAAGCAGTCATATGCAGCTCGACTGGCTCAGGCCAATTATGGCTGACAACACTGAGCCATGTTGAACACTCATGCAAGATTAAGATTAAGAGGTGGTCGGTGGCTTAAGCTAGGAAGAGGAAGGGTATTGCAGTCTTTACATTTTCTTAGTTAAATCTGGCTTGGCTTTTTTAAAATGTTTCTGTAGGAAGTCTTACAGGCATAAATAGTCATTTGATAGTTTGAGCGAGTCATTCATGCTTTTATTTCCACATGATTGGACTACTGTAACGCTCTTTAGTACGTTTTTAGATCTTTAAATGGATCAGCACCATAGTATATTACGACCTCTTAAATGTTTACACCCCAACACATTCCTTGAGGTCCGCTGATCAGCTCCAACTCGTGGTACCAAAAACTCGTTTAAAAACCCATGGCGACCGAGCTTTCTCGGCTGTGGCTCCCAAATTACAGAACAGATTGCCACTCGAGATTAAAACATTCCCCACTCTTTTTACTTTTAAATTACGTCTTAAAACTCATTTTTATTCCTTGGCTTTTAGCTCAGCATGAGAGTTGTGTGATCTCTGTCCTTTAACGTCGTTTATGGTCCTTTTATCACTTTTACTTCTTTTATGCTTTTGTGTTTTTATTTCATTTTAAATGTTTTTTTTACCTGCTTTTATTTATTTCATCTTGATCTTTTCAGCCTCTGTTCTTTTAGTTTTATTGTGCAGCACTTTGGTAGACTTGAATGTTTTTTAAAGCGAGTTGGATTGGATAAATAGTAACTTAACATTGTCCCAGAGGGTCTGGTTTTCTCTAAATCCAAAAACTTCTCACTGTAGCTTTAAATTTTCAGGCCTCTTTGTTTGGGAGATGAGGACGCTTGTTTTGCAAAATTCACAGCCTGTCTTACTTCTTCTTCCTACTTCTCCTACTTCTTTTTTCTGGTTTGTGATCTGCTTAACCTGACAATTTAAATTTCTATCAACGTTACTAAAGCCGTCTACTGCTGCTGGAAAAGACGACTACTGAAGCATGAATCGAGATGTAAAGGAAGCTCTTCCTCTTTTCCGTGACAAGAGGCACTTTGTTCTTTACATCAGGCTAATCTACTAGGCTGAAAGGTGTGATTGGATTAGAGATTAAGAACAGTGGACTTCAGCTGGGAGGCTGAGTTGAGCCACTGCCACACGGGACACAAAGAAGATAGAGTCTTAAATGTACAGCCCATCATTTTATCATGAAGGAAAAACATGTGATACCCTCTACAGCTCAGATTTGATCAGGTTCTTAAATTCCTACTGCTTTTGGGTGTTTAATTTTTAACATCAAAGTCAAATTTAGATGGTATCAGTGCTCAAAGGGCTCATTTAATTCAATCAAAGAGTACAATCGTAAAGTAGAGGATGATTCCTCTCCTCCTGCTGAGTTACGAAGACAGATAGAGAGGGAGAGACACGCTGAGTCAACATGACGCAAAAATATTAAGAGGAGTTATCTCTGCTGTGGACAGAATACAGAAACAAAACAGGAGGAGACAGATTTGAGTGACAGGACTGGTAAAGGGGTGTCTGACCTGGCTATTGAGCATGCTCTGTTGTTTGAGACGCAGGTTCTCTGGAGTGTCAGTCACTATGGTGAAGGAAGTTTTGGGGTAATGCCTGAAAAAAGACAAGAATAAAGAACAACCATGAATTAGCCATGACGTCATTACGTTTGAATCGTAAGGTTTTTTGTTTTGTTTTTTTGCTGCTTTTAAAGCTACAATAGGTAACTTCCAGTTGATCTGATTGTTGCTCCTTTTGACTTCAATGATTTCAAATTGTTGAAGTTTTTAAGGCTGTTTACAGGAAAACATATTCAATACAAATTGGCAGGCTGTTGTTGCATTTTACCCCTCCCTGTTTTCAGGTGGAAGAGCGGGTGCCTCATGTACAGAGGCTGCAGTTCCTCACTGGAGCTTTAAATGCCCCTTTAATCTTACTCCAGATAACATGGCATGTGATGTATAACTTATTATCAGCTGATCGATTAAATGCAAACGCTTTAGTTTAAACAAATAATTTGAAAAGTTGATTAAGTTTTCATTTTGGATCAGTTTTACCAACACTCATGTCTCACTTGGAAAACAAGTTCTGGTTTAATATAAGTATTTTGTACACCCCTACTTTAGTTACTTTTCCATTCATTAAAGCTCCTGTGAGAGGTTTTTTCAAAGTTAATAAAAATACTGAAATTCACATTGATGTCTTTCTGTGATCTACTAAAGCAAGTTAGACCATCGCCAACATGATTTTTTTACACTGAACTAAATACATTGATTTTATCACTACACAAACACGTTTGCATGTAATCCCACATCCTCGATCCCTGTGTCTTGTAGTTTTTCATGAGGGTATAAATTGCCGCTAACATCGCCATTGTTCCTTTAATTAACTTCACTGTTTATATCATCCTTTTTTCAGGACACTATTGGATTAAATTTGACTTATCTATAAATAATGCCTTTCCTGGAGTTAAAAAGCCAAACTTTAATGTCAGGTTATTTCAAATAATTGCTGATGTAATTCAGTTGTTTCAGTTCCTTCAACAGTTGATGTTAGTTTGTCATTAAAGGTTCAGTCTGAAACAAAACAACCAAAAATCTTGAAAAATGTGGACCATTTGTTGCTTTGACAGTCATAAATGTACTACGAAAAAAAGGTCAAGTATCAGAAGACATACAGATTAAAATACAGCGTTTCTAAATTTGCAGATAGTTTTATAATGTCAGATTCAACACATAATCAGCTGTTGTCCTGTTAATCTAATTGTTTGAACTTAAGGGTCCATTTTAAGCATCAGGATGATCTCTCTGCTGTAAACACTCACATACTGCAGTAAGGTTTCTTCTCAAAGCCTTTGTAGGTTGTCATGCTCAGCGCCATCTTGCAAACCTCGCAGCTGAAACAACCTTTGTGCCAGTACTGGAGAGTAAAAAGAAGAGCAAAAAGTCAAAAATCAACCCAGCAATATGTTATTCAAACCTCCAGGCCTCACTCTGCTTTGCTGTTAGTTTAAAATCAAACATTTTGTTTGTTTAAACAGAATATTAAACTAAATATAACTTGTACTCCCAGAGTGGGAAAAGTCTTTCACTGCTGTACATGAGCGTGCAGCTGTTGCCCTGTTTCTCCTAACTTTGCGCTGAACGTGTGCCAAAAAGAGATGTGCAAAATTACCACATAAGGATAAGGCTCAAAACAAACAGACATATTTATTGTTATGAAACTTTGTGCTGATGTTTAACTTTTTTATGCATAAAATCATACTATTATGATATGGTATTGATATCATCATTACTGCAGACTGGCCTCACCTCTTTGCAAGACTCTTAGCACTGTCTGCAGCACATGGCAGAATCACAGTTTAGCATATGTTGGCCTCCATTAAAACAGTTTAAATGTATTTACCTGAAAAAAGATGCTTGTACGTATCTATTAACTGTTTCACTAGAGCAAAATTTACTTAGAAAATGTCACTTTTTGATTTAAATATTCAACCAGTCACATTAATGATTGGAAATTTCGCCTTTCCGAACACTTTCCATCCCTAAAATATGAACAAACTAACTTAGCAAACTCTTAACTCTGTGAGTGATCCAACCCTCAGCATGAAATAATTGAATTAACCTTTATTGTTGTGGTGACAGATGGTTCTTTCTTTGCTTGCAGTGACATTATCGCTGCACATCCTAACAAGCTGTTAGAGACCATTGAAGGACACACACACAAACGCACACTCACACAGTATCTCTGAGCTGTCCTGTTTTAACATTTTGAGGTTTGTGGTCAGTGTTTATTTACCCGCTGTGGTTTTCCTTCTCATGCTCCCTCACTGTTTATTTGTGCAACTTTTTTTTTTAATGAAACCAATATTTCTGCTGTGTTGTCTGAATAAAGAGACAATTAACACATTATCTGACAGATTATTTGAAGAGAAAAAAAGTCATTAAATCAGTTACAATAAATCTTACAAATATCACTTAAACAGAGGATGCTGGAATTCAACATATTTGGACTTTTTTAATTGATGAATACTACTATTTTCTGTATTTTAAAAGCTGAAACAGCTACCAGGAAAGTATATAACAGTATAAAAATGCATATTTAGTAATTGACTGAAACAAGTTGTATCATCTTACCTTGTCAAGGCAATTAATTTTCTCTGTGGGGTAAACTGGTTTATTGCATCTTCCACAGGGCGGATTCATGATGGCTCAGGGACCCCACACACAAACAGACAGACAAATCAACAAAATCTCTCTGTGGCCCAGCCAAAAGTGCTGAAAAGCAGCGTTCAAGCCTTTAACCAACAGCCCACCTCCTCTTCCCCTGCAGGCACATGAGTTAATATACTGACAGGAGGAGGACTGGACCTCTAGGCAGGAGGAGTCAACGTTCAGCATGCAAGTGTATGAAGCGTTCGTGGTGCCTTCAAGGACAGTCGGGTGAAATAACTTCTCCTGGGTATTTGTGGGTTTTACGTTAATTGACACACGTGGACTATACTAAGCCAATGACCCTAATTTAAAATTGTAAAATACATTATATATCTGACACAACACAGGCATGGGCATTGTGAATACGTGAGCCCACACAGCAACGTGCTTTTGACTTCAAACTTGTGGAAACATATTTTTCTCGAACACCCAAACGCAGCATTGAATGTGTCAAGGAGAATCTGCTACAACGGCTAAAGGAGTAGCAACCGTACGATTAAAACGTGAAGATTAGACAAATATTATACCATATTGTATCGTTATAACCCATAGTAAACTTCAAAGGATTCTTATTCTCGACATGTACAGAATTCAACAAGCAGAAAAGTAAGAATAATGGCCACATTGGACTCCAGGTGTTGTGTCGTAGAATGCACCCCTGCCGTAAAGTGCACCACTGACGGCAGCGCGGTTGAAAGTACTGAACAAGGCGAAATAATGCAAGTTTTCCTTACCGTTGGACGAATTTAAAAGCGTACGCCTTTAATGATTTCATTCAGACTGTTCAGATAAACCGAAAACAATAACCATCTGACTCGGAATATTCGCTGTCCCGAAAATATAATGTTCTCTACCTTGACAGCTTACTGTACAGTTTAATACACCCAAGTTCACCTCTTTATGTGAGTATTTAAGAGACATTAAAAACAAAACGAAAGTTTGCTGCTCCATTTGACATGTCATGATCCAATACTCGTGTTCTTTTTAAATATGAGATCGTTCTCTTCCACTTAAAGCAGCTAATGAGTGGATCGGATGCAGGGGATGCATTCTACGACACAACACCCGTTATCAGTAAGCCGATTTTGGCGCCATCTGCATGAAAATGGCGTACATTACACTTGGTTATACAGTGTCGTTATCGCTGTGTGTGTGAACGTCAGCTATATGTGAAGCCGTGGGGGAGTTTATTTCGCCCACAGGTTAAAGAACACAGATACGAACAAATACCTCACACGCTCAATCACAGTTTTACTAGCAGCCATTTGAAGTACCATACACTTTGATTATTGTGTAAAATAGTCTACTTCCGCACAGGTTATACATCGGGGGTATAGCTCAGTGGTAGAGCATTTGACTGCAGATCAAGAGGTCCCCGGTTCAAATCCGGGTGCCCCCTCTTTTCCACATCTCAATCCTTGAGATGAGTTTTTCGAAATGTTTACTAACACATGAAGCAAACGCACATTCATGACCGTAAAACTGGCCATTTAACGGTTTTTAGCGGCACCATAATGTAATGATACTCAAACCACAAGTAACATATTTATGTTCTTATCCAAATGAGTTTGAATTCCTACTAAAGTAAATAAATTTTTATTTTATCATAATGCTAATGCTAGCATCTCTTGGACCGTTCCACTCCTTCAGTTAGAATGGTATGTCCCACCTCTCCCACCTGTACGCCCTAAAGTTTAAGTGTATTTGATAAGTTGTCTCACAACAGGAGTTTGTGTTCCCCATTTATGTATTATAAGAGCTGTGTAAAGATGGTGTTTGCCAACCGGAATGTAAGTCGTATGTTACATGTATTTGTTAGTTTGTGCTAGCTGCTAGCATAGCGCTCACCATGCTATCTTAGGCCTTTGTATGTTGAAAGATAATGTCAGCAGCGTGGGCAGGTTTTCATCATCCTGAAAACTCTTGATTTGATGTTTTCTGCTTTAGTGGGAGTCATTATCAGTATTGTAAACAGTCAAGATTCAAGTATGGCCACTTAGCTGCTCTATAACATTAAATTTACTTAAAACAAACGCAAGGACGGTAAGATTTTTGGCAGTTTGGTTTGAACAGACTGGTTTTCCATGATTTAATAACTCCCTTACCTTGTTGACAGTAGAGGACTTCAAAGTGTGTAATATAATATAGTTTGTTTACTCTTTGTATTCCTATGGCTCCATCTAGTCACAGTTTTTTGTATTGCATGTCTTACCAAATGTGAGTATTTGTTGGTGTTTTTATTTCTTTGTTCCTTATTTATAATATTGAAAAATATCTCTCACAAACTACAATGTACATGTTGTTAATGGAATGGTAGAAATATTGGGGACACGTTTACAAAAAAGTGCACCAGACAGCACCATTTACAGTACAATGTCTCCTATTAGGGATGCACCTATCGGCTTTTTTCACCTCCAATACCGATCCAGATATCTATAGTTTTGTATCGGCTGATACCGATCCAATTCCGATACAGAAAAGCCACACTGAATTACCTTTTGTTGTAACCTGAAGTTTTACCACCGCCCCTTGGAACGTTGAATGCGCAAGTATTGCAAGTGGCTGTATTGTATTGTGATAAAGTTCAAGATAGCAGACCCCTTTGCTTGCTCCATTTCGAAAACAATGTGGGCATCAATGTAGATGCCACTCACGGTGCATAGCATAGAGACAGACTGAGCAGACTGGCCCCTATAGATCGGGCCGATTGTCACAATACCCAATCTAGAATGTTTTTAGCTTTTTACATTTTTTCAGATGTTTGATGTCCCTGTCGTTCAAAATGAAACTCGCATACCCTGATACCTCATATGAATTAATTCAAACAATCGTCAAGAGGTTGGAGATGATCATTTTTAATCACTACTCAGTTATATTGCTAAATATCTGTAAATAGTGAAGTCCACAGAGAGAGAAAGATAACATTTACGAACCAAATACTGGTGGTATGGAAGATTCATGAAAAAAAATAACTCCATAAAATGAATGAAAACAACAACACAAAGTTAAGTTGAGCTTTACATTGGTTTGCAGTATGAAGGCTTGTTCGATTCATTCCCTGACATCCCCTCGCATTTGATGGGTTTTGTACAGTTACACCTCAACATATCTGTATATTCAGACCCTCCAACCCTTGGATAACAAATCCTCTGTGTATTTGCAAAGAACAAAAGACACAGAGAAAATGAGCAAGAGCTACAAGTGCAGTTAAAGTAAAAAAAAAACTGTCCAGCCGCCAAGGTTGGAGTATAGAAACCTTTTGTCGATGGTCGGCTTGATTGTCCGTTTTCATCCCTTTGCAGTCCTTGAGATGTTGTCCTTCCTTTTTATTTCTTAGACCTGTGGGTTCATCACTTTTAGCAGCACTGCTCAGCTTCGATGAACCCTTCCTTTTCATGACCACCGAGCTCCACCTCAGCGTAGTTGGAGTGACAGCCCTGGTTGCGGAACTTCATAGATGGCCAGTAGTTATTGGTGCGCCGCTACGAACAACACAAACAAGTTGTCAAGACCCATGAGTGTGTTTGTAGGACATCTCTACATTTGCAGATATGCTTTTTGTATGACTCACCTGCATGAGGTAGAAAGGTGGAGCCACTGTGGGGTGTGTGTTGATGTAATAGACGGCCAGTAATGTCAGAGCTACAAGCACAATTAGCGCAGCCACTACACCTGCTATGATGGCCGTGTTCTCTGTCATCCCTTTAGGTTTTGGGGGACTTGTGTCCATATCTAAAAGGAGGGAAAACACAGATTTTTATTTATGTTGATGTCAAGTTACATGTAGAAATTGGTGGCTAAAGAAGTGACTTAAACAGGGGAACAACAGACTTTCTGGCTTGTGAGATAAATCTGGGATTGGTACCACCTCAAGAGATTGATTTGTAATTTCCAGTTGTGTGCATTATACTGCTGGAGGCCTCCACATATCATTTAGGCTAAGCTTTTTGAGGCACTTAACACATGAAAATGTTAGTCTCAGAGGAGAACAGACAAATCTGTGTCGCATTATTCTGTGCATGCTCATAAACTCTGACGGATCGCAGCACAACAGCGCACCAGTCAACCATTAAATTGAAAAATAAGCCTGCAACAGTCTTAAAATGGCTGGTTAAAATCATAAAATGAGATAAAAAGAAACTTTCTGTTTGTTATAACTTTGAACTATTTTAATAGCTTTCACCATTTCCTACCAATGATGACAACACTGAACCAAAATATTTTCCAATCTCTTTGAACATGTGGCTTCTGCTTCAGCGCAGCCAAATGTGGCAGGAGAGAAACTTTCAGACATACTTGACAAGAAGTGAGGATGATCTTAACCGCTTTATTTTGAAGGAGGCTGAAAGTTAGCACACCTGAAATGTCCATTAGAGTTCTCTTTTTAGAGTAAAGGTTGTGTTTACAGCTACATTTTAATTTTAATGGTTGTTCATTTTGTTCAAATATGTTCAGTGAAGTCATCTGTCTTCCAAATCTTGACCTGGTAGGTATAAATTTATGAAATAAATGATGGCAGAAACCAGAAAAATAAGACCCAGGCTGCAATAAACCATAATCGAAGTGAACCGAGTAGAGAGATGATTTGGTCCACAATGTATTGATTAATTTTAAAGATACCTCCGTTGAGGTGGCTGTTTTCTTTACAGCACTTGGAGTTACATTATTGCTGTTTAAAAGGTGTTTCACAATTTACAGATGTATGACACGATCTGTTTTCTCCAGATTCTGCTCCAGAGAGATTTACCTCGAGTGACAGGATGATCCCTCAGCACTGCCGAGGTGGGTGTCGGACCCGGAGAGGAGTAGTTGAAGGAGCCCATAGATCCCTCAGGTAGGCTTGGGTTAAAGTCCTCACAGGTACTTTTTGCCTAAGTGAAAAACCCACACCAATAACAAAGGAATAACAGGACCAGCTGAGCTTTTGTTGCTTTGTGTCCCTGAATAGTTAATAACAAACCTAACCTCCTCAGGACAGTTGTATTGTAACCACTCTTGTCTGTGCCGGTCGATCCCGTCAGAGCATCTGAAACTCAGGAAAAATTAAATGTAAAAAGCAAGAATCACTTTAACACAACCATCAGTTCATCTGTTGAAGTGTCACCCTACCGCTGAAGCGTGTTGCACCAGCCACAGCCGGTTGTCAGGTTGGACGTTAGGCAGAGATCGCAAGTTTTGTGCTGCAGACAAGCTGGAGGAATCATACACGCAGAGAGTTGCAGGGTTAGGAGGAAGCTGCTGAGGTCTGGCTTTCATACGAATGTGTGTTTGTGAGAATACTTACTGGGAAGAGGCGTGAACACGAAAGCAGATCCGCTGACTATCTTTGTGAAGTTAATCTCAACACGATGATACTCGTAGATGGTTAATTGCTCCCCCTTTTCTAGACAGAATAGAAAATACAAGTGTGTTCAAGATTTGTGTGTGTTTGACTCTTGTTTGTGGGAGGAAGCGTTGATAGCTCATAAAGTCATGTATGATAAAACAAACAGTACAACAGCACTAAAGGGAATTTTGGTAGTTGTAGTTTATCAGACAGAGAAAAAAAAAATCACGTTTCAAATAATGAATTAAATCCTAGAAATCTGCTATTTTTTCTCAAAAATGAACAAATGCAGAAATGACAATATTGCAGATTACATAATATACAGACAGATTAACATTACCAAGGCATTATCTAGTCATCCTACATAAAGACAGATTTATTTTTCAAGAACTGACCTGCGGGCTTTGAGGTCTGAGGCGGCAGCATGAAAGCCTCAGAAAGTCCTACTTTGACTGGATGATCCTTGGCATCAATTCTGTCTATTGACATAGGGATCTACAAAACAAAACAAACTATTCACATGGCAATCTGAGCATGTTTGAAATTCTCCAGTGTAGAGCTATTTTGCACAGATAAGATACCGTACAAAAAGATAGGCAACATAACAGCTCTTTAAGAGTGAAGCCAAAACATTTTAACTTCCTGCTTCCAACTGGTGGCTGTAAATAACAGAGACTGCCTCCTCCATGTTAACAGGTGGAGCATGGGTAAAACTTAAATCTGACTTATTTCATGCACCATTTGAGGGGAGATTCACTTTTATACAACAGGACTCGTAAGGGGTGTCAGGAGTTTGAATCCATCACTCACTTCTTTGTAGTTGAAAATGATAGTTCCGTTTTGGTGGAGGACCGCCTGGAAAGTAAACGGCCCTTCATCAGCTTGGTCATGTAGCCTCACGTTGTCCCACTGCACCACAAAGAGATTACCTGAGCAGAGCAGAGCGGGACACAGAAGGGGAGGTCAAAGAAAACCAGGAGCTCTCATACATGTTCCCTGAAGAGCTCTGACTTACCGTTGTCTGCAAACCTCACTGTTGAGTTTTTGGTGTAGCCGGGGTCAAAGTTAGCCATGAGGGGAGCAACGTACTGTGTGGCTGTCAGCATTCGGTGAGTGATGTCCCCCATGTACATGAACCCTGGAGACACGGGTGCAGATGTTAACAATGGATATTGCATTATGAAGTTGTTAAGTACAAACGCTGCTTCCTATAGTATTTTAGATACAAGCTGAAGAAGTTTGTTTTTTGTGGTGACATATTTGTTAAGGGAATATTTCGGCGTAAATTAATTTAGGGTCACCGTAACACCTAGTTAAACACCCCCCTCAAGAGATCAATGTTGCCTTCCAACTTTAGTAACGACCGCAGATAATAATACACAACGGTCTGAGGAGCCATAAACAAACCTCAACCAAAACACAAATAATGCTCAGAACAGCACCTAACTTAATCAACAGTACATAGGGTCCTAGCCATAGCACTAGCCACCAAACATCTTTTTAGCTTTGCCTTATTACTAGAGCAAAGAGACTAAACACAACTCACCTATCTCTTCCAGCAGCCGCTTTTTTGTTGTGAGATCTCAGGCCAGTCCATTACGGACTGCAGTGGGGTGACGCAGCTCAAGGAAGAACATTTATGATTATTACTTTATCATTTTCTTGAAGCAATAATCACATATATGTATATATAAATATCACTATAAATGTTCTTCCTTGAGCTGTGTCACCCCACTGCAGTCCGTAATGGACTTACCTGAGGTCACGCTGCAAACAAACAGCTGCTGGAAGAGAGTAAGTGAGTTGTGTTTAGTCTTTCTGCTAAAGAAATTAGGCAAAGTTAAAAAGATATTTGGTGGCTAGTACTATGGCTGGGACCCTATATGTCCTGTTGATGAAGTTAGGTGCTGTTCTGAGCATTATTTGTGTCTATAGAGTGGCGTTTTGGTTGAGGTTTGTTTATGACTCCTCAGACCGCTGTGTATTGCTATCGTGTGGTCGTTACTAAAGTTGGTGTAACTAGAGAAGCAAGCAGTCGGCAACATTTATCTCTCGAGGGGGTGTCTAACTTGGTGTTATGGTGTGTTTGACCCTAAATTAATTTTACGCTGGAATATCCCTTAAAGTTTTGAGGAAATTGCAGCAGAAACTTTGGATCAACAGCTAACTCAGTCTTGCAGGGTTACTGTGTTTGGCTAAAGGAAAAAGTAGGACACGTACAGCAAATCTCTGAGCAATTCAATGAAAAAATGAAAGTGTTTACTATTAACCAGATTCATTATACTCTGGTAGCCTGCCAGTTCCCCAGGGTAGGAGGAACCTCCTTCAACACTCTGTTAGAGAGTGTTTGATCCCCTGATTGAAACCGCAAAACATGTGCACTGCAAAGTGAAACTTACCACCAGTCGCTACGATGACTTGCCTCAAAGTGTGACCATAAAATGGAAAATCAAAAGACAGCGCCACTCTCTGGAAGACAACAAATATCAGATACCCCCGGGTGTTAGATGAAACCGTTTAATGTGTGTTTGTGTTTCTGTGTGCGCGCTTTACTCACCGCCGCTCGTTGGTGTGCGTTGGACAGGATGCCGTGAATTTGGACTTGGCTTTGGTGCAGGGCGCTTTGATCTACCCACAAGTCTTTAGTCCTTGTGTCTGTTGGACTAAAACTCTGCCATGTGTAGTACTTAGTGGAGTCCTCCTGGAAGAAAAAGGACAGGAGAGTTTTCAAAATTAAGTGAAATGCACTGGTTTGCATGTTGATATTGAATTCACCATTTACAGAATATCATTTTACAGACTATATTAATGATTGGCTTATAGTTCAAAGTTCCTGTGAGGGATTTTCAGACAAAATCAGATACCTCTCACTGTGCTTTATACTGGCATATTAACTACACTTATTTATAAGACACAACTCACTCTTTAGATGACAGAAAATGTATTAAAAGTGAATCTTACTCACCAAATTTTACAGCATGTTCAGAAAATGTAATAATGGGGGTATTTAAAACCACAGAAATCCAACCAATGAAAGACGAGGTTGCTTTGCCTCAGGGGTTGTTTGGGAAGCCCCAAACTTCCCATCTGGGACTCTATTTCTGTCCTTACAGTTCCACTTGGGGGAGCTGTTTATACACACAGCGAGAGCATGTTTCTTGTACAGCTCTCCATCCTTGATGGCATTATTAATGTATGCCACAGCTCAAGGTGACAGAGAGCAATGGTTCTGGGGTTTAGTGTGGGCCCGGAAAGTGGAGCAGTTAAATGCAGCACTCTCACTGCCTCTCTAGCTGCTCCATATACAACAAGTGACCCACTTTTTTTTCCTCCCATCTCCACGGCCTGACACCAGTTTTTTTAGAGGGAGGGTGTGTGTGCAGGGGGTTTCTAGGTGAGGAGTGGGGTGCGATCATATATTTTTTTTCCCTCACAGCTGACTGATTTATTGAAAAGATTCCCAATAGACCAGAGTCTTGGAAATTGGGATCAACCCCCCCCCTCTTGAAAAAAAGTCAACAGCGGCAGTACAACAGATCTCGTCCAAGTGAGTCATTCACAAGCACACACACGCGCACGATCTCACGCACGGCCACGCTTAAACAAACACTGTAAGTTGGCAGGACGAGGCTGTCGTCTGTTTTCAATTTTAGCTGAGAGAAAGGTGAAAAAAAAAAAAGTACAGCAGTTTATATGGGTTGAATTTTACCAGGGCTGATTCAAGTGTAAGAAGAGTCTAGGGACATCAGACTTGAATAAATCCTCATCATACACAGCTAAATAAACACTGACTCCTGGATGTTAAAGTCATTGAACGGAAAAATGGCTCAGGACCGGCCCACCTGACGGGAATCTTAACAAATACCTCGACTCAAAGCTTCTTGCTTGGCAGAGAGGTAAAACTGTTACCTCAATTGACCTTTAAGCACAAGACTCTTAAAATGATATTCTTCAAATAAGGCAGGCCAAAGTTTATGTAATGTGTCCTCACAAACAAAGTCCTTTAGTTGTAGCTACATCGAGAATCGGGATGCTCTTAAGCGACTTATTTCCAACTAAATCAAATTTAAAATCCTGACAGCCGAGTAGATTAAATGTTAAACAAAAACTTAGAAATGGTCAAAATTGATATTGTAGATGATAAATCACAAGATAAGAGAGTTTGTTGACAACTAAACATTTGCCGAGTGTGGCTAATGTTAGCAGAGCTACCACCATTAGCCTACATTTCCTGTTAAACAGCCTATATACTTCTTAATCAACATTTTCCCCATCAAAATTCTGAGAAACCACCCCATGCTGTCCCAATTTTGATCTTAGCAACTGGATGGGACCCAATCTGGTCAATTAATGACAGATTGGGGATTGGAAAATTGAGCTGATCTTCTCACTGTTATCGTTTACATCAGCTGTACTACATTAACTAAAAATTGTAGGGGAACAAAAAGGCCAAAGTTACTGAAAATAAGAAACTCTGTGGCTAAAATGTCAGCAATGTGGAAATAATTTAAACTAGAACACCAAAAACTGTCCAACAGCCACTTGCATTGAATGCAATGTGATTCAGCCTATGTCCAAAGGTTTTTGATTTCTTTTGGAGTTTTTGTTTTCACTCTGTGTTCTGCCATCCAAACAGTACATTTAAGCCGTATCATCGGAGTGGTGCAGCAAAGTCCATGACAATATCTGAGCATGATGTGATCGCTGCTTTAGAGAAGTTTAGAAAGGTTTGGTCCTGGAAGCAACCCAATCTGCAACCAGCAGCTTCGAACAGGCATAACTCTGAGCTGAATTCAGTTGAGCTGTGGAGGTTTAGACTTTAGCCAAATGTGTAACCCAAACATAACAGTCGCCAAATGGCCAAAGAATCTAACATTTTCCACCAACTGGAAAACACCCCTGTGTTGGCAGTCGTCCTTAAATGTTTCATCATGTCTACCCGCCCATTGCGCGCAGATCAGAGAAACCCAAACTAAACTGTTGACCAAACTGAGCAGGTCAAACAGCTGTCCTGAAAATGGATCTCAAAATAGAGACCCGAGATCACTGTAGTTTGAAGGTACTGCTTTGACTATTGGGTTTAAAGAGACTAGATGCCTTTAAACGTACAGAACTAGTTTTTCTTTATCAGTCTTTTCGGACTAACCACTCTGCCAAAATCACCGTCCTTTTTGCACAAAACTAACATGTAGATAGGAATATATACTACTTTTGCTTCGGTATTAAAAGTGTTTCAAAGTATAGTTGTAGTGTTACAGATATTAATGGGTTTACATCCCTTCTATGGGAAAACCACCTCTTGTCAAAAGCGTTTGCTCTTTAGTTTTCCACACATTGTTTTAAAGGTAGAATCAGCGAACACATTTCTGTCCAACTAGAGAAAGATCTGGCCAGCACCGGTCATTACGAAGGCACGATAAGAGACTTTCTTTGTTGTGAGCTTTGTTTGCAATCTATCTCCATCCCCACCAGAGCATGATCACAGGCTGTGAGAAAATGTAACAGCATTAATAGGATGTCCAAATACTGATCAAAGAGACTGCATCTCCAAGACAACAAACACAGGGCTTGTCCAGGAAGTTTGCAGCTAACGCCGAGGTAAACTCAACAAGCTTGTCGCTATGCCCGAGCGAACGATTCGCCTGCCGTTGCTATAACTGTCCATTCATAGGCACGGCAAACTGACCCGACTTGATCCAACATGGAAAAACACCAAACGAAGATGTCGAGTTTTTGTCCCAAATAACTCCAAACAATTCCATTCATGGAGAGACAGCCGTGGCACAGCAAACAAACATCTGTGTTTGTTTGTGTTTATTGGAGAACGTTTGATTGGTGTGCCATGAGCTAAACACATCCACAAGGTCCTTTCTCTAAAAATACAAATTCAGTCAATAAAACAGGAGTTGAACGAAAGATGAATATGTTCGAAAAATTTGGAAATTCCTCAATCTGGCGGGAATGACGTGCGACCGCTTCCCTAAAGTTCATGTCTGAGTTTTCTGCATAAACCAAAGAGAGCAAAGAAAATCAACCCAGGAAGCCGTAGTTCAGCCTTGAGATCATAGGTGTGGTCTTGAAGAAGGTATGTAGGTCCTATAGATAGGATTTAAAATACACAACCTTGAGAGGCAGAGCTTGAAAATGGACCATTTTGGTCACATCAGTTCCCAATGTTTAATCCATGCGATTTCTAAATATATTTGAGAGCATGAGCGAGAGAGCAAGTTGTCCTGGTGTGACCTTTTTTTCCAATCCCCCTTTGAACACTTGCTAATAAAATGGTTGGTGGTTGATTAGTAATGCCTGGTAAGACATCAGCCAAGAGCAATGTGTACTCTTTGGCAGACATTACTAAGTAACCATGGTTTTATTTAGTCCAGCATAGACCAACCATAGCCTGACATTTATCCGTCTCATCTCATCTGTCAATGCAAATTTTGAACTGGTCAATATTTGCCTTCAGTCGCTCTGTACTGCAGATCCTCCTCCTCCACCACCCACCTGTCCGCCTCAGCACCATTGGGAGTAGATCTTTAAGTCGATCTGCTTCCCAACTCTGGAACTCACTCCCACCAGACAGCAGGAACATTGACTCCCTCCCTCGTTTTAAATCCAGAATCAAAACCCACTTGTTCAGATAAGCCCACTCCTTGTAATTTACCTTGTCCTATTTTCTTTTTTTCTTTATATCTTATTTTATTCTTCACTTTATTTGCTTTTACCTTGCTGTTTTATGAGGCAGTTTTTTATTAATAATAATAATAGATTTTATTTGTAACGCACTTTACATTTAAAAACAAATCTCAAAGTGCACAACAAGACAACAATAACAGTAAAAACCAAGCAACAGGGCAAAACAATAAAAAAACAGTCAACATAAAAAAACAGTCAGCAGACAAAATCAGATAAAATTAGATAAAATTCCTCTTGTGTCCTTAAGTGTCCTTAAGTGCTCAGAAAGGCACTTATGAATTTTGATTGATTTATTCGCACTTGGTGTTAGAGGCTACCTGAAAAAGTGACGTAGTGATGGCAACAGTGACTGGGATAAGCTAACAAGGCTCATAGTTGCTGCAGTAAGTTGATGAAAGACTAAGTTTGCTAGTAGCCCTGCCGCCTCAGTCCCAAAAGAAACTCAATTTTTTCAAAAATAACCAAAAACTTACGATGTTAAACCGTCCATTTTCCCAGAAGTAAGACACTTAATTTACTTCTCTGAGAACAGAGAACATGACAGACTTAGTAACAGTTAGCTTAAATAATTCGTTTCTCACCACAATTTGGGTATTGTTGTCAGGCAAAGTGCTGATATCAAGTCCTCTTCCGTCAGAGGACTTACTAGCTTCTCTCTGTTGGGTCTGTTGGTCCCTCCTGGTTCTGTGAAACCGGGTCAGGTACCCATCGGTCCACAGGGGATTGTCACTCAGAACATCTGGAATAAAACAGACATTTTGTACAATCAATCCACTGTCAAAATGAGACACACTGAAAGTTTATGAACGTAATATAAGGTGCCATGTTCTAAATTTGAGATTTTCAAATGAATTCTGCTCTTGATTTTAAATCGTGTGAAAGGAGCTCCTAAATTATCCGGATTACTGTCTTGAAACAGAAGAGGAACAGGTCTGGCTTTTGAACCCTGCAGCACCATCTGTTCTGCATTACTCCTCTTATTGGAGATAATTAACAGACAGACATGTCCACAGAAAATTAAAGCCGTGTTCCGAAGTCTTGAGGCAATAACTCAAGCATTAACAGAAAACAAAATCCTGACAGCTTTTTTTCTTTATGTCTCTAATACCAAAGTATGGTCATGATTTCTTAAACTTACCTACATTTCAAATTAATAGTTTGGCATGGAGGTGAAGGCTGAGTTTGAAGGCGTTTGCTGCAAATTACAAAACATGAAGCATCCTTGTTTGGTCCCTATGTTGAAATAAATATATTTTATAAACATTTACTTCCTTTATGTGGTTAAACTCATCCCTGACTCACTGTCAGAGTTACAAGGTCAGCAGAACTCGCCTTTATGAGGGCAACTGTCTCAGCTTTTTTCTCCCCCTAAGAACAACTGAATTCGGTTTGCTGTCAAGATTTCATAAGAGCAGTTTGTTCAAGGGTCTAAGTACTCCACTAACAGTGTTTTATGATGGTCTTGAAAGAGGTGAAAGACCAGAGCCAGCCTGAGGTCTAGACCCCCCTCTCAGCCTCTTTCTTTTAAAACCTTGTTTACAACACATGACCAGAAGTATGTGCACACCCTGGATCCTGTCCACATGCTGTTTTGTAGTTTTGGTCTGGAGCTTTATTTTTTCAGGGGGGTTTCTCTTTGTTTCAATTACAACCCCAGTGCGTCATCTTTTAGCGATAATTTAGCGGTTTACCTCCAGATTTGTGGAAACCGTTAACATAAGCCCTTTCTTGATTGAACATGACAGCACTTAAAATGTAAAGCTAGGACATTTAAAAAAAAGAGGTTTTCCTACTCTGGTTGATTCTTACTCCTTCAATACATTTAGGATGAGCTTTAAAGCTGATTGTGAGCCAGACCTCATCACCAAATACAAGCGATTGACCTCTCTAACCCCATCATGACTGAGCAAATCTCAGCAGATTGGCTCCAGAATCTGTTGGTTTGAGGTTTAAACTGGAAGAGTTGGGGGATTCTGTCCCAGCTGATTAACGACAATGGTTTTCTAAAACAATGTTAAACAATCGCATATGGGTGTCATGGTTTGGTGTCTGCATACTTTCAATCGTTCTCTGCTATTTTTGAAACTCAAATGGTCACAATAGCGACTAAAACCTGTTGGGACTTTTTGTTCAATGGACCGTCTCGTGTTTGTCAACATAAGATTTGTTAGTTACTCGCCTGAAGAGGAATTGTGAAATATTTCGCTAACTACTCCAATCACCCATGGTTTAGAGTTATTTTAAGTCCAGGACATCCAACAGGGAACTTGAAGGCTGAGCCAACATCTGGTTATTGCGCTCCTCCAGGTCGCCTTCTTCTATTGCTATGTGGTCAATAAGAAGTTGGACAGCCAAGCTTAAAGGGATATTTCAGCGTAAAATTAAGTGAGGGTCAAACACACCGTAACACCGAGTTAGACACCCCGTCGAGAGACGAATGTTGCCGACCGCTTGCTTCTCTAGTTATACCAACTTTTGTAACGACTGTATGATACTAATACAGAGAGCCATGCACTCAACCAAAACGCCACTCTATAGCCACAAATAATGCTCAGAACAGCACCTAACTTCATCAACAGTACATATAGGGTCCTAGCTTTAGCACTAGCCACCAAACATCTTTTTAGCTTTATCTAAATTCTTTAGCAAAGAGACTAAACACAACTCACCTACTCTCTTCCAGCAGCCGCTTGTTTGTATCAGATAAACGCAGTGTATGGTCAGCAATTAGACACATTTCAATAAGGCAATAATAATATTTGGATTTTTATTCTATTATGTTATAATATTGGACCTCAGAGTAGTAACCAGGGAGACAGAGCAGAGAGCAACATGCAGGAAAGGAACCATAGGTTAAACTCAAACCCAGGCCACCCCCCTGAGGCACAACCTCTACACATGGGGAGCATGCAGTCCATCCACTAGGCCAGTGGCGCCCCGTAGTCTGTTTTATGCTTACAGATGAAATCCCTCTCCTACTTAAATCACACTTAGCCCAGCCCTCCGACTGCAGCTCTGGCATCAATGTGGAGAGACAAGAGGAGGGGAAACAGGTGGAGTCACACAGTACTACTGTACATCAACTTTACTAATGTAGACGCAAAAATGCTACATCACCCAGCGGTAATGTTAACATTCCTACAATCTAACTTTGCTGAAAACATCACTTGTGTGTAGCATAGGATGTAAAAGTAGCTCCACTGACCCAGACCAGCTGTGAGTATGGTCTTTTTGAACAGATCTTAGTCTGAGCTCTGAAAGTGGTCCACTTGTGAACAGATCAGCTTGGATGCAGTTTAGCTCTAGGTGAAAACAGGCCCAGAGAAACCACAAGATTTTGAAACAGGAATCAAACTGTGGTTACATTGGGAGAAAACCAGTAACCCCAAGAGTGAAACACGAATAAAATCAACGTTTACAGAGTTTATTTAAACTAAAGTGTGGGACTTTTCAGAAGCTAAAGCATGTGTTTCTCGTGTGACCCTGTTTGCTGTGGTACATGACCCAGCTTTGATTTGGGAACTTTGGCTGACTCCTCTGAACACAGACCGTGCTTCAGTGATCTGCCTAGCACACACTTTCATTGATAAATACCTCATTTAACCAAATGTATATATATTAAAAAAAACTCCATTAAAGAGGCAAAATTCAATTAAGAGGGGGTGATAAAAAGAGGCTCAGGAAACAAAATGGGACAAGAGGAAGAAATGTAGAGAGGGTGTCACACACACAGGGGAGACAGCTCTAATGAGGGATCTTGTCTGATTACGGTGCGGTGGAAGCTATTTCCACGGCTTCTGAACTAGAGGCTCCTAACTGGGTCAGATTGGCAGCACTAAACAGCTGAAGAGGCGTCAAAATAGCAGGGGATGAAGGTGGAGGAAGACCAAAATATGTATACCACTGTGCAAGTGTCTTTTTGCTCAGCTTTGTAGGTCTTAAAAACTCCGCTTTTATGAACTTCCTTAGTGCTTGTCTTCTCTCCTGGAACATCTCTAACCTTGTCTAACTGTCTTCATGTGGGCCGGGATGAACCTCCAACGCAATAAAGGCTAAAAAGAGTTCAAGAGTGGGTTGGACTCTGCACGAGGACTCGAGTGAAGATGACCTCAGTAGCATCAGGTCTGGCAGACACATGTGTTTGAAGAACCTGCAGTGGGAGTGAGCAATCTGGAGCAGAAAAACATCCTGGTGAATTTGAAACGGGGCCCAGAAATCCAATGACCTAAGTGACAGATGTAACAAATTTGCTGGGGAATAGCTTGGGGTTTAAATGTAAATATAGACTCTAAAGGCTTCTTTTATTGAAGGAAAACACACATGACTTACTCTGACAGTCCTTTAAATTCAGATTTTCCAGTGAGCTGCAGGGATGTTGTCGAGTTACAATGACAAATTTCCCGCCGCTCAATGAAAATATCACGGAACGCCAGATGCATCGACGCCAACGGGCTTGTTTTGTATGATTAGAAAATCAACGCAAGCTGTTTTGTGAACGTGGCATTTGCATGTTAGAAGCTTCTACTGTAAGCTCTTTTTGAGAGTGTCTGCATTGCAGCAACCGCCTTACAAATCTAGTGGGTGTTGGGAGTCAGATTGAACTAGGCCACAGCATTGTGAGCCATGTACGATGGGTATACAGATTGTCTTTATTCATCTCCCACATGCCTGTTAGTCATACCCCTGATCTCTTGCTCTTTTAGAAACATACAGTAGCTCTGTAATATTCTGTCACTGATTATCTTTACATCATTTTCAGGATTTGAACTTCTTTGATTGATGATGGTGACAGATTTCTTCAAGGTAAAAGGTCAACATTTTCCAGATGAAGGCCGGACAGCAACCCTGGATGAAGCGTAGAAAAAAAAAAGCCACCTCGAAACAAAAGCTAAATGGTCTTACAGTCTGTTCAGCTGGGCAAAGTCCAGGGATGAAAAACAAATTTCCTTTGAAAATAAACTCCTTCTGTGCTTAACGTACAACACTTTGAAGTTCGAGCACGATAGAGGATACGAGGAGGGCACGGAGGCATGTCCGCCGTCGTGGAAAGGAAAAGGGAATGATCCTCAGGTCCAAGAAGAGGAACTGGAGGCCAACATCTTTGCTCCAGAGACAAGAAGAAGACACAGAAGAAAGACACAACTTAAGAGCTGACCCTTCAGCCGTGCTGTTTGTGTGTTTCTGGTGATGAAGCACAGGGTTACTGTCAGGACAAGGATTAGCAAAACACCTGCAGTCTTCTGGCACATACCTCATCGGTGGAGCATTAATCACAACGCGCGGTCACCGCCGTGAATGTCAGCATGTAACACCGCAGCTCCACGGTGCAGTCGGGTTTTAAAAAAGGGGAATTCATGTTAAACAAGCCTGAAGCTTATGGTGTGGGAGGGAAGCCATTTGGCACCTCAGACTCGAAAGGAACAGCAGTAACCATAACATACAATCCAAAACACTGGCATCTGGACTGATAAAGACGCAGGGAAAAGCAGGAAAAATGTGGCATTTGGATAAATACGGACAAATCGATGAGGCTCAGAGTTTAGAAAATGTTTGATTTGCTGTCATGGAGTTTCTTTTTGTTCGACTCTGAAAAACAATCTCCATTTTAAGTGAAGCTGACATGCAGTTACAGTTTGCAGATGGTGTTGGCCCATTATAATTTACAGTCTGTTGTTTTAGTGGTGAAGTATTTATAGTTTCACAAACAGAAGATTATTGTACAGTGAAATGAAATAATAAAAGAGCTGCTGACGTATCTGAATCTCTTCAAAAAGACTTTGAAATAAATGTTTGTTAAATGAACGACATGACATGATGAGGTTCTTGGGTTTTTGTGGACTGTTATTGTGGAAGTTTGAGTTGAACTCCAGTTTATTTTGGCTAGATATTTCCTCTGTGACAGCTGAGAGAAAGACATAATATTTTGGTTGTGGCGTTTTTGGTTCATTCGTGTCATTTGTCTGTAACCTCAAGCCCACCTAGACTATTGATCATTGCAGCTTGTCAGCATTAGATCTGGATTGTCTCGTGTTGATGCCATGCTATTAATAACAGTACCAGACTGGAGCCAAAAAGTGTCAGTGTCTCTGAGGCTTGAAGCTATTTCTCACTTTTACACCTACCTCATATTATTGAGGGCCCCATGGAAGAGGGTAAAAAGGAGAGTGGAGAAATCTTCCCGTTTGAAATGAGAGCCTATAAGTCAATGTAAACAATGTTTCTTGTAGTATTTAAATCTTAGTCAGTATATCTAACATGGTGCCATGGGCCAGCAGGTACCTTGAATTGTCTCAATAGTTGTGCTCTTTTATTTTGTTGCAGCATTGGTACAGAATCATTATGGATCCAACTCAACCTGAAAAGTGGTAAAACCAGCCATTAGGGCTGTAAAGTCCAAGTTGACCAGTCGACTTATTGGTCAATATGTAATGAGTCAACCAAAATTCTGATTGGTTTCCTTGTCAATTTACAGTCTATGGTTAATTTCATCAGGAGAAACGTACCAAGTGCTAATGGGGGTGCTCTGAAAACACCCCCATTAGCACTTGGTACGTTCCTCCTGTACAGGTAACAGCCTGTCAAAGAACGACCCCCCCTTGTTTTCACCATTTAGGATTCGCCCAACCCACTGGAGACCGGCTGGAGACAGGAAGATTGAAGAGCTTCCACGTTAATCAACGTCAGGTGGTGGTTGTGTTTAATTGCCTTCTTGTGCTGATATCAGTATATTTTCACCCCGCCGAGCTGCGTTGTCCCCCTGCCGCAGTAGGGCTTGTCGTCGACCAAGAATTTCTTTGGTGGATTTCAGCCCTACCAGCCATGCTGACAAAGCTCTGTGTAGTGCATTGGGATTCGTGACCCGCTGAACTGTACAGGTCACGAGCAGGACCAGTGGGATGTTCTTGCTTGGGTTAGCGTACACTTGTAGGTGTGACAGACTTTAGAGCCGTGTCCCTACATGACAGAAATTCCTCTACAGTCTAGATTGATTTCAAAAACGCTGCAAAGATCAGTTTAAAACATCGGTCACTGTTATGAAGTATCTTGAAGACTTTGGCAAATCTGAAACTTTTCCGTTTGTACGCCACTATTTGCTGATTTTAAATGAAATGGCTCCACAACTATTTGCAAATATGATCCGGACGTTTGTTTACCTCTTGAGATGAATGGTATGTCTTTTGATTTACAGACTTTCATGTCGGCCATCATCAGTTTCATGTTGTTTACGATCAAAGTACTGGAAGAAAATAATCGAGCGAGCTGCACTTGTGTTAGTAGCTGATGAAGACAACAGTAAACAATGTACCCGCTAATCATTGCCATGTTAGCATGACGGTGTTAGCATTTAGCCCAAAGCACAATGGTAGTTGCGGGAATTGTTTTGAGTCTAATCGTTAATGCCAATTCTCAACACATTGATTATATAGTTCAAAGACATATTTCAGATTTCAGTATTGATATTGAACACAACACCACGCCCCATTAGAAGGTTTCCAGTTGAACAGAACCATTAGAAAAAGGCCAGCTGCGTCTTTGCATCAGTTTGAACCCATGACCATGATGGGAAACTGATCGCTCAGATTCATATTTTTTGGAGAAGTGCGAAGTTTCACATCAGTATAAGTTGATACACATGGATCTCCAACGATCAATGAATTTGCTCACTCAGATCACACTATCTGTGATTTATCTACGCCGTTGATCAATCACAGATATTCTTGGCAGAACATCTATGGACCATTTTGAACACTCTGCTTGATTATTAAAAGATTTTGGTGAAACAAGCTGTCAGCAGTGAGGAAAATTTGTGGATGCCACAAATACACGCCCTTTAGTCCTAGTTAGTGAGAGCTGAGTTTGTCACGGCATCACTGAGCTTCCAGCGAAACCTTTTTAGCAAAGACCTGATCCACTTTCAGATGTGAGTAAGCAGGAAGGTAAAGTTATCAGGCTGAAAGCGAGACTGATTAAACTGGATTCAGTTCTTTTAAAAATTTTCCGCCCTCTAAGTCATCATTTGCTAGAGAGGGGTCTGTTTCTCTGGTCTCTGCACAGTGTGTCAGGTCGTCCTCTGCAGTGCTAGGCCCCTGATCAGAGGAAGTGGGACCACAGGAGAGGCCAGAGAAACTGGAGCACCGCTGATTGTCGGAGGAGGAGCGGCAGCAGAAGAACAGGGGCTGGCTAAAAATAAATTATCTCCAAGGAGAACAAAAATACATACATGCACATACATACAGGCACATGCAAATCTGGATTTGAGTATACACCTGCGTACAAGTGATGCACAGAAGACACCTTTTTGAGATAAAGTAACTCTCAGAGTGAGTTTTATTGACTCCTCTAGTGATGCTCTGAGTGACTTTTCTAACCACAGGAATGACGTTCACACACAGAACTGAAGTCAGTGGCTAATCTCAAACAATTATCTGCTAAAACGCAGGATTTACGATCACATGATTTGTGTTTTTCAAAGCAAATGAACTCCAGACACTTGGCTCTTCCAAGCGGAAATACAAAGGTTTTGGAATGGCACCTAGAGAAAACCCAGACCCTCACACAGTGTTTTTAAGAGCTTCCTATGACACACGGAGAGAAGTGTCAAGAGACCTGTTAACTTCTCACATGCATATGCAGACTCATGCAAAAGCCACAAAAAAAGAGAGCACAAAAACATTTCTCAGCCTTGCCAAAGTTAGAGGCAAAAGAAATCAGGTCAGATTTCTCTTAACCTGGTTTAGATTCTCTGAGGCTCCAAAACAGCGTGTTATACAAAAACCAGCAGTCAGAATTGTTTAAATGTGAGAATCCATGTAAGTAAATACCTGTGTGTAATTGCTGTTGGCATTGAAGAATGAGGACTTACCCTCGTGCTCCTGAGCCCAGACTCTCCCCAGCTCAGCCTGGGAGAGACAGATGAGGAGAACAGCACAAAGCCCCATGTCCAGACGACTTTTCTCCCTCCTTCCCCAACTCTTTATCACTCCTGTTTTCTTCTCCTTTTCCCTTTTTCCTCTCTCACTTTGCTGGAAGAACGGGGCGCCTCACTCCTCCACTCCCCTGCCTTTCACTGCTCCTTCTTCGCCTCTGCTCTCCCACACAACTGCGTCTTCCTCACCTCGGCCAAGGTTTACTGATTTTCTCCGTCCTGACTGTCTCTCTCTTTTGCTTTACGCTTCTGTTTGGCTCTTTAGAGGAACTTCTTGGATGACAGATCCATCGCAGCAAAGACTTGACAGTGCAGTGGAAGTGTTGCAGAGTGAGGAACTGTGTTTTCTCTTTACTCTACCTTTACTCCAGCCTTATTATTTTGCACTTTTCACTCCCCCTGTGTCTGTCTTTCTCCCTGCACTTCTTTCCTTGTGTTGGACACTATTTCTCAAACAGCTCTGGGTTTTTGCTGACTTCTTGTATGAATAAATATTAAGTATTCCTTCATTTTTTTCCCTTTCCTGCCTAAACTAAAAAAGGGGTGTTGGAGCTGGGAGGAGCATATCTCCCCCATGTGGAAACATGTTGAACCAAAACAAATGCTATTTTGTTAAACAGTAGACATTTCCCGGATAGTTTCCCTCAGTTTTGTTTGAATAAACACAGACAAATAAGATTTTATTTTTCCACTCTGAGGGAGATGGATTAAAGTAGAAAGATAGATGCTAGAAGAATTACTTTGGTAGCTCTTTAGTCCGTCAGTGAAGTAGAGAGGGTCTTTGGGAATTGCTTTGGGGTGTCTAAAGGTTCTCAAATATTACCCATACTAATAAGGAAAAATTTTATCTGACAAAAACAGAAGTTAATTGTTTGCACCTCATTCAAAGCCTATATTTAGTTTTTAAAAAATGGCGCAAGACGTTAAATGTTTCAACTAAAAATGATGTTTTATAAAAAAAACTTATTTTGAATAGTCCACATACAGCTCTTTCTTTATAATGCATACCTTAAAATACTTCCACACCACGCTTATCAGATGTTTTGTGTCGTGATTGTCTGAACTTTCCCCAGAGTTGGAATAAAGTTTCTAATATTGTAGAAATGTTACAGGTCTACTTACAAGTTTAAATGTCATGGGCGTAGTTTTTAGGGTCCAGGGGGTGCTTAGACTGCTCGGCCACCAGCACCCTCTACAGAGTCACTTTTCAACAGCCTTTCTTAGTAACAGTAGTGCATTTACAGGAAGCAGTGTATCAAATGAACCTTGTTGGGTTCTACTTTTATCGAAAATACTCTTCAGTGTAGAGTGACCAGTGGGCAGCGAATCCAAATCGCGCAACTATCAAGGCGACTGTTTGCTAAATTTGAGAGCAGCTACACATCCGCATTGAAACTGCACATTGCTGACCCACTGAGCATTTTTTGGTCTAAAAGAGGTCTAATAGACGTCTAAATGTAGCCTAGACAACTGGTCTAAAATCAGGCTACCAAAGGTCTAAAAATGAAAGTTTTTTATACATCTACATTTAGACCAAGTTTAGATTAAGTCTAAATCTTGGCTATATCTATCCTATTATATTGCTCAACGTCTATCATAATTATTTTGGTTAAGTACTTGGAGATCAGTTATGCAACTCACAGTTGCTTTTTGAAATAAATAGTTATTGAATAAAGGGTTAAAGTGCAACCTCTAAATTTCATCTAAAAATATACAGAATCTAGTTGGTTGAAATTAGGTCTCAAAAAAAACTAGACGTCTAATAGCCGTCCAATGGTGGGAATCCAATGGTCACAACTTTTAGATACCTTAAACTTCTGTTCTGTCTGAAAGCTCACCAAAGATAGTTTAGGCATTTTTTGTATTCCAAATTTTACAATAATTTGCAAATCTCTTGATATAAGTAAACCACACATTTCCAAAACCTGGAGAAAATTAGTCAGTTTCATAGACATAGCCAAGTGTTTGTAGTTGTTGCCATTAAAAATGAAGCTAGTTTGGACGTGCAGCCTCCTTGCGTGCACGTCCGATGTTTGTTCAAAGATGTGACCCTCTTAAGTTTTATTATCAAACATCTAAGCAGACGTCCCTTTTTTGGTCTTTATTGGATAAAATGGCTGACAGGAAAAAGGAAACATTGGAAGCTGAAAGTGGTAAAGACATACAGCAAAGGGTCATGGCTGGGAGTCAAACCAGTGACTACTGCAGTGAGGACTAAAGCCTCTGCATATGGGACACATGCTGTAACTGCTAAACTAGACAGACACCCGACAGATGTTACGTTATTAATTGCTAACTTGAATTCGGATCTCTGCTCACATGACAAGAATGCTATACGGGTATGTAGACTGCATTGTCGAGGACACTGCTGGAGTCAATATGGGAGTTAGAATTTATTGTCTTCAGACACCCGCATCATGAACTAAATGCAGATCACTGTTGAAGACTTTCCACTTTAATGAGGTTAGTGTGAACGCATTTGTGAAAAAAAGACTAAAACAAACAAACAAATTAGTTTCTCTCCAAATGTTTCCTTTTTATCAGAGATATATTCACTTTAGGCTTAGGGTCTGTACACAAAGTCATAAATGCTTGTTGTTGTTAAAAATGAAGCCTCGCTTTTTTCCTGAAACAGCTGGGCTCTCATCTTTTAGCAAACATCTCTCTCAGAACAGGAAATATCATTGGATTAATCCACGTGTCTCTCTGGTTAGTATTTCCGTTAGGCCCGTGTCTATGGGATTGACCCAAAATAAACAGCAGTGTGTGACATTTTGGAACACGGTTATATCACCCAATGATTGTTTGTGTTATTTTTATTGTTTTTGGACAACACTGGCGCTCTCTGGATCAGAGGAACAGGATCCATCAGGCTTTGGATTGTCAGTATTTCGCTTTATTTTAGGATCTCTCCTTCTCCTTCTGGAATTTGCTTACAATAAAGAATACGAGGAATAAAACCAGCCTTATCCTGCAGTGTTCTCAGCCTGCTGCTGTTATGCTTGTGATTATGGACCTCCTATTGGGGTGGTATGATGAAACATCAGTGGGCGAAGCAGTATTAATATCTGCACCGAGCAACTGTGAGCCCACTTGATATTGAGTTAATCCAACATGTGGACGGGTCAGACAGGAAGACGTCATGCGGTGCTTTACAGAGAAGAAACAGACCTTGACAAATTCTCACACAGCTGCTGAACATGATAAAAAATGTGTACTCTAAGAGTGGATGGCGAAATCTTTGCTTCATACCGAACTTCACTTCAGTGCCAAATTACACACAAGACCTTAAGATAAACGCAGGGAGAACAGGCCAGAATGATCAGTCTGATCAGAAGGTTGGATGTGGTGTCCTCCCTTTCTTTCTTGTTTTGTATTCTAATGTTTTGTATCACCAACTGTGAGTCTGTTGTCAGTTAAATGAAAAAGACAACAACGCAACTGGATCTATGTGAGAGCGTCCATGTGAAATGTTAAAAATCAAAGTGCTTTGCTGGAAATGTCAGCTCAAACAGCTGATTTGTAAGGCACATAATAACACAAGCCACAATTCAGTAGCTGAGATTAAAGCACCAGTGAGAAGCTTCTAAATGTTGGTGGCTATTAAATGTATATAGATATAAATAATTACAAAAACAGACCACAGCAAAACACAGTCTTGTGTTGATTTGATGGAGACATGAATATTAATTAATCTTCTGCTAATCTGGTTCGTGTTTTTGTCAACAGAGCTGTCAATCATGCTGCGAAACACACTCTTTTTAAAATCTATCAACTGATTAAACCTAATTTTGTCGAAAAAAAAACATTAATACTTTGAGATAAACTAGTTTCTAAAAAAGTAATGATAACAGAAAACTTATTTGAGAAATAAATGTATATGATGTGTTTTAATTTTATAGTTTTCCCATCTGTTAACATGGGGAGGCGGGGTTTATGACCTTTACCAGTCAGCAGGGGGAGCTCTAAATCTCTGGGTTAATACTTGCAGTGTCCATTTTATATACAGTCTATGGTCATGACAGAGACTCAAAGTACAAGACCAACAAAAAGGAATGTTCATTTTGCAAAAGTGCATTTCATGTAAGAGCTTGTGTACGCTGAGAAAGTGTTTCTTACTTTCTTACTTGTGTGTTTTAACCTCACCAGTTTCTGCATGTTTCCACTTTTGTCGTCTTTTTTCTCAGCTGATGACCCATTAACCACAAATCTGAACTTTTGTGCTCTCCAAATAAATTGACAGACGTTTTTTAAGTTTTCAATCGGAAGAGATGAAATCTTAAACTTTATTAATGTGTCCCAGAAGATTTGAAATGATGTGTGTGATCGGGTTGCCCGGCGTCTAATTACGATTGCTTTGGTCATGGGAATGGAGTATTACCCAGCCAGGCGATTGGGGAGATTAGAAGCGATCAGCTGGGCGATAACTTGCTGTATTTGTTCATTTCCTTCGTCTGCTCAGACACAGTTTAACACAGACAGGTCGTCCAAAATGCTTCCCAAAAGTTGGTGCTTTCTTTCAGCCCCTCATAAAGTTGCATAATCTTTGTTTTCTTATGTTACTTGATACACAAACACAGAGACTTCAGAGTGGCTCCAAACAACCAGACTCCCAGACGTTAGCCTGCTGATGGTGTGAGAAGTTCTTTAAAATTACATTCTGTGGTTTTGTTGCAACATCCAAAGGCTTTACCAAATCCTGAAGTTCCTTTGTGACTCACTCTTGATGTGATGGTTCTCATTGAACCATGTGATAAAAACTATTGGGGATTGTTGGGGATTTTCGTGTATTATTGAGCATTAAATCAATACTTAGATCTATCTACGCTGTATGGGTTTTACCATCTAGATTTGAGTTCAAAGAAATTGGCAAGGTGAAATGGTGAACAAAGAGGGTATGACATGTCGGTTCACCTGGTCAAGTTTTAAAGCTGTATCATCTTTCCTGAACAGGGTGTCTGCAGAAGCAGATGTGCACTTAATGCCTGCAGTTGGCACATTCAGTCCTCGGTCATAAATTGTTAAGTGGAAACGTATGTCAAGATGTCAGACTTAACCTTGTCGCACAGACCCTTAATGTTATTTAGTGTTACAAGCATAATCTACATTAGAAAACCATCTGCAACCTGAAGAAAAAGCCTTTCTAGTACCCAGAGGAACACTCAGTAATCAAAGATACCCCGCAGTAAAAGTCGCAAGACGTCACAGAACTGTTTGATCAGATCAAAAATGAATCATATTCTGCTGCGTTTTCTTTTTCCAGCCCTGAGAACAGTTAAACACCTGCGGTAGATTTCGGTCCCATGTGTTGAAGATAATCCCAACTCTAAATGAGAGTTTATCTTCTGAATGATCCCCTGTGTTGAGTTTAAAGACTCATAAAAATGCAGTTAAGGCTGTTTGTCGCCATGATGACACGAATAATGCTGATTAGCCTTTATTTTGCCACTTTTTGAAGCCAGAACATGTTCCCAATTGGAAAACAACATAAACAACAGACAGTTGATTAGACGAGTTGCCATTGCTGATTCATCGCTGAATAAGT